CCGCTTTGTATTTTTAAGAAAAATCTCAAAGTGGTTTACAACACTTTAAAAGGTCAATAGAACAATCCGAAATGAAACATTACTGAAGAAAGTCAAACATAAAAGTACACAGCCAAAGCCACATAATTACAGTAATGGGAAAACAAAAATATCATCTTAAAAGACTTCAGAACAAAACATTACAAAGGAGGTCGACTGCAAAATTTTATTATGCGTTTTGTACTCTCGTTTTTGTATTTCTCTGCTGCGAACCGCCCTGGGATCTTCTTTTGGAAGACGGTATACAAATTAAATAAACAATAATAATAATAATACTGGAACAGGCAGGATCCTCTGCACTGGGGGAAAAGGGTGGTCGGTCCCTTTGGGCGGCAAGGGAGGTGGGTTCTGTATGGGGCAATGAACAATGGCATCACATCATGGGCAAAGGGCATTGGAGAGGAGGGGTCCAATGGTGCCAGGCAGTCCCTAATGCAAGAGGGTGGGGTGCCCTTTCCCTCTAATGGGGGTGGGTGGAGGGGAGAGGGCAGCACCCCAACATTTTGCACAGGAGAGGGGTAGCAGCAGCGACAGCAATGCCCCCACTCACCCACCCCCCTTGGCTGGAGAGAGGTTGCCACGCTTTCCAGCCCTGGAGGGGACTACGCGGTTGTGTGTGTCCCTCCCCCTCGGCGACCCCTCCCCACTCACAGGGCTGCCCCGCTTCATTGTACTCCGCGTAGCTCCGGCTGCTCCCCGGCTCCCCGGGACTCGGCTCCAGTTGCTCCCCGGCCGCCGCTCTCATGCCTCGCCGCCCGCCGCCGCCTCTTGCACCAGCCGCGCCCAGGCAAGTGGGAGACGCGCGGGCCCGTTGCCATAGGAGCCCGAGGCGGCGAAAGGAGGAGGAGGAAGAAGGGGGAGCCCGGAGCTCGCGACTCGCCTCCCCCGGGGGAGCTTAAGAAGGAGCCTGGGAGTTAAGTTTCCCGCTCCCCGGGGCCGGGGGAAAGCGCAGGAAGAGAGGCGGCCTAGAGTGAGACTAGGCCCGGGCCTCTTGGGCGTTGCCATGGCGACGGATGCTGCGCTAAGAAGCCCGGCGGGGATGGATGGAGGGTGAAGCGAGCAGAGGCGTCACAGTGCAAAAGCGCTGCTGTCGAAGGCTGTTGAGGCACCTGCAACAACTTCTTCTTAGACGATCACTTGTAGCCGAGCAAGATTGCCTTCCACAAACACGGTTTTAACAGTGAGTCCATAAGTTACTGTGAAGGCCAATTCTGGATCCACACGTCTTTCCACAGTGGGGACATAGGTTTCCGGGGAGAGTTGATTATGGTGAGGGTTTGCCAATGTGCCTTTCTCCTAGCACGTTTCTCCCTTGCGTCCTGAGTTTGAGTGTCTTCAAAGCCCATGACACCTTTGGTAAAGGCTGTTCTCCAACTGGAGCGCTCGCAGGCAAGTGTTTCCCAGTTGTCGGTGTTTATACTACATTTTTAAAAATTTGCCTTGAGAGAGTCTTTAAACCTCTTTTGTTGACCACCAGCATTACGCTTTCCATTTTTAAGTTCGGAATAGAGTAGTTGCTTTGGAAGACAATAATCAGGCATCAGCACAACATGACCAGTCCAACAAAGTTGATGTTGAAGAATCATTGCTTCGACACTGGTGATCTTTGCTTCTTCCAGTACACTGGTATTAGTTCGCCTGTCTTCCCAAGTGGTGTGTACATTTTTTCAGAAATACCGTTGATGGAATCTTTCAAGGAGTTGGAGATGGCTTTTATAAGTGGTCCATGTTTCACAGGCATACAGTAAGGTTGGTAGTACAATAGCTTTGTAAACAAGCATTTTGGTTTCCCTGTGAATGTCTCAGAAACTCTGCACTTCAATTGGGAGAAAGCCGCACTTGCAGAGCTCAGAGCTCAGCTCTGCAACTTCTTGTACCAGTGTGCTTGCCTACATCCCCCCCCCTTTCCCACTCAGCCACCCACATCCCAATCAGGGCTCCTGTGACTTGCCTTTCAGGCTGACATTCAACAGGAGCTCCCCCCCCCCTGAAAATGGCCCCGCTGAAATCCATGCCTAGAACTAAATCAGATGTGGAGAACCTTTGGTCTATATGTTACTAGACTCCCATCAGCCCCAAAGAGCACAGCCAGTGGCCAGGGAGTACATCTGGAGGACCAAAGGTTCCCCCTCGTCTGGCCTGAATACAACATGTTAGGCATGCTTTAAGCCCGTGGATTTGAACCGGCGCAAGAAGGACTATTGCGTTCGGGTCTTAGGCAAAGTGGAGCAGGTTATCTCCCAACTGTTGACTTCAAAGGGGGGGGGAGCCCTTAAATGAAACACACAATTAAGAATATTGTAGCTCATGTAAACCCAACAAAACATGTCTTTCCCGTATCGCTCTCTACAGCTGCAACACGCGCTGTAACCTTCCAATACTTTGACTTCAGACCCCAAAGGCTCACTCCTCCATTGTCTCCTGAGACTGATGGATGCCAACCATTCCACCTTTCCTCCAAGGTCAAGAATGGTCAAGAATGGTCAAACATGGTTCTCTCCCCCTGCTCCATTTTTAACACCATAATCATGGGAGGCAAGTTAGGCTGAGACGGTGACAAGCCCAAGTTCACCCACTGAACTTCATGGCTGAGGGGGGACTTTAACCCAGCTCCAGTACTCTAACCACTATGCCACACTCACTTACTTCCAAGCAAACCTGCATTGGGTAGTATTGTGAAATCATTTTTTAATAGAGCTAGGTAAACACACTGCATGTTTAGTCGTTTAGTCGTGTCCGACTCTTTGTGACCCCATGGACCAGAGCACGCCAGGCACTCCTGTCTTCCACTGCCTCCCGCAGTTTGGTCAGACTCATGTTTGTAGCTTCGAGAACACTGTCCAACCATCTCGTCCTCTGTCGTCCCCTTCTCCTTGTGCCCTCAATCTTTCCCAACATCAGGGTCTGCATAGGAATATAACCAAGGCTTTCTAGCTGAATGAACATTTTGGGGTTAAGGCTTCAGAAATGCTACTATGGGAAACGCCACCTAGCAGATTCTCCATGTCTTTGTTCATGCTGTGTGCTTTCCGTGTGCTGGACTAGGCCTGGGAAAAGCATAGTTAAAATATGTATGGTCCCTGTGTGCTGCTACTTGCTTCTGAAGTGACATCACATAGAAGGCATCCAACTATAATGCAAATACATCTGATAAACTAAAATGGTATGTGGATATTCTCTAAGCATACTTACAATCTTGGATATCTTGAGAATCACATAGGATAAGGTACAAACGACGCACTTTCCCACCAAACACTCCGTGGTTTGGCAAATAGGCTTTTTGTTGTTGTTTAGTCGTTTAGTCGTGTCCGACTCTTTGTGACCCCATGGACCAGAGCACGCCAGGCACCTCTGTCCTCCACTACTTCCCGCAGTTTGGTCAAACTCATGCTGGTAACCTCGAAAACACTGTCCAACCATCTTGTCCTCTGTCGCCCCCTTCTCCTTGTGCCCTCCATTTTTCCCAACATCAGTGTCTTCTCCAGGGAGTCTTCTCTTCTCATGAGGTGGCCAAAGTACTGGAGCTTCAGCTTCACGATCTGTCCTTCCAGTGAGCACTCAGGGCTGATTTCCTTAAGAATGGATGCGTTTGATCTTCTTGCAGTCCATGGGACTCTCAAGAGTCTTCTCCAGCACCATAATTCAAAAGCATCAATTCTTCGGCGATCGGCCTTCTTTATGGTCCAGCTCTCACTTCCATACATCACTACTGGGAAAACCATGGCTTTAACTATACGGACCTTTGTTGGCAAGGTGACGTCTCTACTTCTCAAGATGCTGTCTAAGCAAATAGGCTTAGTTCCAGCAAAAACACAGCTTCCCAGATTTTGAAATTCGGCAGCTGGCCACACGGTATGAGGAGTCACAGTCCCACTGAGCATGAGAAAGGACCACAGCTCAGTTCCAATAACATGCTCTGAATGCAAAAGCTCCAGGCTCAATTTCTGGAATCTCTATTTAAAAGCATATTACTAATCAGCTGAGACAATGCTGAGCTAGACAGACTAGCAGTTCAACTCAGTGAAAAGCAGCTTCATATGATCATGTGCTGCTAATCACACAACACTCTGTATTGTGTTCCACCACAACCACAGGCAGTAATGAGCCCCACTCACACTCTCAAAGAAATGCCAACATATATATGCAATTAAATTTTGAAAAGGACAGTGTCAGTTTTCCTGAAAGTGCTCTAGCTTCTACACAATCCTTCAGTTTGTTGTTGTTTAGTCGTTTAGTCGTGTCCGACTCTTTGTGACCCCATGGACCAGAGCACGCCAGGCACTCCTGTCTTCCACTGCCTCCCACAGTTTGGTCAAACTCATGCTGGTAGCTTTGAGAACACTATCCAACCATCTCATCCTCTGCCGTCCCCTTCTCCTTGTGCCCTCCATCTTTCCCAACATCAGGGTATTTTCCAGGAAGTCTTCTCTTCTCATGAGGTGGCCAAAGTATTGGAGTCTCAGCTTCAGGATCTGTCCTTCCAGTGAGCACTCAGGACTGATTTCCTTCAGAATGGATTGGTTTGATCTTCTTGCAGTCCATGGCACTCTCAAGAGTCTCCCCCAGCACCATAATTCAAAAAATCCCTCAAAAATCCCCCTTCTTGGATCACTGCCTTGCCGTGGCGAAGGGGCTTGAATAACTCAGAGAAGCTATGAACTATGCCGAGCAGGGCATCCAAGATGAACAGGTCATAGTGGATAGTTTTGACCAAATGTGATCCACCTAGAGGAGGAACCGGCAAGCCACTCCAGTATCCCTGCCAAGAAAACTCCATGGACAAAGACAACAGGCATATAAAATCCCTCAGTTACACACATACAATTACTCATTTCCCCTTAATACAGACCTTTAGATATTTAGCTGCACTGTATTTCTGAAATCTGTTAGTATGCAGAGTACTGTACTGCTCTTAATCAACGCACAAATCATTGCAATGAACCTTGCAGCTGAAGACCTGATCACGTTTCACTGTGCTAAATATTTTATTTTTAAATAAGACTCACAGCAGAATTACAGTATACTGTATTTCAAGTGTTACCTGTATTAAGTTCAGTTACATTCCATTTCACTTTTCATGCGGTTTTCAAACATTAACAAGTACCTCACAAAAAATAAAAAAATATTTAAAGTGAACTTTGATATCATCTGTATTTGTCGTTTCATACAATAATAAATACTCCAGTTCTCTCTGTTACAACATACTAGTGCTTTACAGCTTTCAGTTACAGTAGATCTTCGCAATTTTGCACTACTTAAAGACGTACTACAAAATTCCTTTTTCTACACTACACCTTTAAAATGGTTTCAGACCTGCTTATTAGTCACAGCTCCCAACCACAGAATGGCAATTGCAGTTTGAGATAAAACTGGCAATCATTTTCCAGTGAAGCCTCAGCACTGACAAAACTACAAGTCATGGTGTTCTTTTGGGAGAAATTGTCACATTTAAACTGGTTCCCAAGCAGTCTAAAATTGTAGTGCAACCTTAAGATGGTGATCTGCTAGCCACTTTAATTAGCATACTACTAACTTAAAATGGCTTGGATGTCAAATCTTGAAACATTTATTTAGAGGTGCCGTTAGAAGAGCAGAATGTGTAGCCTAATGCTAAGCACTGGTAATCAGTTCAGAAAACTAAACCTGCCTATTACAATTACAATGAGGCTTACTTTCTAGTAAGTTAGGGAAATTATTTTACTGATTTTAGCAGGGACTATGTAATTATATGGAGCAAAGTCTGCTGATAAATGAACAGGATAACATACTAGTAATTTTCTGGTCAATTCAAGTAGTTTATAGACCACATTGGAGTGCTGCACACAGTGTCACATTTAGTCAAGAAGTTCAAGTTTGTAAGTAGTAATCAGAACTGGGTCTTTGGACTACAAAATTAAGGACTGTTGGCTTCAATACGCAAGCCACTTTGCTCCAGAGTTCCCTCGCTGATCTACCACTGATGATTGTTTGTCTATTTCAGAGTTAAGTGGGTTTTAGCTTACAAGTTTTGGATTGTAGCCTTTAGGCCACTTATTCAAGAACAGCCTCAGTGAATCGAGTTATGAGGTAACATCACATTACCACCCAATGTCAGTGGGTCTGACTTTTAATTTAGGGCTAATTCACACAAGACATTCAAAAGGAGCAAACACAGTGTTTACATGTATGTCAATTCATACATTACCCATTGACACTGTACATGAAATTGAGAACCTATTTGTACCAATTTCTATCTGGTACAAGCCAATAAGATTTATAGGGGGGGATTATATGTAGCCGTAGAGAGACAACACCTACTGTTTACATGAATTTTTTCAAACTTGTATTTTAAAAGTATTATGTGAACCAGCCCCAAGTATCTTTGGAATGGATAAAACCTCTGTGTGTGACAACAGGCTACTTCTCGTTCATGAATGACATCCAGCTCATCCCTGTCCATTATATGAAAATGTAACAAAGGAAGAAAGTACATGAATCACCAAGTTCTGAAATCCATAGTGCCACTTCCAGGTAAGGTTTTCTGCTCCCAGGTTTGCTTTTGAAAAAATCTATCGCTGTTAAGCATCTATGGAGGGCAACAGTAAGCAAAGAATCCACGTAACTTTCAACAATTGAATCCATCAGTAGGATTGAATGAGGATTCAAATCCTGCTCACACAGCCATCAAATAAGTAATGTCATCCCAGCATATTATTTCCATTCATTCATGTTATCCCTTTAAAAAGCAAAATCTGAGCACATAAAATGTTATGGTTTGAAGGTAGGCAGACAAGGTATATTATATATTGCACCAGACACTGAAATCTGACCATCACATTGCACTTTTTGATTTCAGGGTAGCTCAGTTTTTAATAGCTGAGAAGGTATTTTTCCTCTGTTGATGGGCAGCTGCTAACCTCATTACAACTGCCTGGATGCTGCACAGCCCCTGTAAGTCAGCAGAGAGGTCTCAGTAATTCTCAATGGTTTTAAAAGGAAAAAACAAAACACCCCAAATGTTTCAAACAATGCTGGTTCCCAACTCCTGTGTATTCCCATGCTTTGGGATATGAGATTGACGGATGGGAGTGCTTCTGCCACGTTAAGTAGTCAATGTGGGAAACAGCCCCAAGATATTTAGGATTCCTCCAGAGCTTTTCAAGTAAAAGTGGAAATGTTTCACAAGTTTAAGGGTAGAGTGGTTTATAGTATAAAAATAATGACATCGTAACAAAACGAGACCTCATTTCAGCATCTCACAGAGTAAAGCTACACCAAAGAGGTGGGGCTGAAAGCACCGACTTTTGAGTGCAATTACAAAGAGAACTTCTTACAAAGGCTACTGGCAGTGTGTGTGTTTCGACATTCAAACGTATGCAACTTCTAAGAATCGGACGCAGAATTTGTGCAACTTTCGACAATCTCAAACAGGTAGTGATATATATCAGTCCTCCTGGCAATATCGTATGCCGTCTCGTCCAAGTTGTTCTTGAGATTTGGCTTTAGGTAGCGATTCATGAGCAAGAGTTCGAGGGTTTCCTTGCTCTCCCGGTTCCCTGCGGCAAGGTGAAGTGGAGTCAGCAAGCCATTGGTCTGAGCATTGATATCTGCCCCATGCTGGAGCAAGAACGATGCTATCTTGGTGTTGTTCCACTTGCAGGCACTGTGCAGGGGAGTCCAGCTATCCACCGTCAAGGCATGGACATCCGCGCCATGGGCAATCAGTTCCCGTACAACTTCCAAGTGCCCGTTATAGGCAGCCCGGTGGAGAGGGGTATAGAAATCTTCATCCTGGACATTGACTGGAGCAAGGTTTTGAGACAGGAGCCTTTGCACCGTGCTGAGCTGCGAGGGTGAAGAGACAAATAAGTTTCAGCAAGCCTGCAAGCTAGATGCATTGCTTTTACAGCAAGAGTAGTACTGAAGACGTTGAACCAATACTTTGCTCAGCTATAAAGCTCACGGAACTTCAGTCAAATTTATTCTATCTCAGCCTAATGATGCGACCTGTCCTGGACCATGTGTGATCACCGCCTGAGACCCTTTTTCGTGTGCCTCCCCCATGAGAGGGCCGCAGCAAGGCAACACAGAAAAGGCCTTTTCTGCAGTGGCTCCCCAGTTTGTGGGATGTTCTCCCCCACGAGACTCACCTGGCTCCTTTGTTACATATCTTTAGGCGCCAGAATGAAATGTTTCCTCTTCAACCAGGCGTTTGGCTCGCTAACATTCTATGGCTTTTAAAATGTGTTCCTCGGGAGGGATGTTATTGATTTGTTTGCTTCAGTTTTTATTATGCATTTCGTGTTTTCGTTTTGTATTATTATGTTGTGAATTGGCCTGTCATCTTCAGATGAAGAGTGGTATACAAAATTATTAAATAAACAGTAATAATGTTTATAATAATAATTAATTGTTAATAATAGTTGACTTAGATATGATGTTTTTGCCCCATCTCTCCTGGAAGGGCTTTGGAGTGATATACAGTGGTACCTCGGGTTACAGACACTTCGGGTTACATATGCTTCAGGTTACAGACTCCACTAACCCAGAAATAGTACCTTGGGTTAAGAACTTCGCTTCAGGGTGAGAACAGAAATCGTGCAGCAGCAGCAGCGCAGCGGCAGGCCCCATTAACTAAAGTGGTGCTTCAGGCTAAGAACAGTTTCAGGTTAAGAACGGACCTCCAGAACGAATTAAGTTCTTAACCTGAGGTACCACTGTACATGGGTCTTCCCTTCCTGTTTTCCCCCCCTTACAACTGCATATACTGAGAGAAAGAGTGATTGGCCCGAGATCACTGAACAAGGTTTATGGCAGAGTGGGGATTTGAACCTGGGTCTCTCTGTTCCTAGCCTGACACTCTATCCACCACATTCCACTGGATCTCTATTGTGCAAGAGCCATTGCAGGGACAGAATGAAGTAACACTGAAACCTCTTAAGAGAATTGCTTTGATTATAGCACACAATAAACAAGGATGTTTATTGGCCTTGGCTTCTGTGCAAAACCACTTAAGAAGCATGGAGATGAAACATCAAATCCCACTTCACAACTACAGTTTTTCTGCATAGCAGGAAGCGTGTCACAGTGCCCCAAATCTGACAATAATCCAGGGCCTCACTAAACTTTATTTATGAAGCTAGGAATGGGCACCAGGTCTGAGCAACCCTCAGTTCCCTCACTGCACCCTGGTTTTGATTAGATGTTCCTGGTTGGTATTCAGCCAACCCTAAGTACTGTGACTTAGGGTTAACAAATCAGGAAAATAGCTTAAAAGGATCCAGTTCTTGGATAATATTTAAGTTAGCATCCACTGTGGTGCTCATCTTTTAGTTGGGTGGGGGCTGAGGCAGGGAGGTAGGCCTATTGTACTCTTGTTGTTGTTTAGTCGTTTAGTCGTGTCCGACTCTTCGTGACCCCATGGACCAGAGCACGCCAGGCACCTCTGTCCTCCACTACTTCCTGCAGTTTGGTCAAACTCATGCTGGTAACCTCAAAAACACTATCCAACCATCTCGCCCTCTGTCGCCCCCTTCTCCTTGTGCCCTCCATCTTTCCCAGCATCAGTGTCTTCTCCAGGGAGTCTTCTCTTCTCATGAGGTGGCCAAAGTACTGGAGCCTCAGCTTCACGATCTGTCCTTCCAGTGAGCATTGTACTCTTAGGTGAGCTTTTAAGGAATTTTGTAATGTATATTGTTTGCTAGATCTTTGCCTTCTAGTTTATTTTATCTCTTGGTATTGTATCCAATTAAAGCATTTTGAGACTTTTTTTTTGTACAAAGTGACTAACAAATGTAACGAATCATTCATCTGTGATAATAATAAATCCTCAACAACTTTGTGCCAAAGCCAGAACATGATGAGAGGAGGGAGAACGGAAAGGAAGAGCGCTCAGCTTTGGCACTCATTATCAGCTTCATAAATCATGAAGCCTGGAATGATTGCCCACGTCAGGTTGAAGAAATTTAGGTTTCTGGCACGACACACACAGCCCCAGTATGAATTTCCCAAATGTGATTAAGAAATGGCTTACTCTATTTTTTTCTGCTGCCCAAAGCAGAAGCTTATCTGGGTTGTTTTCCAGCTTCTTCTCTTGGGCCTGGTACCATTCCTCGGTTTTTTCTTCCTGATCTTCATCGTCAGAATCTCCAGACCAAAGACTCTGTGTTCCTGTGGGGATCAAGTGCCGGTGGGTCTCCAACAATTCAAGCTGGTTAAAGCTCTCAGGAAAGTCTCTATAATCTTTTGCATCCTCCTCTATGTTCTTCTCTGAAGATTTCCCACTTTCATTCATTCTGCAGACTTGAGTTCTCAAGCCCCAATTTACACGTGAAATAATTCCTCCTCCTCCTCCTCCTCCTCCTCTTCTAGCTCATTTCATTTCCTGAAATTGTTCATCAGCAGAAGTTACAAGCACATAGAAACAGCTAGCAAAGGCTAGTGGCATAGATTGCATCAACATCATGGCAACCTTTAGAGAAAGAAAAATTAAGAAATGATTAATACAGTGACCAGTACACACAAAAAAGATATAAGTTCTTAGCATTTAACACTAAAAAAAGAAGAAAAAAATTAAGAATTGTGGCTGTGCAGGAGCAAAAAAAAAAGGAATCCTTCTGCTCTCAAATCCCGGCTTATATCAGACCTTACGCCTCCTATGAAAGGTCAGCTAAAGTGAATAGGTATTGTATAAGACGGCATTTTATGGCATCACACAAAGCTTAGTCATTTTGTTAGATATCTTCGAGAGCATTGTGTGGCGAGACTGTGGCAATTACCTTATTTTTCGCTCTATAAGACGCAGCAGACCACAAGACGCATCTAGTTTTTGGAGGAAGAAAACAAGAAAAAAAATATTCTGAATCTCAGAAGCCAGAACAGCAAGAGGGATTGCTGCGCAGTGAAAGCAGCAATCCCTCTTGCTGTTCTGGCTTCTGTGATAGCTGCGCAGCCTGCATTCGCTCCATAAGACGCACACACATTTCCCCTTACTTTTCAGGAGGGAAAAAGTGAGTCGTATAGAGCAAAAAATACGGTATGTCCAAACTTAGGCCAGTAAGATTTCCTCCCTGTCCTTCCCAACCTTATTATTACTATTACTGATTAATTTACATGCCACTATCTATTTTTAAGTAAACCAAACAAGGAGGCTTACAAATATGAAGACAGCTATATAATAAAATGGGACGCGGGTGGCGCTGTGGGTAAAAGCCTCAGTGCCTAGGGCTTGCCGATCGAAAGGTCGGTGGTTCGAATCCCCGCGGCGGGGTGCGCTCCCGTTGTTCGGTCCCACCGCCTGCCAACCTAGCAGTTCGAAAGCACTCCCGGGTGCAAGTAGATAAATAGGGACCGCTTACTAGCGGGAAGGTAAACGGCGTTTCCGTGTGTGGCTCTGGCTCGCCAGAGCAGCGATGTCACGCTGGCCACGTGACCCGGAAGTGTCTCCGGACAGCGCTGGCCCCCGGCCTCTTGAGTGAGATGGGCACACAACCCTAGAGTCTGTCAAGACTGGCCCATACGGGCAGGGGTACCTTTACCTTATATAATAAAATGAAGGGAAAAACTATGGTTCAAGTTCACAACAAAATACAAACAAACTTGAAATACATAGTCAAAACATTCCAAAAGCAGTAAAAGAGTCTTGTGGCAGTGTAAAGAGTAACCAATTTATTAGGGAACAAGTCTTAGTGGAATACAGTGCACTTCATCAGATGCCTTAGGCATTATCCTGCATTATCCACAACAAGTGCGCTGTGAACAGCCAGTGTGATTAACAGTCTACTTGTTTTGCTCCCCTCCAATATCGCTGTAGACAAACTCATAATACCATAATGCATTTGATGAAATGGGACTGTGGCTCATGAAAACCTATGGCGGCCTTCCCCAATCTGCTGCCCCCTTTTTTTTTGTACTAATACTCCCATAATGCAATTAGCCATACAAGCTAATTGGAGGGGCGGGGGGATCTGACAGGCACCGATTGGGGGAAGGCTATCTCACATAATAGATCTGTCAGTCTTTACGATGCCACAAAGCTATTTATTATAATAAAATCAGACTCCTACAGAAGATTGCTTGAATAGAATACAGTGGTACCTCAGGTTAAGTACTTAATTCGTTCTGGAGGTCCGTTCTTAACCTGAAACTGTTCTTAACCTGAAGCACCACTTTAGCTAATGGGGCCTCCTGCTGCTGCTGCACTGCCAGAGCACGATTTCTGTTCTCATCCTGAAGTAAAGTTCTTAACCTGAGGTACTATTTCTGGGTTAGCGGAGTCTGTAACCTGAAGCGTATGTAACCCAAGGTACCACTGTAGTCACTGCCACCCGTCTAAGAAGCAGATCGTGAGGGGATCAGTTAAAATTCTCTTGGGATGCTGTTCCAAATCCTGGGCACCACAGCCGACAAGGTCAGTTAGCTACCCATGTGCCTTGCCTCAGAGGCGGGACCTGAAGGAAGGCCTCTCAAATAGAGCAAATATACGATCTCAACTTGAAGAATGTCCGTAAAATCTTCCATTCCATTAGATCCCTTCCAGTTGGGATTCACTGAAACTGCCTTGGTCGCACTGTTTGAGGATATCCAGCAGGCTAGGGTTAGAAGTACTGTTTTGGGGGAACAGGAGGCGGGCAGGTGTGGAGGACTCCCTGGTCCTGAATGGGGTAACTGTGCCCCTGAAGGTCCAGGTGCGTAGCCTGGGAGTCATTTTGGACTCACAGCTGTCCATGGAGGCGCAGGGGTCAATTCTGTGTCCAGGGCAGCTGTTTACCAGCTCCATCTGGTACGCAGGCTGAGACCCTATCTGCCCGTGGACTGTCTTGCCAGAATGGTGCATGCTCTAGTTATCTCCCGCTTGGACTACTGTAATGTACTCTACGTGGGGCTACCTTTGAAGGTGACCCAAAAACTACAACTAATCCAGAATGCGGCAGCTAAACTGGTGACTGGGAGCGGCCGCCAAGACCATATAACACCAGTCTTGAAAGACCTACATTGGCTCCCAGTACGTTTCCAGGCACCATTCTATTCCAATTCTATTCCAACTCTATGATTCTATGAATTCAAAGTGTTGGTATGACCTTAAAGCCCTAAACGGCCTCAGTCCAGTATACCTCAAGGAGTGTCTCCACCCCCATTGTTCTGCCCAGACACTGAGGTCCAGCGCCGAGGGCCTTCTGGCTGTTCTCTCGCTGCGAGAAGCCAAGTTACAGGGAACCAGGCAGAGGACCTTCTTGGTAGCGGCACCAGCCCTGTGGAACGCCCTCCCACCAGATGTCAAAGAGAACAACAACTATCAGACTTTTAGAAGACATCTGAAGGCAGCCCTGCTTAGGGAAACTTTTAACGTTTAATGGACTATTGTATTTTGATATTTTGCTGGAAGCTGCCCAGAGTGGCTGGGGAAACTCAGCCAGATGGGTGGGGTATAAATAATAAATTTTTTATTATTATTATTATTATTATTATTATTATTATTATTATTACAAAAACCAATGCTGCAACAAAGAGATATAACAAAAGCATACAATTGTTGGGATACTGCCAGGGAGACAAAGGTATCAGGCAGCCTACACGATCAACTGGTAAGTGGAAATTATTGACCACATATTGGATTAGCACCAAATCATTGTTTTCAGTAGCTGGTCAGCAAATCAAGAAGAGCAGAGGAGGAGTGGTGCGGGAGCATGCAGACAGGCAGGAGGACCCCTACTCACTCAAGAGTTACAGTGGAGAGGTGTGCTTTTTGCACACACACACACACACACACACACACTGTGCCTGAGCTCATGGCAACTTCCCATGAGAGATAAGCTACTATCTGACTCAGTGGGAATCTCACTACTACTGAACTCAGCGGGTCTTACATCCAAGAAAGCATGCATAGGATCAGGCAAGGGGGGTCAGATGCAAAAGGACAGGGCCTCCTCGCCTTTGGCAACTGTGTAGAAGAGGGATTTCAGCAGGTACAGCTTGTCACTCAAACTTCACGCACTAAAATACCCTCTTCGGGTGGCGCTGTGGGTTAAACCACCGAGCCTAGGACTTGCTGATCAGAAGGTTGGTGGTTCGAATCCCCTTGACGGGGTGAGCTCCCGTTTTTTGGTCGCAGCTCCTGCCAACCTAGCAGTTCGAAAGCACGTCAAAGTGCAAGTAGATAAACAGGTACCGCTCCGGCAGGAAGGTAAACGGCGTTTCCATGCGTTGCTCTGGTTCGCCAGAAGCGGCTTAGTCACGCTGGAAACACGACCCGGAAGCTGTACGCTGGTTCCCTCGGCCAATAAAGCAAGATGAGCGCCGCAACCCCAGAGTCGGTCACGACTGGACCTAATGGTCGGGGTCCCTTTACCTTTACACACTGGAAGATGAATGGTCCTCTTTTGCGGCTAGCTGCCCTAGCTCAGGCCACAAGAAGCCTGTACCTGCTTTGTATATTGTAAACAAAAACTATATTAAGCCTCAACAGGGCCAGCTTACCCATAGGCACTAGGGGTGTGCGGCACCCGGGCACTGGGAGCGCCAGGCCGAGAGTCTGGAGACTGAAGAACCAGGTCAGCCGACAGCCGCTGCAGGGCAGAGCAGAGCCTGTCAGAGCGCCACAGGCTTTTCTGCCGCTGGTGCTGAGGCAGCCAGCTGGCTCCACCCTCCTGTGCGCCTGGGATTGGTGGGATGTCGAGAGGCCCGCCCAGCGCACGCATGCTGCTCACACGAGGCGTGCAGCTTCCCTCCCAAGCCTCCGTGGGGATTGCTTTCCTCCCGCAGTGGCATGGGAGAGAGTTGCGTGCCCCCTCCAAAGCTCAACAACTTTGGCCTGCCCTCCCCCCAAATTGGGGGCGCTGGGCAGTTTTTTGCACCCTGGCACCGCATATGCTAAAGACGGCCCCGAGCTTCAACATGCAAAACAATCGCCTAAGGATTGCTCAATGCTCTACCAGAAAGAAAGTGGCTTTTTGGGTTGCAATCTTCACATTACATATGCCAGAGCTAAAAACTAAAGTGGTACCTCGGGTTAAGTACTTAATTCATTCTGGAGGTGTGTTCTTAACCTGAAACTGTTCTTAACCTGAAGCACCACTTTAGCTAATGGGGCCTCCTGCTGCCGCTGTGCCGCCGGAGCCCGATTTCTGTTCTTATCCTGAAGCAAAGTTCTTAACCTGAAGCACTATTTCTGGCTTAGTGAAGTGTGTAACCTGAAGCATATGTAACCTGAAGCGTAAGTAACCCGAGGTACCACTGTACACTCTGCTCTTTTTGGTGCCTGCTAAATACATTGTTTACACACGCTGTCCCAGGTGCTTAGAAATGCTGATGTGAGTTTTGATCTGATTTAGCATTCTAACTTTCTGCATGTTATAATGTACGGTAAACGTTCTCCTGATTTTATGCTTTCCGTAAACCACTTTGAGGTTTGTTACTTTGCTGGTAAAATCAAGCGGTGTATAAATTTTAGGAGATAAAATAAAAAATACCCAGCTGCATCCTGGTTTCCAAGGAAACTGACATTTGCGCTCCTCCGCTTGCAAAATCCCACGACTCGCTGCAGCAACTTACCTTGAGCAAGAAGTCCCATTGAACTCAGCGTTGCTTAGCAGACACATGCCGTGATTCTCTCTCTCTTTTTTTTTGCAACAAGCTGCAGCGCTCCAGAACCAGAAGCATCAGGTTTCCAAAGGCTGGCAAAATAGAAAGCAATTCATTAACCCAGCATATTTTAATAATAATAATAATAATAATAATAATAATAATAATAATAATAATAATAATAATAATAATAAATACCCCTTGCCCCCCTTTTTTTGCAAGCGACGCCCGAAAAACGGAGCCCCTCGGCTGGAGGACCCGGCTGGAACCTCCGCAGGGCTTTCGGAGCAGCCCGTCTCGGACGCGCCGCGGGGAAAACTCACCCCCGCCTCCAGCCCGGGGGAAGGGGCGGGGCCAAGGAATGACCGGCAGCAACCCCAGGCGCCGGGGGGACTTCCGGCCTTCCTCGGGCCTTTCGTGTCACTCTTTCACCCTTGCTGCGACTGCGCAGTGGGGATTGCCTGCAGTGCTTGGGGAACGGGGTTTAGAAGAGGAGAGGGGGCGTGGCCTGAAGCGTGCATTGGGTACGAAGGGAAAAGGAGGAGCTAGCTCGGAGGCGGGGGGGGGCGGGGTTCAGGACGCTTGTCGCGAGATGGGCCTTGCCTTGCGCGTGCGCGCCCGGAAAGGGGCGGGGTTATTTCTCTCTCTCCTTCCCCACTCCCAATAGCCGCGGCGCTATGGAAAGTGGAGGCGTTGCGTCGTAGGCCGCGCGCCGGGAAGGAGGGTAAGAGCGCGGGAAGCGTGAGGCGCCGCGTGAGGCGGCATCAGGGGTGCTGGGTCTCCGGTAGAGGCTGCGGCCTAGTCCGCCCGTTCCCGCCCTCCGAGGGAGAAGTTTCGCTTTTGAAGTAGAATTCAGACATCTTCCCCATCCCCCACCCCCAAAATAGCCTGCGCCTCCAGGGAAAGAAAGGAAATAACTGGACCAAAAAAAAGAGGGTTTCTTCCCACGCGCAGAAGGCTGCGTGTCTTGCGTAACACGCTTGTTCCATTGATCCCTCCCTCACGTCGAGACTGCAGTAGATTCCGTAGAAGTGTAAGGGCCCACGGAAGTCATCTAGTCGAGCCCCCTGCAATGCAGGAATCTTTTGCCCAATACGGGGCTCGAACTCATGGCCCTGACAGATTTAAGAGCAGGATGTTTTTGGCCTACAACTCCCATCTGGCGGACTGCCTCGCCAGAGTGGTGCATGCTCGGGTTATCTCCCGCTTGGACTACTGCACTGTGCTCTGCGTGGGGCTACCTTTGAAGGTGACCCAGAAACTGCAATTAATCGGCATCTAGACTGGTGACTGGGAGCGGCCACAGGGACCATATAACACTGAGAGATCTGCACTGGCTCCCAGTACGTTTCCGAGCACAATTCAAAGTGTTGGTGCTGACCTTTAAAGCCCTAAACGGCCTTGGTCCAGTATATCTGAAGGAGCGTCTCCACCCCCATCGTTCTGCCCGGACACTGAGGTCCAGCTCCGAGGGCCTTCTGGCGGTTCCCTCATTGCGAGAAGTGAGGTTACAGGGAACCAGGCAGAGGGCCTTCTCGGTAGTGGCACCCGCCCTGTGGAACACCCTCCCTTCAGATGTGAAGGAAATAAGCAGCTATCCTTTCTTTATAAGACATCTGAAGGCAGCCCTGTTCAGGGAAGTTTTTAATATGTAACGCTGTACTGTTTTTAACACTTGTTTGGGAGCCGCCCAGAGTGGCTGGGGAGACTTAGCCAGATGGGCAGGGTATAAACTAATAATAATAATAATAATAATAATAATAATTATCATTCCTAGCTAACAGGACCAGTGGTCAGGGATTATGGGAACTGTAGTCTCAAAACATCTGGAGGGCCAAGTTTGCCTGTGCCTGTTTAAGGGCCTCGCGCTCTAGTACCTACGGAGCTACCCCAAGGAGTCGTTTTCTGCCCATAGAGGATGTTGCCTGCCGTGTCTCTCCATGAGTCTCTGCTTTGGCAAGTGCCTCTTTCCAGGGGAAAAGCAGCTGGTGTTTCTATTTGGGTGTGATCAATCTGTCACCCCGGGACTTAAGCAGAAGAAGTTTGTTTGTTTGTTTGTTGCCTTTGCTAGCCTGGCAGTAAGATTGTTTTTTTGTTGTTTTTTTCTATCTCAGAGAACTTTGGGGGGTGGAAGTAAAGATTTGTTTTTCTCCCTTTCCATCGGGCCTTTGCAGGAAGCAGCAGCTAAGCACTACTGGTCTTTTTTGAAGAAAAAATCTCATGCTGAATAAAAACTACAGTGGTAACTTGGGTTACAGACGCTTCAGGTTACAGACTCCGCTAACCCAGAAATAGTACCTCGGGTTAAGAACTTTGCTTCAGGATGAGAACAGAACTCGCGTGGCGGCAGCGGGATGCCCCATTAGCTAAAGTGGTACCTCAGGTTAAGAACAGTTTCAGGTTAAGAATGGACCTCCGGAACTACTGTATTTTTCGCTCTATAAGACGCACCAGACCATAAGATGCACCTAGTTTTTGGAGGAGGAAAACAAGACAAAAAATATTCTGAATCCCAGAAGCCAGAACAGCAAGAGGGATCACTGCGCAGTGAAAGCAGCAATCCCTCTTGCTGTTCTGGCTTCTAGGATAGCTGTGCAGCCTGCATTCGCTCCATAAGACGCACACACATTTCCCCTTACTTTTTAGTTGCCAGTTGCAAAACACTCCAGCAAGGGTGAAAGAGTGACACGAAAGGCCCGAGGAAGGCCGGAAGTCCCCCCGGCGCCTGGGGTTGCTGCCGGTCATTCCTTGGCCCCGCCCCTTCCCCCGGGCTGGAGGCGGGGGTGAGAGTGGTCCAAAGTGGCTTACCTGAAGGTTGATTAAGAACCTTTGATGGAAATCTAAAAGTGCAGCTGAATAGATAAAAGGCAGTGCTAGAAGAGGTCACAGAGTATGTATGGAGGGGGAAGGAGCCACCCAGAAGGCCTGATCTTGTATTTGTATCTTCCTCACCTCATGTAGTGGTTGCCTGCTGTGTCTCCTCATGATGCAGTGTTCTGGCTGTGCCGCTTCCTGAATAAGCCTCTGGCATCACATTGATCATTTGGTCACCCTTCACGTTAAGATTAAAGTTGAATTAGCTGCCCATAGTGGAGGTTGCCTGCTGTGTATCTGCTAATCAAGTATCTGGAATTCCACAGGCTGTGGTCATTATCACGCCTCATGCCAACATCTCAGCAGAATCATCTACCTACAGAAGTTGCTTGCTGTGTCCATGCATGAGTGGATTATCAGTGGTGTTATCCCAGTTTTGATGTGCTTATCTTTTAGGGCCTGCTTTGTTGTCCTTTTGGTGCCAGGCAAAATAATTTTTAAAAGAAACTAACAGGCCTTTTGGACTTAATTTTAGCCCTGATTGTTGTTATTAATCTGGATCTTATGATTTTGTTGCCTTTTTAGTCTGTCTGTTTTACAATCATTTTTTGTTTTGTTTTACCTATATTTTTATTGTTTTGGGGTTTTTTTCTTTTATGTAAACTACTCTGGGAATTCCTATTGAATTTTTATAAATTTTTTTATAATAAACAAACAAATAATGTTTCATTTGTTGGAGCAAAACTCAAAAGATGTGCTTCCAAAATACTTAAACAACACTTCACTTGAATTAGGTGTTTGCAAAACACTCCAGCATCACTTGAATTTCAGCATAAGGGAAAGAAGCTACCTAATTTGCTTCTTTCTCTTCCTGTTGTGTTTTTGCAGGATACAGTAGCAAGACACTGCTGGCATTTGCTGCAAAAGCTTGACTCAGGAGAAATAAAACACTTGTCCTTTTTCCCTCTAGAAGGAAATGAAGTACGGTAGTACCTCGGGTTAAGAACTTAATTACCGCATTTTTTGCTCTATAAGACTCACTTTTCCCCTCCTAAAAAGTAAGGGGAAATGTGTGTGCGTCTTATGGAGCGAATGCAGGCTGCACAGCTATCCTAGAAGCCAGAACAGCAAGAGGGATTGCTGCTTTCACTGCGCAGTGATCCCTCTTGCTGTTCTGGCTTCTGGGATTCAGAATATTTTTTGTCTTGTTTTCCTCCTCCAAAAACTAGGTGCATCTTATGGTCTGGTGCGTCTTATAGAGCGAAAAATACAGTAGTTCCGGAGGTCCATTCTTAACCTGAAACTGTTCTTAACCTGAGGTACCACTTTAGCTAATGGGGCATCCCGCTGCCGCCACGCGAGTTCTGTTCTCATCCTGAAGCAAAGTTCTTAACCCGAGGTACTATTTCTGGGTTAGCGGAGTCTGTAACCTGAAGCGTCTGTAACCCAAGTTACCACTGTAGTTTTTATTCAGCATGAGATTTTTTCTTCAAAAAAGACCAGTAGTGCTTAGCTGCTGCTTCCTGCAAAGGCCCGATGGAAAGGGAGAAAAACAAATCTTTACTTCCACCCCCCAAAGTTCTCTGAGATAGAAAAAAACAACAAAAAAACAATCTTACTGCCACTGTCAACCTCCACAGAGGATGGAGAAGAAAATAATCAATGTTTTCTCAAAAAGCAAACATGATTTTTGGTGAATGCTTAGAGGTGCTTGTCATTGGTGAGGAGGCAGGTGCAGTTAAACTCTGCTTATGCATTGATCATTCCATTAGGTGTGATTGGATCATTCTGCCATTCTCTATGCCCGGATCCCAACATGGAGGAGGCTTCCCATTCTCACTGTATGATTCATAGTGCCTTTCAAATCTTTCTGTGGACAGGTAATTCTGCCTCAGTCTATTCCTGAGGATGTGTTTGGATAGATAAGTTACTATAGATACCGAGATTGCAGTAGAATTGCATGATCTCAAAAGAGGAATGCCAGTCAAATTTTGAGTCACCACGCCAGGCTCAAGCCTTAGCTTGTCTTCCTCCATAGGTGGGGCTGTCACTTTTCAAGGTGAGGCGTCAAAGAAATTAACAGAAAAACCAGTAATTTCTTTATGACCAACAGAAAACCAACATTGTCACAAAGACCAAGTCTATGTGTTCTTAGGGCTGCGAGTTTTCTAAAGGAAACTTAGAGGGAATTTCTTTTGTGTGTAGACAACATGCATAGGCCATGCTGATTATGACTTTATGCTGTTATTGTAACAAATGTTAAAGAAGTTTCAATGCAAAGCAGTTGTATGCATGTTTACTCAGGAGAAAGTCCTACTGTTTCAGTGGAGCTACCGTATTTTTCACTCTATAAGACGCACCAGACCACAAGACGCACCTAGTTTTTGGAGGAGGAAAACAAGAAAAAAAATATTCTGAATCCCAGAAGCCAGAACAGCAAGAGGGATCGCTCTGCAGTGATCCCACTTGCTGTCCTGGCTTCTGGAACAGCTGCGCGAAGCCTCTTCAGGGCAGCAGGATGAAGGCTCCCCCTGCCCTCAAGAGGTTTCACACGGCTAAGCCAGAAGCCAGGACAGCAAGCGGGATCACTGCAGAGCGATCCCTCTTGCTGTCCTGGCTTATGGGATAGCCGCGCGCAGCCTCTCCCGGGCAGCGGGATGAAGGCTCCCCCAAGAGCCGCGCTCCCTTTAAAGAGTGCACGGAGCGTGTGTGTGGCTCTTGGCTTTTCCCCGAGGAGGGAGAAGGGCAGCCGTTCTCCCTCCTTGGGGAAAAGCCCCCACTCACTCCACGCGGCTCTTTAAAGGGAGCACTGAGCAGAGCCTCCCGCCTGCATTCGCTCCATAAGACGCACACACATTTCCCCTTACTTTTTGGAGGGGAAAAGTGCGTCTTATAGAGCGAAAAATACGGTGAGTGTCTTTAGAGCTGTAACCGGAGGTGTTTGTAACCTGAGGTACCACTGTATCAGTTTTATACTTTGCCTATAGATTGTCATTGAGCATTTTCCTCTTTTGGATGTTACTCTTAGGTCCTGACTCTAAATCTTCTTTTTTCAGTCTCTTAATGTTCAGTGGTACAGCTGCACTGTTGAACTGTAAGGAGCCCCGTGGGTTTGGGGCGCCGGTATGATTGCAGAGATGAGGCCTGCTACTTCCACGTAAGTCCCCTGCTAATATTTTGTTCCCCTTTGTGTGAATCCTTTTATAGAATTGAGTCTGTATGGTTGTAGAATTCAGGGAGTGCAACTTCTGACTTTTGCAAAATGCTTCATTGCCGTATAATGGCATAGTAACAGTGTTACGTTTCCCTCCCCATGTTTAGGGATGAAGAAGAAAATGCTACATTTAAAATTTTGGTTGCTACCGACATTCATCTTGGGTATTTGGAGAAGGACGCGGCACGTGGAAATGATACGTTTGTAACATTTGATGAAATATTGAAACTTGCTCAAGATAATGAGGCAAGGCAGTTTTATAACACTTTGTAAGGTTAGCATCAAGGGACCAGTATTTTCTAGAAATCAGTGTTTTAATGCGCCAACAGCTCTCTGTGTACCATGTAATCCATGGCATTGTGTAGGCCAGGGATGGGGAACTTGTGTCCCTTAGATTGTTGCTGAATTGCAGCTTCCCTCATCCCTCTGGGCCACCTGACTGATGCTGAAGGGAGCTGGATTTAACACAGGTTCCTCATCCTGAGTGCCTTCAACCATAAGCAAGGATTGGAATAGTAATGAAGGGCTACATGTGGCAGGATATTTTACTTAAACGGCTTCAGAGATGTGACATGTTGCAGAAAAAAATTGTTAAAATACAGATGGGACATTATGGGAATAGTAATGTGGCGGGGTGCGCTCCCGTTGTTCGGTCCCTGCTCCTGCCAACCTAGCAGTTCGAAAGCACGTCAAAGTGCAAGTAGATAAATAGGTACCGCTCTCTAGTGGGAAGGTAAACGGCGTTTCCGTGTGCGGCTCTGGCTCGCCAGAGCAGCGATGTCACGCTGGCCACGTGACCTGGAAGTGTCTCTGGACAGCGCTGGCCCCCGGCCTCTTGAGTGAGATGGGCGCACAACCCTAGAGTCTGTCAAGACTGGCCCGTACGGGCAGGGGTACCTTTACCTTAATGTGGTTCTGCCAATGCATCAGTTTCTTGAACTTTCACTGTAACATATAATGTATTATAGCTGATTTAAAAAAATGAATATATTACTTTTACACAGTTACAAAATTAAATATTTATTAAAGACTCAGTATAAATTTGACAGTAAGAGCTGTTCGACAGTGGAATTTGCTGCCAAGGAGTGTGGTGGAGTCTCCTTCTTTGGAGGTCTTTAAGCAGAGGCTTGACAACCATATGTCAGGAGTGCTCTGATGGTGTTTCCTGCTTGGCAGGGGGTTGGACTCGATGGCCCTTGTGGTCTATTCCAACTCTATGATTCTATGAAATTCCTGGATAAATTTGCCCTTTTATGTACTGTTCTCTGTTTAAGGCTAATCAGTGCTGAAAGAGCAAGATTAATTTTGATTATTTAGATTTTGTTTGCACTGTAAATTGCTTTTAGGTAACCAAAAACGGCTCAGAGAAATTTAGCTGTTTAATATGATGTATATAATGTTATTATGAATAATAAATACAATAATAATATAATACTGCCAATTTATTTATTTATTAATACTCTTTGCAAAGGTGTATGGTTTCACAAAACTGAAGTAAAAAATTATAAATGGAAATGGTTTTCAATATTTTAAAATAACTTTTCCCTTTCCTTTTTATAGGTGGATTTTCTTTTATTAGGAGGCGATCTCTTTCATGAAAACAAACCTTCCAGAAAAACATTACATACTTGCTTAGAATTATTAAGAAAATATTGTATGGGCGACCGTCCTATACAGTTTGAAATTCTGAGTGACCAGTCAGTTAATTTTGGTTTTAGCAAGTAGGTATCTTTATGATAAAACTGACTATCATAGTTGTAATGTTTTCTAAATTGAGTTTAATAAATGATAATAATTATTCTGCAGCCATTCATTTATGGCATGTTTCAGTGTAAAAAGTGATGACTTGAGCAGTGATATTTCTGTTTATAAATAAACTTAAACTTCACTCTCCTGTTCAGGTTTCCTTGGGTGAACTACCAAGATGACAATCTCAACATTTCTATTCCAGTTTTTAGTATTCATGGCAACCATGATGATCCAACAGGGGTAAGAATGTTATACAAAAGTTGATAAATAGTAGGGTTAATGAATTATTGGATATGACAAACCTTCAGAAGATTAGTAAAGAGTTTAAACATCAGAATCCAGCAAACATTTACGCATTGATGTCCTTACAGTACAGCCCTAATAATGTCTACATAGAAGTAAGTCCTATAGAGGTCATTTGGGTTAGGATTGTAGCCTTAGTGAGATTGCAACATTGGTGCCTAGGTAAACTACTGTCTTAATTCTTGCATGAAACGGTTATGGTGGCTTACATTATAATTTTGAAATAGTTGCATTGAGGTTTTTAAATGATTTATGCTTTTTAAGAAGGCATAAACTTGTTACATAAGGTGCTGAAAATGTGGTTGATGTGGCTCTCTGTTTCCTTTGTTGGCCTAGGATAAAACATGCTTTTTAATGGCATAAACATGTACACTTACCATGTAATCAATTCTAGTTTATCCTCTTAAGGTCCACAAAGATATTAGTACTTAGCATTTTAAATATCTTTCATGTCTACATAGATCTCTGTTCATTGTTTGTGGCCTATTGATGGCCTGAAGAAGGAGGGAAAAGAATCAATTCCACTTTACAAAAGCTTTCTTGCCCAGATGCCGAGCCCTAGAGGCTGTTACAGGCACCAGGCTAGTAGCTATTTATAAGCCTAGTTTAGCTGATCTGGAAAAGAATACAAGATTTTCCTTCCTTAAATGCTTTACATTGGTTGGGAAACCTGTGTTCCTCTACATGTTGCTGGACCACAACTATCATCCCTGGCTGGCTGTGGCTAATGGGAATTGTAGTCCAACATTTGCTGGACCACATTTTCCTCATCTGTACTTCATGTGTTGCTGGGTTAAATGGTGACCAAGCCAACCTTTGATAAACAAATGCTAATTTTAGATATTCCTTCATCTATCTTACAGGCAGATGCTCTTTGTGCTTTGGACATCTTAAGTTGTGCAGGACTTGTGAATCATTTTGGACGATCACCATCTGTAGAGAAGATAGACATTAGTCCTGTTTTGCTTCAGAAGGGCAGTTCCAAAATTGCTCTTTATGGATTAGGTATGCTATTTTTTTTTTTTTGAATGGTGGCAAGGCTTTAATGAAACCATAACATCTTGGAGGAACATCAGGTCTGGCCTGAAGATGGTGAATTTTATTTATTAGAATTAGCTTTATGATCCTGGGGTGTAAGTTTAGTGGAGTTTGATATGGAAAACCTTAAGTCTGTTGACCAGTATTTATGGTTTTCACCAAATGAGGGGAACCTAGGTTTGATGTCTCAAAAGTTTGTAGTAAATAGCTCTTTCCATTATACCTGTCAGTAAATCAAAGGGGAAAAAGATGGTAAGCAATGAGTGCATTAAAAGTGCTTTGCATTTAATAATTAAATTATTTGTGGCTCATTGAAAACCCTATCCATTATTATTATTATTTAATTAAATACTGACTTTCCCGCCTCTGTCTTCCTGGTTCATTAGTACTGGCCTGCTTGCTGTCTCCTTGACCACATTTTCTTTCATTCTCCTATTTTTCTACAGAAACATTTTCTTTCATTCTCCTACTTTTCTACAGAAACCTGAGTGCCATTGCCAATACTACTTTGTGGAAGTCACACAAACACCTGTTGTTTTTTTAAATCAAGTGATGTATTTAAATTTTACTAAACAAATACAGTGGTACCTCGGTTTTCGAACGTCTCCATTAACAAACATTTCGGTTTTTGAACACCGTAAACCTGGAAGTAAATGCTTCGGTTTTTGAACATGCCTCGGAAGTCGAACATGCCGTGCAGCTTCCGCTGAGTGCAAGATCCTGAGGCCTAGCTGTTGCCTCTTGAGGTTTCAGTTTCCGAAAGTTTCAGAACTCGAACTGTCTTCTGGAACGGATTGTGTTTGAAAAATGAGGTACCACTGTAAAAGGAAGTTCATGTAGATTGCAGATGTGAGGCAAATTGGCTTGAGCTGGTAGATAGCACCGTGTAGGAATATAGCAAGCTGGCTTATACTGAGATAATAATAATAATAATTATTATTATTATTTTATTTATATCCCGCCCTCCCCAGCCGAAGCCGGGCTCAGAGCGGCTAACAACAGTAAAATAATACAGCATTCTAAAATCACTTCATTATAAAATCAGTTCAAATCAAATTGATGGCAACCATTGGCTAGAGTTCTGTGAAGAATTACCATTCCATCTAGAGCAGTATTGTCTACATTGACTTGAAGCAGCTGTCCAAGAATTCAGATAGGATTCTCTCGAACCAGGGACCTTCTGTGTGCAAAACAGATGCCTCACTTCTGAGCTACAGCCCCTCCTCAAAACAGAACAATAAACTCTTGAGCTCATGTTCCGGAACCTATTTTTTCCCAGATTTCTCTGCTGCTGTTGCTTTGGCCTGCCAATTTATCGTTAGCATGTTATCCCTACTTTGCTTCCATCCAGCACTTGTATTTCTTTTAGAAACTGTCCTGGGAGTGGGGTGGGAATCAGGTTTTAAATATTCTAGAAACCTAAACAATTGAGATTGCCGCTCTCCTTTTAGTCAGGCTTGATAATAAATACTTTGGCAGTAGGCAGCCACTTCCTGCCCAACTCACCAAGCTCAGGGCTCCCTCCTTCACTGGATGCCATAGCTCATGGGTGGGCAAACTAAGGCCCAGGGGCCAGATGCGGCCCAATCGCCTTCTAAATCCGGCCCGCGGAAGGTCCGGGAATCAGCGTGTTTTTACATGAGTAGAATGTGTCCTTTTATTTAAAATGCATCTCTGGGTTATTTGTGGGGGCTGCCTGGTGTTTTTTACATGAGTAGAATGTGTGCTTTTATTTAAAATGCATCTCTGGGTTATTTGTGGGGCACAGGAATTTGTTCATTTCCCCCCCCCAAAATATAGTCCAGCCCTCCACAAGGTCTGAGGGACAGTGGACCGGCGCCCTGCTGAAAAAGTTTGCTGACTCCTGCCATAGCTCCTTACTGTGTTTCTTTGACTAGGACACACATCACTGGTCTGGGGGCTACCAGCCTTTACTTTGTCCTGAGTGCAGCCTCGGCAGTTCTGCTCTGTGTCATTTTTGGACAGGGAACTCAGTGCAGCAGCTTAGGAGGGCAGTGATGACTGTGTAGGAATGTGTCAGATGCCTCTTGGCTGCTGACCCAGGACATGCTACTTTCTGAAAGTGAATATGTAAGTGGCAAATTACAAGGCAGTTTTAGACCTTTTCTAAACATTGGCAACTTTAATACCAACCATTGGGCTATCAAGGATAATTTAGTCCAACCTCTTGCCAATGAAGGAAGTCTTTTACCGCAGTACAGTATGTCATTTTCACGGTATTTCATCACAAACAACTCACTACAAGGTAATTATTATGTCCGTTCCAGGATCTATTCCAGATGAGAGGCTTCACAGAATGTTTGTGAACAAGCAAGTAACTATGCTGAGACCAAAGGAAGATGAAGATAGTTGGTTTAATCTGTTTGTAATTCACCAGAACAGGTACTGCTGTTGTGTTTTTGTATATTCTGTTAGCCAAGAGGGTCTAGGGCAACCCAGTCACACGGGTGAGGTACAAATGTTGATGATGAAATTTGTACCTTTCTCTCTCCCCTCCACTCAGCCTTGATTTAAAGTTGTCATTTTGCTTGTTCTTTGATGTCAGAAAAAAGATGGTGGACTACATACCAGTTCTGCACAGCTGATGTGAATATAGAGTACTTTTCTGAATTGGAGGGACATAAATAATAACCTTAAGCAACAGGTTTTAACTCTTTAATAGGGAAGGTCTAAAGTACCATAATCCTTAGGGTAAGGAATAGTTGCTCTTAGTAATTTGAAAAATAAACAACTTTGGTTTATGTGGGATCCAAAGTTCTTATTTGAATGATGGCTTGCTCTTGTCAAGTGAGTAACCTTTTCTGTTACCTGTGTTTATAAATAACAATGGATAAATTTTGCTTTTCATTCTGGCTCCTTGGTGTGGATGGGTCACTTTTGATTATGCAGAAAATGAGGTTCAGTGGTGGTAGGATTGCATAAGGCTATGGGGGACTTAGCAATAGGACCCAAGTGTCCTACTCTCTGAGTCAACAATGCAGGTGGAAGGAGTTGCTGGGCTATTTTCCTATGCTTCAGTGCTACCCTTATAATGGCCTCTTACCTTTGACCGTTGTTGAACTGTCTGCAACCTGAACTTCTGTCTGTCTTACAGCTTTAATTTAATTTGCTTTTCCTTACCTTTTGAAAATTGTACCTGATACACATGTTTTGGCAGTTGTTAAAGTGGAATTAAATATTTTATAAACACATATTTTAACTGGAATATTTTAGTTTGATATCAGTTTAAAACCACCTCCTCAGTTTTGCAATTACATTTGTATGCTTCCTTTTGTACAGGAGCAAACATGGTGCCACAAATTATATTCCGGAACAGTTTCTAGATGATTTTATTGACCTTGTAATTTGGGGTCATGAGCATGAATGTAAAATAGCTCCTGCCCGAAATGAACGACAACTTTTCTATGTGTCTCAGCCAGGAAGTTCAGTGGTCACATCTTTGTCACCAGGAGAAGCTGCCAAAAAGTATGTACTTGGGTTTTATTTATTTTGTCTGGTTTACTAAATGAGATCTTGCAAATTACTGTATTTTTCCGTCTATGAGATGTCCCCCATGTATAAGACGCCCCCCCCCTATTTTTGTGGCAACAACCAATCACCAGTCCACCCTCGGCACTATCCGTGTATAAGACGCACCCTAATTTTTGACATTTTTAAAAGGAAGAAAACCTAGTCTTATACACAGAAAAATATTATATTCTTTGCTTGCTCTCACCCTTTCGGCTTGTTTATAAGGTGAAAGCAGGGGACTCTAATTTCTATTCCTGGTATTAAGGGGAAACTAGTGAGGAATTAGAAGATCTCCCCATCCCTTAAGCCCTGCCCCTTAGTTTTAGCTGCTTGCTCCTACCTGAGTCCCATAATCTGCTCAGCTTCGAAAACGCTGTTATAGAGAAGGCTTCAGGGCTCTCTCACTGTGACAGATGGCAATTCCTGTTGTTACAGTACTAGGACTGCGCCTCCCTTCCTACAATTTCAGTGATTTACCAAAGGGTCCAGGACCTGACTTGACTTGTGGCTGCTGATTCCCCAGTTGTACTATCTGTTCTTGGTACAAGCATGCCACATACCATTCAGCTGAAAGGTCTACAAGAAGGGAGAAGGCACTGAGCCTCTTGTCTGTGTTCCCTGCTTTTTTCCAGGGGTGGAACTGGACTGACATAAAGTGGCAGGTAGAGAGGGCTGGGCTAAGGAGAACAAGCTCTGCATTGTTCCAGTCCTGGCCAGGGAGGCTGGGGTATAAATATATTATTATTATTATTATTATTATTATTATTATTATTATTATTATTATTATTATTTGTGGACCCTCCCCGAATAGTGATCTTGTAAACTAGCAAATTGAACCATAACTGTTTTCTTTGCTATGCTCCTTTGAAACAAACAAACAAACAAACAAACAAACAAACAAACAACAAACATTCAGAATCTTAGTAGCAGAATAGCCTCCATGGGCACCAGCAACCCTTAATCCAAATGGCTATGGAGCAATTAACCCAGAGACGTGGAGAACTGCACAGGAAAATTTTGCCATGCAAGGTGCAGAGTGGGAGAATCTGGCATTTCTTTCCTCAAGTAAAGGAAGGAAAGATGGGGAGCCAGTTATTATTGGAGGAGGCCCTGTTCTCTGGGGCTAAGAGGCAGTCTCTGGTATAACTTCTGAAGGAGACTGGACTGCCTTTGGCTCAAGTCCCAGGTCAACTTCCTACCTTCTGACGGAAGACAGACCTCGAGGAGCTCATGCACTGGCATGAGAACCAAATAATAATTAAAGAGAGAGAGAGAATAAAGGAAAGAGGTCTGTGTCATCCAAGATGCAGAGTGCAAGAATCTGCCATTGTTGTTCTCTTCTTAAGAGAAGAGAATACAAGTAAATAGATTTCTGTAGCTTAGGTAATGTAGCCTTGTTTTATCTCAGGAAGACAGAATTGCGATTGTAGATTTACTGACTACATTTTAGACTAAAAACTGCTTGCCTGGTGCCTGTAAGTTCCCAAACCATTTGCTGAGCTGCTGAGATACTTGAGGAGGAAGGACAGGTTCTGTAATGTTGTTGATAGTGAATGCAAGGAAAATGAAAGGTCAGCTGGTCTTGGTGAAAGAAACCTGTGGAGGCAGAATAGGATTCATGATGGGATAGGGATTACAGATGGCAGGTTATTTCTGTCAAAAATGTAAGTCAGATCTTTAGCTGCAATGGTCTGCATTAAGCTAAATCCGAGAAGGGGATTATTGCACATCTCCATTCACTGCCCATTTGTATAAGGACCCAGATCCATTTTGATTATTCCCAGTGTGAACTTCTCCTAGCCATGGCCCTTGAACTCTCTGTCCACCTGTTCAGGCTCCTATAACAAGTAACAGCTTTCCATCATGTTGACAACTCTGTGAGCCTAACAGTGATCATGGCTGAAATAAATTCTCAGGGTATATGCCACACTCGATTTACCCGGCTTTACTCAATGCATTCCAGACATGTTGGCTTGCTGCGCATCAAAGGCAAAAAAATGAATATGCAAAAGATTCCTCTCCAAACAGTACGGCCTTTCTACATTGAGGACATTGTTCTTGCTGACCATCCTGACATCTTTAATCCCGACAATCCTAAAGTAACACAAGCGATACAAGCTTTCTGCATGGAAAAGGTAGGAGCTGGAAAAGATAGGAGTGGGGCACGAGTCCACTATGGTTTTGGATATTAGGAGTGCTGTCTCATTGTGTACAGGGACACTTTGTATGTGGGTTGTAGTATTGTGGAATATGAATGGTTCATAGACTTAATGTTTGAGGCTGTGAATCTACTATTCACAGTGTTGTCAAATGGATGGTGAGTGATACTGGATGAATGATTGCATGTTGTGGGGTTTGAAATATTTATGTCATACTGCCTTGTAGTTCTTTCAGCCAGATGGGCAGGGTAAAAATAATAAAAATACTATTAATTATTATATTATATTATAATATTAGGATATTGCCTTTGTATTCTGTTATGTGAATAATTTGATGTGGTTTTTTGCACTGAATTCTGCATGTAAACTGCTTTGAGATCTTTTAGATGGTTGATAAATGGAAATAATAAACAAATAGCCAGGTATGTGTTTTTCCCCCTTCTCATTTTTAAAGGTTGAAGCCATGTTGGACAATTCAGAAAGAGACCGTCTTGACAACCCCAGACAACCGGATAAGCCTCTAATAAGATTACGAGTAAGATGGGGCTCCTAATATGTTTTTTTAAAAAATTAAAAAGCAATGTAGCAAACATATTGTTAAACACACTACATATTTTAAAGTGCTCTTGTTCGGCATACATTTTAGAGCCTCCCTCCCCCTTCGTGGAGTGGCAGTACATGACTATCTTGTCTGCATTCCTTGAAGCAGTGGAACTGAGGCCCTTATGGGAAATAATAAGAGGTTTAAAAGCCATCTAGCTATTTAAAGGGATGTGGGTGGTGCTGTGGGTTAAACCACAGAGCCTAGGGCTTGCTGATCAGAAGGTCGGAAGTTCAAATCCCCACGACAGGGTGAGCTCCCGTTGCTCGGTCCCAGCTTCTGCCAACCTAGCAGTTCGAAAGCACGTCAAAGTGCAAGTAGATAAATAGGTACCGCTCCGGCGGGAAGGTAAACGGCGTTTCCGTGCGCTGCTCTGGTTCGCCAGAAGCGGCTTAGTCATGCTGGCCACATGACCCGGAAGCTGTACGCCGGCTCCCTCGGCCAATAAAGCGAGATGAGCGCTGCAACCCTAGAGTCGGCCACGACTGGACCTAATGGTCAGGGGTCCCTTTACCTTTAACTATTTAAAAAAGAGAGAGAAATGCGGTTTTTGATGTTTGAAACAATTTTTGTTTGCTTGTAAAAGCTTGCTGTTGAGATGAATTATTAAAGATGGGTATCTTGAATGTTGTGCTGTATTGTAAACACCAGTATGGTTAGTTAGATATTCACAAGGGCGTTAGACTAAACTGATGAAAGCCTGATCATTTTAGATGTTTGGTTGCAGAGCCTATACCTTTAATGCTTATTTTCTTCTCTCTTTTTTTGAAGGTAGATTACAGTGGAGGCTTTGAACCATTCAACATTGTGCGTTTCAGCCAAAAGTTCATGGATAGGATAGCTAATCCCAAAGATATCATACATTTTTTCAGGCACCGGGAGCAAAAAGAGAAAAATGGTAAAAGAATGAACAATAATGTAGCTTCTACAGAGGATTATAGCAAATATGTTGGTGTGGCAACAATGTATTTGAAGCATTGCAGTGCTTCTATACAACAATAATGTAGCATTGTTCTATAAGCAGAAATCCTTTTTGACAGGATGTGTTAGTTTAATATCTCTCTGAGTATGATTTAAACATTGGGAACCAACCAATATATATCATAAAATATTAGTTACCACAGGTTAGCAATTGTTCTGTGTTAAGGTCAGATATTCACACACACACACACGGACTGTTCTTTTGAATTATTTCACCCTGCAGATATGCATTTTGCCTTATTGTAATGATAATTTGGGGTAGCAAACAATTTCTCTACATGGGCTAAAAATTGCATTGTTTTTCCTTTGTTTTAAAGATGAGATTAACTTTGGAAAACTGGTCCACAAGCCTGCATCAGAGACAACAACTTTGAGGGTAGAGGATCTTGTTAAACAATACTTCCAGACAGCTGAGAAGGTAAACTTATTATTCAGAATTTGAGGTGTTATTTCCTTCTTGTTATTTCAGGTTGAAATTCTGGTTTTAATGCTAATTTAACAGCAGGTGCATTTTGTTTCTCAAAGCCTTATAGCTATTGATTCTTCATTCTAAGAGTCTGAAATTGTGTGGAAGGAAAAAAATCTAGAAGAGGAATAGTGTTAAATTTTTTTGAGCAAAAAACCAACAGAGGCTTGTGGCCCCCAAGAAAAAGAGATGATTCATATACAACAGCAAACCATGATGTGTTCTGATGTGTGAATTGATACCATCTGATAAACCATGGTTTGTGAGCGGACACAAAACCAGGACCAAAATCGCATAATTTGAAGCTGGTTTGCAGACCAGTTTGGGTAAACTCTTTCATCATTGGACCCAAACTGTCCAATAATAACGTCTGTTAAAATACACAAAATAAGTAAATGATCCACAAAACCAAGTCTAGGTCTTGCAGCAATCATTCCAATAGACCTGAGAAGGCGCTGCAAAAACAGTTATTGAGCTTCTTTTGTAAGTTTGCTGAGCTGTTTTTTTTAAAAAAAATATTTTTATTAAAGGTTTCTCAGTTTGCTGAGCTGTTGAGCTGTCTTTTGAGGAATCGCCCCTGGCTCCAGTCCTCGCTTACTTACCGTATTAACCTGTGTATAAGATGACCCCCAATTTATCACTAAAAAAAATTCCAGAAAAAAGGTCGCCTTATACATGGAAAAATATGGTATGCTTTAATCTGAGGTCTGAAAACAAAGTAAGGAGCAATTGCACCTCTGTGGGGAGGCAGTTGTGCATATAGCGTTAAAGGGAAGTTTTCCTTCTGCCCATACCTGCTGCATTTTGGGGAAGCCTTGCACCTTTTCTCTTGCATTCTGGAAAGTCTTGCTTATAATCTTTTCCCTGCTTTTGCACACACTGTACAGATCTGTTCTAAACACCAAGACATTCCCTCCTTGCTCAGCTCACCCTAAGTTCATGATGACTTGTTCTTTATGCCTAGCTGACCACATCTACAGAACTTGATTGTTATATTGTTTCATGCCATGATCCATCATTAGTAATTGTTTGTGCCATATTAATCTCTAGTTACAATTTAATTAGGAGGCTTCATGCCTGTCTAGTTCTAGCTTCGATTCCCAGCCTTTAATCCATCGATAATAAATGATCACACGTGATCCCCACCTCTCACATGTAATTCCCGCCTTATGCTTATGTATCAACCAATCAGCGACAAGCACACCTGTGGCAATGTTTGTAATATTCAATAAAAGAGGCTCCCAGGGTCCGCCCTGGCCAGACGCCTCATGTTACACCTGCCTCTCTCGTCTCCTGTGATTTTTCATTCCTACATAGCGTTCCACAACGGAGAAGGCCCTGCTCTGCGTTGCTACACCACTAACTGGAACAATGAGGAGGGCCTCTGCAAATCTTAACACAAAGGTGGAGAACCTTTTTCTGAAGGTCAGATAGAAAAGCCTGGAGGACTGCATAGTACAAACCATGGTTTAGTGTTACGCCTGAACCAGTGCAGGCTGATTTATTACACTATGTGCTTTTGTAGTCAAGAACCATAAAGCTTTGGGTGGCATTCAACTAAATAATTGTGTGAGCACAATGACTTCACCCTGTGCATCCCTGCCTTTAGCCAATACTTTTCAATCACTTGCATTTCGGCTCATCTTAAGTCCCCACTCCCCAGCAGGTTACATAGTTTCACCACCCAAGAACACCAGTTTTAAATAAATCGGGGGTATTCAATGCAGTATCTTGTTTGTCTTTCTGCAAGAAAGTGCAGCTTTCCCTCCTGACTGAAAGAGGCATGGGAGAGGCAGTGCAAGAGTTTGTGGATAAGGAGGAGAAGGATGCGATTGAGGAGCTGGTGAAATTCCAGCTAGAGAAGACGCAGCGGTTTCTGAAGGAACGCCATACAGATGCAGAGGAAACCAAAATTGATGAAGAGGTTAGTATGGAGCATGGGTAGGCAAACTAAGGTGCGGGGACCGGATGCGGCCCAATCGCCTTCTAAATCTGGCCAGCAGATGGTGTGGGAATCAGCATGTTTTTACATAAGTAGAATGTGTCCTTTTATTTAAAATGCATCTCTGGGTTATTTGTGGGGCCTGCCTGGTGTTTTTACATGAGTAGAATATGTACTTTTATTTAAAATGCATCTCTGGGTTATTTTTGGGGCGTAGGATTTTTTTTTCTTTTTCAAAATATAGTCCGACCCCCCACAAGGTCTGAGAGACAGTGGACCGGCCCTCTGCTGAAAAAGTTTGCTGACCCCTGTATGGAGGGACTTACCTTTCTTGAAATGACAGTGGGTAGCAATATTTGGGAGAAAGAAAGGTGTTGGAACTTCACAATTGTTTTCTGTAAATGTCCAACGTCCCCGCCCCACCCCCAATTCACCGTTCTGACAAGCCGATCCTTTTTACTAGTGTGTTCTGAAGGTTGGAGTATTAAAAGATAACCCAGCCCCTTAATTTATGAGACATCTTATTAAAGTGACTGAGTGGCATTGCCATTTCAAGCCACAAGATGGCAGCAAAATAGTATAAACTGGCTTTACACAGCTGGATGCCCTCCAGTTGATTCAGACCCAACAACCTTAATCTGAATGACTTAATAGCTGTTGGATGCATTTACTAATGTAAGTCATGAAGGTCAAGCTCTACATATCAGCATCTCAGGATGTCCCCCCCCCCCCATTATTTGTTTTAATAATGGAAAGAGGAAAACAGTCCCATTCTTTTTTGCCTATCTTTTTTACCCTTAAAGTGTAAAAATACATAGTTACCGTAGTTACCTTTTACCACTTCAACACAGGTGCAACGCTTTAGAGAGTCGAGAAGAAAAAACACCATGGAGGAGGACGAGGAAGTTCGAGAGGTAATTAAGCTGAAAAAATTGAAAGGATCTAAGGTGACTTGGGCCATCATAGCTGTCAACTTTTCCCTTTTCTTGCGAGGAATCCTATTCAGAATAAGGGAATTTCTCTTTAAAAAAGGGAAACGTTGACAGCTAGTTGATTGGCTTGAATAACATTTCTTTAGAGAGAGAGAGAGAACTTCCGTATGCAAGCAGTAGTTTCCATTGTGTCCAAAATGTGTATCGCAGTATGTTGACATTCATTTCAATATTTTACCCATTTCATATTTCTTTGGTAACAAACATGTTCCCCAAACTTTGCCCTGATCACATGGTGTTGCAAGCTGTGCTTAATTAAAACTGGAAGCAGAAGCTTCCAGACTCCTCCTCCTCAACCAACACTGAGCCTCAGTGGGAGTTTAGGCTCATTCTTGTGAAGCACAAAACTCCGACTTAGCTGCTAATACAAGTTGGCTCCAGCAAAATAGATACTTTTGACTTCTCCCCTCTCAGCTACCATCATGTATCTGTCTACATTGGCAAACCCAAAGATCCAGAGTTTTCCATCACTGCTGGATGCCAAAACACGGCTCTTAAGAGGCACAGTCTATGGGTTCTAATAGTTTTTGCAAGGGATTGCCTAAAATTTGCCATGAAATCATAGATCACCAGATTTGTTCAGTGATTTGTTGACGGTTTTTTTTTTGTTATCCTTTGTAAAAAGCATGTCTTGAATCAATGTTTCATCATGGCAAGGAATGGATCTGTGATTTTTTACTGTGTGGTCTACCAATGTAAGCTCAATATTTTATGGTGGTGATGGGAACCCTGTGTAAAACCATGCAAATTCAAGAATATCTGTTTTAATTTTTCTGAACCTGGCAGGTGTGTCTGTGTGTGGGATGGTGGTGGTCACTTGTTCTTCCTTGCTTCCAAGAGAGAAAGAACCTTTTGAAAAGGGAACCTTTTTAAAAGAGAAGCTTTTAATGTTTAATAGACTATTGTATTTTAATATTGTGTTGAAAGCTGCCCAGAGTGGCTGGGGAAACCCAGCCAGATGGGCGGGGTATAAATAAAGTATCATGAATAATAATAATAATAATAATAATAATAATAATAATAATAATATTACCAGAGAGGGTGGTGCCCATGGTGCACACTCAAAAGTTCTTGGGCTCAAAAAGGTTTTTCAGCATTGATTTAGCATTACGCCTGAAGCAACCCCCTGGGGAAAGCAGATGAAACTTCGATTTTTGTTCCAGTAAGGCCGTTAATATGCTTCAACATTGGTTAATACTTTTCTCTCAGGCTTTAAACAGGGCCAAAGCTCATAGATCTCAGGGAGCCTATCATGCTTCCGTCAGTAGTGATGATGACCTCATGGATGTGGCTGCCTCTGGTCAAAGGGCTAATGATGATTCGGATGATGATGATTTGCCACCCAGCAGAGGAAGAGGGAGAGGTCGGGCAAGAGGCGGTAAAGGGCAGAACGCAGCAGCAAGAGGAGCATCTCGACGAGGAAGAGGAGGCCAGTAGCCTTATTGTCCTTTGCAATTGCAATCCCAAGATAGTGGGATTATGATGGTGACGATAGTCATAATATGCATATATACATAAAGCTCTGAAGGGATGCTGGTGGCGCTGTGCTCTAAATCACTGAGCCTCTTGGGCTTGCTGATCAGAAGGTCGGCGGTTCAAATCCCCGCGACGGGGTGAGTTCCTGTTGCTCTGTCCCTGCTCCTGCCCACTTAGCAGTTCAAAAGCATGTCAAAGTGCAAGTAGATAAATAGGTACCACTCCAGCGGGAAGGTAAACGGCGTTTCCGTGCGCTGCTCTGGTTTGCCAGAAGCGGCTTAGGCATGCTGGCCACAAAGCGAGATGAGCGCCGCAACCCCAGAGTCGTTCACTACTGGACCTAGCGGTCAGGGGTCCCTTTAGCTTTATACATAAAGCGCAGTTTGCAAATGTGCACAGTTTGCTAGGAGAAAAAAGGACTATATGTTACCCATGTGCCCCGTTACCTCCAGACTGGTGGAATCCTTTCCTTGTGTGAGGAGGACGTTGTTGTTTAGTCGTTTAGTCGTATCCGACTCTTCATGACCCCATGGACCAGAGCACACCAGGCACTCCTTTGAGGAGGATACTTATGATTACACAGGCATAGGCAAACTCCAGCCCTCCAGATGTTTGGGACTACAATTCCCACCATCCCTAGCTAACAGGACCCAGTGGTCAGGGATGATGGGAATTGTAGTCCCAAACATCTGGAGGGCCGGAGCTTGCCTATGCCTGATTAAACAGATCAAAGAGGGAATTAGAGGTATTTCTTAAGCACACATCCATTCTATGATGATTTGCATTGGTGATTCATGGTCAATTTCCAGTTTTAAGGAAGCATTTGCATATCTTTCATCTTAGATCATTTTCTCTGCCCTAGCTCTTCTCTGTCAACCCTTTTCATGCTGGGGTGATACAGACACCTGCCCCAAACGCCAAACACTTGTGGCTCTTATGATTGCAGGAAACCTCTCCCTGGCCACTACTTTTTCCTTAGAGGAATTCTATCTGCACATGCATTCACGGAAATGGCAGAGACTGTCTTACATTTGCATGCACATGCTTTCTTGAGCATGCGCTACTCTAGTTAGTACAATGAAGACCCTCTTCTTACTTCTTCAGGCCAAAATAGAGCTTCCTTTCTCAGGTACAGGCTACCATTCTTAGAGCTGAGTGTGTCATAACAGGCATGCATAACGAAACACAGAGAAAAGGGTTGGATCACTCTATCTGCTGCACCGTAGTGGCTCAGTTAAAAATTGGAGAAATGTAAACATCCGAATATTTACTTTCTATTATTGCAGGAGGCATTGGCCAGGACCAGATGATTAGCAGCAGAACATATAAATCTGCACCCGTCCCTACAAAGAATATGTCCATCATGGATGGTACGTTCAGAATGCAAGTGAACCCCTATATCATATTGACATGCATGTCCGAATTTATTACTCTCTTTAATGATACCTTAAGAAAATAATCCACTTGATGTTTTTGATGTGTCATAGTGTTGTACGTGTGTCATTTTCAGAGGTTTAGTTGTCTTAGGGTGCCCCGCAAGACGAATGCCTCGCAAGACGAAAAACCCGCTAGACGAAAGGGTTTTCCGTTTTTCGATGCACTTTGCAAGACCATTTCCCCTATGGGCTTGCTTCGCAAGACGGAAACGTCTTGCGAGTCTTGCGATTTTTTTCGCTCCCCCCCCTTTTTCTAAGCCGCTAATAGCCTTTTAGCCGCTAAGCCTTTAATAGCCGCTGAGCCGCTAATAGCCTTTTAGCCGCTAAGCCGCTAAGCCTTTAATAGCCGCTAAGCCGCTAAACCGCTAATAGCGCTAATTCGCTAAGCTGCTAATAGGGTTGCTTTGCAAGACGAAAAGACCGCTAGACGAAGAGACTCGCGGAACGGATTATTTTCGTCTTGCGAGGCACCACTGTATATATAACGTGTGTGTCAGCCTATATACGTACCTGCTTGCTTGTGGGTTAATTTGCCATTTCTCAGTAAAAAGCAATCTGATGCACAGCAGCTACTTCTAGATATGCCTTCATAGCAATTCCAGTTGTTCATGCTCTACAGGTACTAATGGTGAATGACGTTTTCAGGCAGCTAAGAAAATAAAGCGCTGTAGGGAGATGACCTTGCACAGGATTGTGTATTGTGATCACAATGGTAACCTGTGAAATGTAGGCTTCCCATGGAATTATCGTGGGTTGTAAGACAGTGTGATTTTCACATTTTATATTTTACGTTTAACTCTCCTGTTTTATGTCGGTTTGCTTTCTAGCAAGAGAAGCGAAGAACCCACTGCTTTTTGTATCTTAAGGTTGAATACTAGCATTCTGTATTCCTCTTGGCGCAAGAGGATAGAGCAGCTGTTCAGGTTTTTAAAAACTTACTTGTACCAGTAGCATGTCTCATTCTTATTAAGTTAATTCACAAGTAACTTGTTTTGGTGTTTTTCACCATTTTTAATTATCTTATAAATTCCCTTGAGACAGTTGTTTGGAAGGCAATTAATAAATTGATGATGGGGAAAATAATAATAATGATGGGAATAACAGTCAATAATTCATGTTACTTGCAGTAAGTGTGTTTTCAAAGCTTGCATGTTTTTTGTTGCATTTTGTGTACTTAAAAACCATGATTTTTTTGTTGTGATGCTACAAATTTCCACTAAGCTCCTTTGATTAATTTATAACACCCTACAGTAAAACTTCTCACTTATAATTTATTCTAGCTTTCAAGTCATCAAGACAGCAACCTCCCCGGAATATGCCAGTCAAGAGTTATTCAGAGGTGAGTAGTTATTTCATGGATATTAAAGCAGAAGATTTCCTTTTGCCTGTTAGCAGCTTCTTTGTATATATGTATTCTTGCTTGCATGCAATTAAAATACACACACACACACACACACACCTACCTCCTTTCCACTAAAATGCAGCTCAAAATGCAAAATAAACGATTAAGTGGATTTTACTTGATATTTTGTCTAGCAAAAGGAGAGAGGATCTTACCTGTAGGCTTGTGTTTGTTTATTTCATAAAATTTATACTCTGTAAAAAAACAAACCACCCTTAAAATGGTATGCAAAAAGATAATAAAACTGATGAAATAATAAATCACAACCATACTTTAAAACTTTAAAACATACAACACTGATTAAAATTACCAAAACTTTCTAAGCTTGTCCGAACAAGAATGTTTTTAGAAGGTGCTGAAAAAGAGTACAGTGGAGGTCCCTGCTTGATCTTAATATGCAGGGAATTCCAAAGTGCAGGTGCTGCCACACTAAATGCGTCGCTGCTTACAAATACGGAACAGGTATTATGTGGCATTTCTGGTAGCGCCAATTCCTCTGAGCAAAGCGGTTTAGTGAGCACATGAGGCGTAAGGCGATCTCATAGGTAGGCTGGTCCCAAGTTGTTCAGTTTTTATCTGTGTTAGAATTACCATTAGATACTATTGTTCTTTGTCTTTCTCTTCTAGGTAATTGAAGATGATGACTCTGATTTGGAAGAAGTATCTTTTACTCCATCCTCCACTGCAAATCCAAGGTTAGTTAGTACATTCATTTCCGTGATCTTCTAGGTTGCTTGATAAATATGTACAAAGAAAGGAAAAGCAGAAAGGCAACAAGTACAGGAGAAGGTTGCTGAACCCCTGTTTTTTCAAACAGTCTTTTTGTGTCGTCTAATTTCAAACGATTCTGGGCACCTTGAAGCTTGCTCTACTTTCTTCCCCTGAAAAATGTTTTCCTGTAATGAATTGTAAATTGGGTGGTGTTCCATCTGCCCACATTTTGCATGAGCTTCTTTATAGACAAAGGAATTTTTAACCTGTGAGTATTTACCGTATTTTTCTGTGTATAACATGCCCCCCATGTATAAGACGGTATGGGACTCCAACTAGAGAAAATGGGGGGAGATTGCCCCCGTGTGTAAGACACCCCCCACTTTTTAGCATTAATTTTAAATTAAAAAACCTAGTCTTAAACACGGGAAAATGCAGTATTTATTTAGGCTACTTTCAGCTCACCCTTCATTCCAAAGGATGCTAGGGAACAGACAAAACTGAAATGTATCACATAAAGAATAATAAAACATAGAAGCAGATACATACAGAGACATTTGGGGCAGTGTGTGTGTTTGGGTAAATGCCTGAATATGGCTTACGATTCATGTTTATCAAAGTTTGCTGAGTTCAGATGAAATGGTAAAGTGTGGTTTGCCACTAAACCAGGATCAAATGCTTCTAACTGCTGTGTTTAAAAGCAGGGACATGCTCTAAGGTGCATGCTAATGATGTTAAACTATGATTAGGGTTTTGAACAGCCCTCTTATCTTAGCTTCTCTGTTTTTATTTTACCAAAAGTGTTTATCTGGGTGTTTACAAAGAACTACTTCCAAGCATTCCCAGTAGAGGTTTCAACTTTCCCCCTTTGGTTGGAAAGTTATTTCCCCTCCTTCCCCCAATCTCTGCCATATTGCACACTGCTTGGGCATAATGAGTTCGTTACACAAATTTAGTGGCTCAGCACAAAGTGGAAAACGGGTTTACCTTTCAGCCATAATATCACTAATTTTTAAAAGCGACCTTGCTATGAAAATATTTTCATATGGTTGTTGTTGTTTAGTCGTTTAGTCGTGTCCGACTCTTCATGACCCCGTGGACCAGAGCACGCCAGGCACTCCTGTCTTCCACTGCCTCCCGCAGCTTGGTCAAACTCATGCTGGTAGCTTTGAGAACACTGTCAAACCATCTTGTCCTCTGTTGTCCCCTTCTCCTTGTGCCCTCCATCTTTCCTAACATCAGGGTCTTTTCCAGGGAGTCTTCTCTTCTCATGAGGTGGCCAAAGTATTGGAGCCTCAGCTTCAGGATCTGTCCTTCCAGTGAGCACTCAGGGCTGATTTCCTTCAGAATGGATAGGTTTGATCTTCTTGCAGTCCATGGGACTCTCAAGAGTCTCCTCCAGCACCATAATTCAAAATTTCATATGGTAACCATCTTCAAATATCTGAAGGGCTATCACATGGAAGATGGAGTAAGCTAGTTTTCAGCTGCTCCAGAAGGTAGGACCCAAACCAATGGATTCAAGTTACAAGGAAGGAGATTCTGACTAAACATTAGGAGGAACTTTCTGGAAAAGACCATATCGGAAGCTAGCAATTTTTAAGCAGAGGTTGGATGGCCATCTGTCACAGATTAAATAGCTGTGATTCCTTCATTTTGGGCGTTGGACCACATGGCCCTTAGAGGGCCCTCTCAGCTCTATAATTATACTACAACAACAACAACAACAATTTATTTATATCCTGCCCATCTGGCTGAGTCTCCCCAGCCACTCTGGGCGGCTCCCAATCAAGTGTTAAAAACAGTACAGCGTTACATATTAAAAACTTCCCTGAACAGGGCTGCCTTCAGATGTCTTCTGAATGTCAGGTAATTGTTTATCTCTTTGACATCTGATGGGAGGGTGTTCCACAGGGCAGGCGCCACTACCGAGAAGGCCCTCTGTCTGGTTCCCTTCTCGCAATGAGGGAACCGCCAGAAGGCCCTCGGCACTGGATCTCAGTGTCCGGGCTGAACGATGGGGGCGGAGACGCTCCTTCAGGTATACAGGACAGAGGCCGTTTAGGGCTTTAAAGGTCAGAACCAACAATTTGAATTGTGCTCGGAAACGTATATGATTCTGTGGGTAATCTCTTATTTATTTCAAATGTGATATTGATGATGTGTGACTTTCAGTGTTATGCTTTGTGATTTTTAGTGCTGTGCTTTCATTGATGGTGACCAGTATCTCCTATTTATAATGTTTAGATCGTTCGGAGCATCAGCATCTAGCAAAAGGAGCTCACAGAGCCTGGCATCAAAAGGAGTAGACTTTGAATCCGATGAGGTACAAAAATATTTTCTCTTCAGTGTACTTCCTTTAATTTGTATATAAAATAGTACTGGACGATGCCACGTATGTGTGTTTTTAAAGTTCCTTAATATGCGTTTAGTAATAAACTTGCTTGTTCCTAACTTTATCTTCAAAACCTGTGCATTGGCTCCCTGTTCCATTATGTCCATTAGCTTGTCTCGCTGAAAAAGGGTAGTGTTCGTTTGTTTATTTCATAAAATTTACATACCGCTTGTAGGAAAAACCCTCCAAGCAGTTTACAGAAAAGATAAAACGGTAAAATAATCAGAAAAAATATTTGCAACCACAATTTAAAATATACAGAAAGTTAAAACTGCAAAAAAATTGACTAAGACAAATTAAAATGCCTACAGGCTTTCTGAATATCTGGGTAGGCTTGTCTAAATAAGAATGTCTTCAGCAAGTGCCGAAAGGAATATAATAAGTACCTGCCTGATCTCAATAGGCAGGGAGTTCCAAAGTGTCAGTGCTGCCACATTTAAGTCATCAAGTTCCTACAGATGCAGTGCAGGTACTGTTTGGCACTTGTAAAAGTGCCAGTTCTGCCGATCAAAGCAGTCAGTCATTAGGTGATGGCGAGAAAACCCTGTTAAAAACGACAAGCTTAAATTTGTATGCTTCAGTTTTGACAGGCGAGCAAATTCCTCCTAATTAATGCCTGTCATGGCTCAAATAACTGGTGTACCCTCTTCCCCAACAACTAGGAAACAGGTTCTTCGAATAAACCTTTCGCCGCTGGTTGAACAAGGAGACATATTTCTGCTCCCTAAAGTCATTCTTCCTCCGTGAATGGTTTCAGACAACCATTGCCTCACCTGCTTCCTGACAGAGCTGGCCCATATTTGGCAACTCCATTGGGTGTCAAAATGTGCCGGGTTTCAGTCACAATCTTGGGAAGAAAGCCCCTTTCTGCACTTTTTTAGTCCTTGTTTTTCTTGGTGGAATAGGGATTCTAAACAGTGCTAGCGATGCAGTACACTCCTTCAGGAATCTAGTTATTTAGTGAAGTTAACTGATGTGGGACACAGTGGTGTGACAGTCACTGAAGTCTGGGAAGGCCACTTTCCTCTTGCCCAATTGTGGTGACTCACGCACTCTTAGGCTGGACTCCCACAGATGGAGCATGGCAGCAAGCGTGGATTTTGCAGGCAGCTCTAATAACAGAAGACCCTGCTTTGCAACCGAGGGCAGGACCACTGAGTCTGACATGTTGCATCATACAGGTCATGGGCACTCATGCCAGGAGGAATATAACTGATAAATTTGAGGAAGTCTGGCAAGGGTTCTTAGAATTATTTTGAAGGCTGATAACAATGAGAAAGAATTGACTGGATGCTCTGGTTAGTTTTGATTTAAGTATATTTGCAGAAACAACATGGATGTTTTCCCTTGTTGGTCAGACCTCGCAGATCCCTCTACAAAGTGCTGTATACTAATACTTACATTCCATCTTTCCTTTTATTTTTAGTTTGACTCAGTAGTTTTGGCCAATTTCAAAATGATAACAAATTTTCTGTACTATAGCCATAACTGTCTGTCCCGGTTTTCACATGTAACTTCAGTGATTCTGTACTACTTTTTTGTGTTCTTGTGAAAAAGGTTCAATAAAAAATTAAAATGTGCAAAATGAGATTTCTGTCCTTGGAAATGTGGCCTTGTCGATGTCTTAAACTGAAATTCTCTTATTATTTCACAGGATGATTCTGAGTTATTCAAGAGCACTTCAAGAAGAAGCAGGCGATAATTTCAGAGCCCGCTGTATGGAAGGATAATGCAGGCGGGGGAAAAAACCCCTCTGGAAATTCTGTAAAGGAATCTTACGATCTATGCAGCTTTTCTCCAATAATTTCACAGTTAATTACATGTTGCCTTGAAATGTTTTGCTTCCTTGATGGAGGAGTAATTGTTACTTATTCTCTATATGTAGTATCACTTAATGCAAATGACATTTCTAATAGCTGAACCATATTCCTCCCTGCCCTTGTTTAAGATAGAATAAATACTCAAAAAAGATGATGAGGCAATGGGCCCATTGCCCAGGCCATAGCTGAGGAACAGCCAGTGATTTTTAAAATTCCATTGCCTTTTTTATATTACAGAGGAATAAATGAGACCTTTTTCTGTAAGTGAATCGACAGTGCTCTCGCTTGCTTTCTTTGTTTCTTAAACCTTATACTTCAGTCATAGAGGGAATGCTGACAGTGTTAAGTATTAAATCCATCTTGGCTGCTTCCTGTAAGCAGGAGGCAGTAAGCAGGGCTTGCCAAGTCCTTGGATATAAAATGTGACTCTCATTCCGAAACTGTTTATAAGCTTAAAAGTACAGTTCAGCATGAAGAATCTCAGAAAGCATAAATAGCTTTAGGGTAATGCCTTATTCTGAATGCTTTGCAACACTTTCTTAGCAATTCCACCAGCTGGCTACGTTGAGCTGGTGCTGGTGGGATGCCTGCCTGTAATTGTAAGAAAAATTGGCAGGGATTTAATTGACATGCATAGAAAGTAGTAAATTGAGATGGTACATGGATAAAAGGCCATAGCCCCACCTGGCGTTTCTTATTTTTCAGTTCTTCCTCTGTTTTGTATCTGCCCAAATTATGGCCATTGTTTCATTGACTTCGGAAACATCAGTCCGAAAGAAGGGTACCTGAAGATAATTTCCAACATAAAGAGCCATGTTGGATTTGGTAAATGTTTGAGTGGAGCGGTATATTTTTACATGGAAAGTCCATTGACAACGGTGATGATATTTTTATAGACATTTTAACTGTCTTAGAAAAACACATAGGAGAACAAATAATGTTATTTATTTGTTATGGAACTGTTAAATACTGGGGCTTTCTTAAAATTCTATATTTTTCCTTCTCATATTATCAAGATTTTGGGTGGGTTCATAATGCCTGCTTAGAATACTTCTGAATTTTGGTTTGGTCTTATCAAACATAGAATCAGAAAAGAGGCTCTTGATTATACTGCAATAAGGAGAAAGGTACAGTGAATAGTGACTGCATTGAAGTACTTATTTTCGTTGATTTCTCTGTGGAGTGCCTTCATGATCGGAAGCCCCAGAACCTCCCCATGCTTCATCCACAACCTGTTTTCGTCTCCTTGTTGGCCAAACCTACCAGCTAGAATAGAGATGTGTTTCAGAAACTAATATTCTGTATACAACCATTTTGCAAATAAATTTACAAAAAGCAAGGTGGGTTTAACTTTAATTGCCTATTACCCATTTTTTATAACTGTGATTACCCTGCCTGACATAAAATAAACGGAGTATGTACAGTTGATACTGAAATGGCAGAAGAAAAAAGCTGCAGATGCAAACCCACCGTTGGGGGTGGAGACTGGAAGCCTTGTGAACCGTGAACCGTGCTCCCCAAATGAGCAGAAGACCAAGAAACAATGTTTACAACCAGTGGCGAAGCTGCATGCCCCGCTACCGGGGGCGGAGGGCAGGCGGGGGGCGTGGCTGGCACCCCTCAGGGGGCATGGCATGCGTTCTGGGGATGTGATGCGCCGCCTGTGGGGCGTGGCACCCGGTGCGGGGGGGGGGCGGGGAGATGCTCAGTGCATGTCTGGGGGGGCCGCCGCGATGGCACCCTACCGGAATAGTGGTGCCGGGGGTGGTCTACTCCCTCTGCACTCCCATTCCTCCGCCAGTGTTTACAACATATCCCCAGCAGGCTATATCTATCAGGATCAAGTACAGTGGTACCTCGGGTTAAGTACTTAATTCGTTTCGGAGGTCCGTTCTTAACCTGAAACTGTTCTTAACCTGAGGTACCACTTTAGCTAATGGGGCCTCCTGCTGCTGCCGCTGCACGATTTCTGTTCTCATCCTGAAGCAAAGTTCTTAACTCGAGGTACTATTTCTGGGTTAGCGGAGTCTGTAACCTGAAGAGTCTGTAACCCGAAGTACCACTGCAAATTAAAAGAATACAACCTACCAATGTATTTTGAACCTCATGAGAAGAGGGGAATTCTGAAGCCTACTTCCTCCAAGACTGATTCCAGGTTGCTACCTGTGACAACCAAGAACAGCAAAGGGAGGTCAAATGGGAGTGGCACTACTAACACCAGTAGCACTCAGGAATGTAACAAGAGAAGAAATGTTCTAGCAACTTAAAATTTTAAAACCAGAACTTATGGAATGCTGTGGGACTTACATACTTATAGTGAATCAACAGAAATGACCCTCTGTGATGAAAAGCTAAAAAACCTGAATTTTGAAAATAAACTGAAAATTGATTTTGATCTGCATTTCCTGTTTAATAATAATAATAATAATAATAATAATAATAATTTATTCATACCCCGCCCATCTGGCTGGGTTTCCCCAGCCACTCTGGGCGGCTCCCATCCGACTATTAAAAACACAATACAGCACAATACAGTTTTCCGTTTCCACGGAGGAAACATTACAGGAAGCAGTGAAGATAGTTAATAAAGAGAATATGCATAAAAGAAACGAGCTTCATTAATAAGCAGAACAAAATCAAATTCTGGAAAAGAAACTAGAATTCACATGGCTATATAGGAAAACAGGTTTCACAAAAATTAGGCAGAAAATAGAGGAAAAAATGCACACAATTAAATTTACCCGGTACTTGAAAGTGAAAAAAGCGGTGGATTTATTAAATCTACCTGCATGCCCTCCCTATTAAAGTAGGGTGCTCCCCACTTTATGCGATTTCACTTATGCATGAGGGCCACCGGAACATAACCCCCACAAATGTTGGGGGACGCCTCTACTACACGTACAATTTTATTTAATGAAATTATGAACAATGCCAAAACAGAAGTCAAATATTGTAAGTATGGTAACAACATTTGGGAAGAAGGTTTTAATTAAATCTCAGCCATAATTGGATGGGGGGTGGGATCAGAAAAAAAGCTTATTTGACTCTCTTAAATATATTTACAGGGGAAAATCTGGATAGTTTACATTAAAACTTGGTGGGCCACTTTGGTGGACATAGAAACCTTACCCATAAGCTGAAATTACGACTTGCAGTTAAGTAGCCTTGTTGGTGCTTTTGCATTATCATTGCAGTAGGAAAAATTTCATTTTTCACTATTTGCAAAAGAACTTCAATCCTTTCATGTAACCAAGAAGGATGGATAGTGAAGCATTTTCTTTCTCCGAGCAATAAATATTTACTGTCCTCTGTTGCCTAGCAGCAAATGCCTCTATAAGAATCAACATCTTCCTGCTTTGAGATGCTAGCTGTGATTTTGAAAAGGTGTTTTGCCCCCAGAGATGAAAGCCTGTGGTCAATGCATGTCAGTTGTGTGTGTTTATTTAGCAGTCATCAATATAGCTGCTAAGTTATTAAAACCCAACATTGGTTATGAATAAAAATGAAATACATGGTTGAAAATACATTCTTCTCTCTTAAATATATTTTCCAACAATGTATTTCATAGTGAAATGTATTTCAGAGGGAAGAATGTGAGAGAATGTATTATTAACAACATAATTTCGTAGAGAAATCTATTCTCTCACATTTTTCTATTTAAACATGGCCACATTGTAATGCGGCATCGCAGTTGCAAAGATTTTAATAACAAGGCAGCTCACATTTACATAGGATAGGGTCATCTGAATGTGTGTTAAGGTATATCTGTCAGGATCCAAGGGACTATATTACGGGCGTGCAAGAGCTTGCATGTCTCTGTTAGATATCACCAGGGGGCACCACACACCCAGTTTCAAAAGTGGTGTCTATGGGCCATGTGAGGTTGCTGCTCTAGAAACATATGACCAACTCATTGGACATTCAGAAATGATGGCGTCCTGGCAAATTCTCAGCACCATGCACAGGTATATATTAGAAGCTGCCCTATATGGAGCCAGATTGTTGATTTATTTAGCTAGGTATTGTCCACCTTGACTGGCAACAGCTCCCCAGGGTTTCAGACCAGAAGTCTTCTCCAGCCCTACCTGGAGATCTCTGGCACTGAACCAGAGACCTCCTTCATGGAAGGCAGATGGTCTACCACCCAACTAGAGAGCCAGTGTGGTGTAGTGGTTAAGAGCGGTAGTCTCGTAATCTGGGGAACCGGGTTCGCGTCTCCGCTCCTCCACATGCAGCTGCTGGGTGACCTTGGGCCAGTCACACTTCTTTGAAGTCTCTCAGCCTCACTCACCTCACAAAGTGTTTGTTGTGGGGGAGGAAGGGAAAGGAGAATGTTAGCCGCTTTGAGACGCCTTAAAGGGAGTGAAAGGCAGGGTATCAAATCCAAACTCTTCTTCCTTCCCCAGCATATTTTTGCCGATAGCTTATGAAGACTTGTCCACAGCCCAAGGTCCATATATTTGCAAGGAAATCGAAAGCAATGGAGGGATGCACCTTAAATGGAAAAGCGTCAGTCAAAATGGTGGGAATTAACTTTAATTGTGTTTATCTAAAGACAACTACTTTATCCTCAAAGTGCTACCTCTCTAGGGGGACGGGCGGAGAAAGCAATAATGGAGCAATCATTGTTGGGAGTGTTTTTCACAAATGCCTCATCGGTACCCTAGGTATAAACCATGCCACTTGGCTCCTGAAGAATGCTGCCAAAGTGTTTGCATGTGTTCATATTTTACCTTTTCAGCTAGATAGATAACGGTGAAAGCTTGTGGGGTTCTGCACAAGGCAGAAACTAGCCTACAATTTACTTGAATAGAAGATACTTTTCAATTGGACCACCTTCCTGAACACAACACCGCGGACACTGACCAAACTAGGAGTTACTGCCGTGACATAAGAAGCCAGCATTGTGGTAATTGGTGGATTATTTCCGCTCCCCCACCCTGTTCCTATTTTTCAGAAAGAGTGGAAGCAGAAAATTGAACCCAGAGGGGAGTGTGGGCAGACGAAACAGGCGCTTCGGAATAGGAACAATACTGTAAACCAATAGGCTGGGTTGTTAGTCAGCTTTCTATCAGGTAATGTGCTGAGAAACTCCTGAGTGCCTTGATTACGGGAGAGACTTGCAAGGGCACAGCAGTTACCACTGATATTTTGCCAATACATTTCTGCACCTTGTTCACAGTCCTAAAGACTGCCTCCTAACAAAAGCTGAGCATGCCTGGTTCTATGTCCTATCGACTGAGCACATAGAGGGAGCTGCTTTGGAAGACGGACGTTGATGCTTTCCAGCCCCATGGGAACGATTACTTGCTATATGTGGCTTTACCTCACTCACTTTTCTAACTCCCTCGTGAGATCCGAAAAGTTTGCAGTCAATGGAAGCTTGGGGGCGTTATTTGAAGTACCGAACATCTCTCACTTTTTATCTTGGACAAACTATACACTTGCTGACTGGCAGAGCTTTCTGGAAGGGAAAAGGTATGGGTCCGGTTCCCAAAACCTTCTTGTGAAAATCCTCCTCGTCGTGGCGTACTCGGTTATCATAGTCTTCTCCCTCTTCGGCAACGCCTTGGTGTGTCACGTCATGGTCAAAAACAAACGGATGCATTTTGCCACCAGCCTATTCATTGTGAATCTTGCTGTGGCAGACTTGATGATCACCTTTCTCAACACTCCCTTTACGTTGGTAAGAGCATGGGGATAATGTTCATATTTATTGAGATTATTGTTTAAGTAGCATGTGGATTTAGCTCCCTTGTGTCTGCTAAAATTATTAGGGGGGCAGGGGGTGGGAGCAACACAGTTTATTTAAAACTAGTAATGGATAGTGATTGCTTGCAGGATGGTTGTTCTGTGTTTGCGTGTGTGTAAGCAGAGAGCTGTGTTATCCTAGCTACTTATACTAAGCTAGTAATGTGTTTAAGGGTATCATTGTACTTTTTAAAAGCACCTCAAAGATCCATTAGTAAAAGTCTCTTTTCACAAGCACTTGCAAACTGAAACAGATGTACTGCATTGGGAAATTACTCGCAGAAATGTGCACCTTAATAAAAATCTGCATAGAACAATGTGCCAGGAGAAGTTTGCATTAAAACACTGATGAATTTTCATGAGTTTTTTGGGGGGGTGGGGTGGGGTGGAGAATCTCAACAGAAATGCGATGAACTGAATTTAAGGTTGGAAAAAATGAGAAACGAGATTGACAGAATCTTTTCTCCTTAGCTGAGCATGAGTGGCTTGCTCAGTCGGGTCTCAGAAATACTGCAGAGAAAAGCAAGTTAAAAGACAGTTCTTCTGAACTGTCTGGGGTGTGTGTGTCTGTGTGTGTGTGTGTGTGTGTGTGTGTGTGTGTGAGAGAGAGAGAGAGAGAGAGAGAGAGAGAGAGAGAGAATATGCATTTGTGCTGGAAATAGAAGCAAGTCCTATCAAGGAGGATATTGGCCGACCACAACCCCAAGCCCTACTGTGATGGTAAAAAGTGAAAATTGTCTTGTTCCTGCCAGGCTCGCTTCGTGAACAGTACGTGGATATTTGGGAAAGAGATGTGCCACATCAGTCGATTTGCCCAGTACTGTTCCCTCCATGTCTCTGCCTTGACCCTGACGGCTATTGCCATAGACAGACGCCAGGTGAGGAACTTTTTATTCCAAATGGCAATCAACAACATTTGGTGCATGCTTTATTTTACTTCTAAAAGCCTTTTTAAGGGGATAGCCAGCTGGCAGGCCTCACCCAATATCCCGCAACATCTCCCACGAGGAATATTAACCCCTTTTCTTGGTGACAAAACCTCCTTCCAGAGCGTTGCTATTTTGCAGGTGGGATTTAACTGCATACAGGCAAAGTCGGGTTGCGCAATTAAAGTGAATTTTGTGCTTGAAGACGCTCTCCTCTCCCCACTTCCGCACCAGATCAGACCTTTTCCCCATAAGGGAAGTGATTGGGGAAATTCACTGAAAATAATAATAATAATTTATTATTTGTACCCCGCCCATCTGGCTGGGTTTCCCCAGCCACTCTGGGCGGCTTCCATAAAAACCAAAGATACAGTAAAATATCACAGATTAAAAACTTCCCTGAACTTAAGATGCCTTCTGAATGTCAGGTAGTTATTTATCGCTTTGACATCTGATGGGAGGGCGTTCCACAGGGCGGGCGCCACTACCGAGAAGGCCCTCTGCCTGGTTCCCTGTAACTTGGCTTCTCGCAATGAGGGAACCGCCAGAAGGCCCTCGGAGCTGGACCTCAGTGTCCGGGCAGAACGATGGGGGAGGAGACGCTCCTTCAGGTATACTGGGCCGAGGCCGTTTAGGGCTTTAAAGGTCAACACCAGCACTTTGAATTGTGCTCGGAAACGTACTGGGAGCCAATGTAGGTCTTTCAAGACCGGTGTTATGTGGTCTCGGCGGCCGCCCCCAGTCACCAGTCTAGCTGCCGCATTCTGGATTAGTTGTAGTTTCCGAGTCACCCTCAAAGGTAGCCCCACGTAGAGCGCATTGCAGTAGTCCAAGCGGGAGATAACTAGAGCATGCACCACTCTGGCGAGACAGTCCGCGGGCAGGTAGGGTCTCAGCCTGCGTACCAGGTGGAGTTGGTAGACAGCTGCCCTGGATACAGAATTAACCTGCGCCTCCATGGACAGCTGTGAGTCCAGAATGACTCCTAGGCTGCGCACCTGGTCCTTCAGGGGCACAGTTACCCCATTCAGGACCAGGGAGTCCTCCACACGAGCCCGCTCCCTGTCTCCCAAAAACAGTACTTCTGTCTTGTCAGGATTCAACCTCAACTGAAAAGTGTAGGAGATAAATTTTGTGGTGTGACGTCATATAATCTCCCCTCAGACAGACAAGAATGAATGCTCAATAAGGAGCAGCAGCAGATGACATAGAATGCTCCTGCAAACTTTACCTTTACATTTCTAAAATAAAGCTTTCCCCCCCAACATGCTCTGCAAACAGGTGATACTGCATCCTCTAAAGCCTCGGATTTCGACTGCAAAGGGTCTCGTTTGCATCTCCATCATCTGGCTAATGGCCACATGCTTCTCTCTCCCACATGCCATCTACCAGAAATTATTCACTTTTGAATACAGGTAAGGGGGACTTTTTGGCAGGGCAGTCGTGGTGTGCTGGTCCCGGGGGGTTACCATGCAGCGTGGTCCGAGTCCAGTCCAAGGTCAAGGGTGTGGTATGGGGGCTGTCTGTCAAGGCAGAAGCAGGGTCCAAGGCAAGGAGTCAGGTGAGGTCAGAAACTCTGGCAGAAGAGCAGGACAGGTTGCTGGCAGGAACAGGTTACCAACAATGTTGCTCCCACAACCTGGGACTGGGCTGGCTGGCTTTTATCTCCTTTGAGACATAGGGCGGCCCCAGTCCACAGGTGACTCGCCTCCCCTGGCCTTAAGGCGAGCACTTCTCCTGCGAGAACTTAGTTCCCTCCGCCTCTCTGCCCTGAGCCTCTGCAGCTCAGGTGAGGATGGAGGGTTACCAGACCCAGAGGCAACCTCACCTCCCCCTGACGGGGCTGAGAGTGGAGCACCTGCAGGCAATGGGTCCTCGGTCACCTCCGGAGCCAGAGCAGATTCAGCTGGTGTCTGCTCCTGAGGATCCAGCACAGGTGAGGGCCCTTCAGGTTCAAGCCCCAACCCCGGCTCAGCTGGTCCTGGAGGCAGGGACTTCTGTGCAGGCTGGAATTCCTCAGGTTCAGCCTCTGAATCCGATTCCCAGGCCATCACACTTGGGCTTCTCTCAGGTAATGGCATCCTTGAGTCAGTGGCGGACTTGGGTACGATGGTGCCTTATGTAAGACCAAGATTAGGAACCCACCCCTTCCCTTGTTGGGATACTGCTGGGAGACGGGGGCATTTGGCAGGCCCCCAGCTGGCTCCAGCCACTGGCCAGCAGCCAGGCGAAACTCCAGTTCTTGGTATAGCATCAATCAGTGACACAAGCCTCAGATACCCTTAGAGACTTGGCACGCTCATATCAGCAGAGTGAGTAACTTCTCACAACAGAAGAGGCGGACAGAGACATGTGTAAGCATTATTTACAGGTGTTTATTCAGCATAGTTCAGGAGCAAAGGAAAAAAACATGTCTGCTTCCCTTTGTTTCCAAGCACACAGCAGCAAAGCAAAAGCAACATAGAACGGAAGTTCCCAGCAGACTGTGCTGGAAGTAAACAGGCATGTGACACACAACAGTCATACCCGTTCCCTTTTAAGGTGGAACAGAACTATATCCTAACACCCCTGTCCCTTTGCTTCCTTCCCAAAGATGGGTGAGGAGGGGCACAACTTTGGGAAGGAGGCACGCGGGAAGGAGGCAGGGTCCTAGAGCCCTCTCACCTCTTTCCCAAAGCTGGGAAAGCACGAACTCGAATTTGGGAAGGAGGCGGGAGGACTCTAGAACCCTGTCAGAGTCCTCATGTCTTCTTCCCAAAGTCCATTGGGGGTGGGGAACATTCTACAGTGGTGCCTCGCAAGACGAAATTAATTCGTTCCGCAAGTCTCTTCGTCTTGCGGTTTTTTCGTCTTGCGATGCACGGTTTCCCATAGGAATGCATTGAAAATCAATTAATGCGTTCCTAGGGAAACCGCCTTCAGACCAGACCTCTTCTGAAGGCTGGGGGGGGGCAAGGGCTTTTCTTCCCACCCACAGCATTTTAAAAAACCCCGGGACAGCGGAGGACTTCTCCGCTGTCCGGGGCGATCTTAAAATGCTGGCGGGCGGCATTTTAAAATCGCCCCGGACAGCGGAGGACTTCTCCGCTGTCCGGGGCGATTTAAAAGCCCCTGGGAAGGCAGGCAGGGGGGACAAAGACTTTCGCCCCCTGCCCGCCTTCAGAAGGTGTTCCCGCCACCCGCCCCGCTTCGGAACAGCTTTCCGAAGTGGGGCGGCTGGGGCAGGTGTCCCCGCCCCCCCTCCCCACTTCGGAACAGCTTTCCGAAGTGGGGCGGCTGGGGCAGATGTCCCCGCCCCCCCTCCCCACTTCGGAACTGCTTTCCGAAGTGGGGCGGCGGGGACAGATGTCCCCGCCCCCCCTCCCCGCTTCGGAACAGCTTTCCGAAGTGGGGCGGCTGGGGCAGGTGTCCCCGCCCCCCCTCCCCACTTCGGAACAGCTTTCCGAAGTGGGGCGGCTGGGGCAGATGTCCCCGCCCCCCCTCCCCACTTCGGAACTGCTTTCCGAAGTGGGGCGGCTGGGGCAGATGTCCCCGCCCCCCCTCCCCGCTTCGGAACAGCTTTCCGAAGTGGGGCGGCTGGGGCAGATGTCCCCGCCCCCCCTCCCCGCTTCGGAACAGCTTTCCGAAGTGGGGCGGCTGGGGCAGGTGTCCCCGCCCCCCCTCCCCGCTTCGGAACAGCTTTCCGAAGTGGGGCGGCTGGGGCAGATGTCCCCGCCCCCCCTCCCCGCTTCGGAACAGCTTTCCGAAGTGGGGCGGCTGGGGCAGGTGTCCCCACCCCCCCCTTCGGAACAGCGTTTTAAAATGCTGGGGGTCGGGAGCGAAGCGCTGCCGACCCCCAGCATTTTAAAATCTCCCCGTGTCCTGGGAAGATTTTAAAATGCTGGGGGTCGGGCTGCCGACCCCCAGCATTTTAAAACCTTCCCGGGACACGGGGAGATTTTAAAATGCAGGGGGTCGGCAGCGCTTCGCTCCCGACCCCCAGCATTTTAAAACCTCCCCGGGACAGGGGGAGATTTTAAAATGCTGGGGGTCGGCAGCGAACGCTCCCGACCCCCAGCATTTTAAAATCTCCCCGGGACAGGGGGAGATTTTAAAATGCTGGGGGTCGGCAGCGAACGCTTCGCTCCCGCCCGCCAGCATTTTAAGATCGCCCAGGGCAGGCGGGGGGAAGGCAGGCGGGGGGGAGCAAAGACTTTTGCCCCCCGCCGGCCTTCAGAAGAGGTCCTCTTCTGAAGGCCGGCTGTGGGCGAAAGTCTTTGCTCCCGACCGCCAGCATTTCCCTATGGGCTTTCGTCTTGCGATGCAAGCCCATAGGGAAATTCGTCTTGCGAAGCGCCTCCAAAACAGAAAACCCTTTCGTCTTGCGGGTTTTCCGTCTTGCGAGGCATTCGTCTTGCGGGGTACCACTGTACAGACAGAGGACCACATTCCCAGCTGGGCAGTCTTTCTGGGGCCACATGCTGGTGGTGGGTGGAGCCAGAGACAAAAGTGGGTGGAGCAGAAAAATGTAATGTTTTTACTGTTGTGCTAGTTCCTGTACAGGGGGACGCAGGTGGCACTGTGGGTTAAACCACAGAGCCTAGGACTTGCCCATCAGAAGGTCGGTGGTTCGAATCCCTGAAACGGGGTGAGCTCCCGTTGCTCGGCCCCTGCTCCTGCCAACCTAGCAGTTCGAAAGCACGTCAAAGTGCAAGTAGATAAATAGGTACCGCTCCGGCGGGAAGGTAAACGGCGTTTCCGTGCGCTGCTCTGGTTCGCCAGAAGCGGCTTAGTCATGCTGGCCACATGACCCAGAAGCTGTACATTGGCTCCCTTGGCCAATAAAGCGAGATGAGCGCCGCAACCCCAGAGTCAGCCACGACTGGACCTAATGGTCAGGGGTCCCTTTACCTTTACTTTAGTTCCTGTACACACACCTCTATCCTTAGCAAGCAAGGGATGCTCTTTCCATTCCAGGACACATCCTAGCTAGGCAAAAACATTCCAGGTCTGTATGAAACAAGGCTAGTGAGGGATGTAGGCTTGGAGAGGGTGTGTGAGGATGAGTCCCAAGGGCCAGATAGAGAGGCCAGGAAGCTGGGCTTGCGGTTCCCCACTCCTGATCCAGAAGATTCTATGTTGAGATTAATGACCTTCAGGGGTCAAACTCCACAATTCTATGATTCTAAGTGAGGGCTACCCCAAAATACCCCAGGAGCCAGTTTATAGTGCCGTCAATGGGACGCTGGTGGCTCTGTGGTCTAAACCACTGAGCCTTATGGGCTTGCCAATTGGAAGGTTGGTGGTGCGAATCCCCGCAGTGCAGTGAGCTCCCATTGCTCTGTCCCAGCTCCTGCCAACCTAGCAGTTCGAAAGCACGCCAGCGCAAGTAGATAAGTAGGTACCGCTGTGGCGGGAAGATAAACAGCATTTCTGTGCTCTCTGGTTTCCATCATGGTGTCCCATTGTGCCAGAAGCGGTTTAGTCATGCTGGCCACATGACTCGGAAAGCTGTGGACAAACGCTGGCTCCCTCAGCCTGAAAGCGAGATGAGCACCGCAACCCCATAGTCGCCTTTGACTGGACTTAACTGTCCAGGGGTCCTTTTTTTAAAAGTGCCATCTGATGAACAACCTAGTGTTTCCTCACTGCTGAAGCCAAGCCAGACGCAATAGAGAACCTCTAGCGGTCCCCTGGCACAGCATGTTAACGGAATATCTACCCTTGATTTTCAGGGAGGAGATCACCCGATCCTTGTGCCTCCCCAATTTTCCCGAGCCAGCTGATTTGTTCTGGAAGTACCTGGACTTGACAACTTTCGTTCTGCTCTACGTGCTGCCCCTTCTCATTATCTCCATCACCTACGTGACCATCGCCAAGAAGCTCTGGTTCCGCACTGCCATCGGGGTCGTGATGGTCGAGCAGTACTTTGCCCTCCAGAGGAAGAAGATTATGACCATTAAGATGCTGATGCTGGTGGTGGTGATCTTCGCTGTCTGCTGGTTCCCTTTGAACTGCTACGTCCTCCTCCTCTCCAGCCAAGTCATCCACACCAACAATGGCCTGTATTTTGCTTTCCACTGGCTGGCCACAAGCAGCACCTGTTACAACCCCTTTATTTACTGCTGGCTCAATGAGAATTTCAGGGCAGAGCTGAAGACCTTTCTTAAGGTCTGCCGGAAATCCCCAGATCCAAGGGAGCAAAGGCTTCCGTCTCCTGCTGGTCTGCCGTGCAGGGCAGCCTGGCCACAGAGAGATCACTGCAAGGGTTTACAGGTCTCCCTTGACCTCCCGTCCACCTCCAATTTTCAGCTGAGAAAGAATGACATCACTGCTGTGCAGCCTATTGTTGCTGTGACTTGAGCATCGAAGCAGACTAATTGGGTGGTCTATGGCAGCACTGCAAGGAGGCCTTCTCCAGGTCTGATGGACTGGGCAACTGCGTAAAAAGCTCTGCCTTGTCCTTTAGTGTGTGTGGCTTTGCTCACTCGCTTGAGTCTTTCGAAGCTCTGAAGAACCATGTGTTTGCGCCCGTGTTGTGCTCCTGTGAGATTCAGTGATATTGCAATGGATGGATAGGTGGCAAGAGGTTGATGTCAAGGATATGCCTTTGGGGCAGAGAGTTAGCCCTTCTAAATCCTCCCAGCTCCATGGTTCTGGGTCCACCACACTGCCAATGATGGGCAGGAACCAATCTGGCAGCTGCTAATGACATCAAGGCTAGGTTTTCACATGTGATGGAGGGGTTGGCATTATTCTCTAAAGAGATAAGAGCCAAATAGGGGTCAGGGGCCAAGTTTTGTTGAGTGATACTTGACATTAAAGAAAGCATCCCGGACTAAGATTGGTTAACCACTTTGTGTTCCCATCACACATGCAGGAACGAGTCTCAGTGCCCACATTTTATCCAGCAATAGGCAGACATAGACTTTGCTGTTTGGGAAAGGCATCTACAACAATTTTGAGAGTGGCATCCCAAATCCTGGCCAAAATAGATTTTAGGGGACGCTTTGTCCAGAGACTTATCTCAGAGTGTTTCACCCCTGAAGAAAGCCTTTATTTGCCTTTGCAGTTGAGTTAAGCAACACAATAACCTTAAACCCACTTCAAGGCTGAGAAACTAGATGGAAAAAACGAAGCGAGAACACAATTCAGTTGACATGTATTTTAGTTGCAATGGCTCTTATTGATTAGTTGTCAGTGCTACTTTCTGAGCAAAGTCATGGAGTCTGCAGAATAGGCTTCTTGCTGTGACTAAATTATTTTTTGCAATGACTAAGCATCGTTCAGCCTTTGTTTTCCAATGTGTGATGGTGTGACATTTGAAAATAATCACCAGGGTTTTAATGCATTTTTTTAGCCCTAGTTTGTTACGCTAGGGTTCCTGTAAAAGCTTGCTTTATGAAACAGCAAACCAACTGCAAGAAAGCTCGTTCTGTGACTAAATAATAAAGACTATTTCTGTTACCAGCTGCCTGGGTCCTCTGATTCCATCATACTACACGTGGGTCTCCAGATGTTGCTCTACTATAACCCCCATGATCTCTGGCCGTCAGCTGAGCTGGCTGGCAATGATGGGAGTTGTAGTCCAACATTATCTGTGGGCCCAAACTTGAAGAATTCTGGAGTAAATCATTAGTGCAGCTGGATAAGCATAGGTCATACATGAACTATGCTGCTATAGATGGAGGCAATAGGACATTAAAAAACAACAATTAGCACATCACAATGTTCAAGAGCAGTGATGTGACCAGGACAGGGCTTTAGGGCAGAAGGGCCTCAAATTCAGCAGGGCTGCATACCCTCCAAGTATCCCGATTTTTCAGGGACAGTCCCAGAATTACAGAAGCCGTCCTGGTTTCTGATTTAATCCCGGAATGTCCCAGTTTTCCTTTTCCCTCCCCTTTGGAGAGTGTGTGTGTGTGTGCGTGTGTAGGTGCAAAAACTGAGTACTGTTTATGCTGAAAGTAAAATACTTGCACCAAATTTGAATTATTTTTTCCGAAATACTTTATTGTCACTTGTACAACTTGTATACAGTGAGATTACTCGAGCACTCCCCACTCAGCTCTCTTAGTCTTAATTCCCCTCGTCTACTGACACACACACACCAAACCTGAAAGTCAGTTGCCCTGTTGTTATCTTATCATTCAGCAGCCTAACAGCCCACGGAGAAGCTGTTCTTTGCTCTGTTGGTGGGACTAATCATGCTTCCATATCTTCTGCCTGAGGGCAGGAGATCAAGAAAGTGCTGGCCAGAGTGTGAATCATCCCTGAGAATTTTCCTCACTCTCCTGAGGCAACGTTCTTCCGCTATTTCATCCAGAGGATTCACAGGACAGCCCATAATATCTTGTGAAGGAATGAAGGAAATGGTGATGAATTGGGAGTGGGGAGACCTGGTAAATGTATTATATTTCTATTTAAATGATAAGTCATCATTTCTAGATTTGCATGTCCACACTCTGTAGCTCAGTGGTAGCGAGCAAAAGGTCCCAGTTTCAATCGCTCATCTCCAGGCAGGACTTGTCTGAAAAGTCCCTTGTATGAATACCGTATTTTTCGCACCATAGGGCGCACCGGACCATAGGGCGCACCCAGTTTTTTTGGGGGGAAATAAAGGGGAAAAAATTATTTCCCCCCCAGGCGCGGGCTGGGGAAGCTCGAGCTTCCCCCAACCCCAGCCCCCAAACAGGTAGCTCTCTGCAAGCCGTGGGAGCCCAGCGCTGGCTCCCGCTGCTTGTGGAGAGGTCTGCGAAGCCTGGACGCGCTGAGCTCAGCGCACGCAGGCTTCGGCATGCTGGCAACCCTGCGCAAACAGCGGGAGCGCTCCCGCTGCTTGCGGGGAGGTCCGGGAAGCCTGGACGCGCTGAGCTCAGCGCGCGCAGGCTTCGGCATGCTGGCAACCCTGCGCAAACAGCGGGAGCGCTCCTGCTGTTTGCGGGGAGGTCCGCGAAGCCTGGACGCGCTGAGCTCAGCGCGCGCAGGCTTCGGCATGCTGGCAACCCTGCGCAAACAGCGGGAGCGCTCCCGCTGCTTGCGGGGAGGTCCGGGAAGCCTGGACGCGCTAAGCTCAGCGCGCGCAGGCTTCGGCATGCTGGCAACCCACCCCTCTCACTCTCCAGGCTTCAGCGAAAGCCTGCATTCGCACCATAGGACGCACACACATTTCCCCTTCATTTTTGGAGGGGGAAAAGTGCGTCCTATGGTGCGAAAAATACGGTACTTGGCTGTCAGTCAGAATAGACAATGCCGTCAATGGTTTGACGGCTAGATATTATAAAGTTTTGAAAGAATGTTTAGTGCAACCATTGAAAGAAGTTTGCAATGAAATACTAGAGGGGAAAAAGGCACCCGAAACGTGGAAAGAGGCTTTTATTTCACTTATACCAAAAACTGAGACTGAAAAGAACCAGGTTAAGAACTACCGCCCGATATCATTACTAAATGTGGATTACAAAATATTTAATAATAATAATAATAATAAATTTTATTTATATCCCGCCCTCCCCAGGCCCTGCGGAAAGATGTCAGATCCCGCAGGGCCCTAGTCTCTTGTGACAGAGCATTCCACCAGGTTGGAGCTGCAGCCGAGAAGGCCCTGGCTCTAGTTGAGGCCAGCCTAACCTCTCTGAGGCCTGGGACCTTGAGGGTGTTATTATTTGTAGACCGTAGGTTTCTCTGTGGGGCATACCAGGAGAGGCGGTCCCGTAGGTACGAGGGTCCTAGGCCGTATAGGGCTTTAAAGGTTAAAACCAGCACCTTAAACCTGATCCTGTACTCCACCGGGAGCCAGTGCAGCTGGTATAGCACCGGATGAATGTGATCCCGCAGTGAAGACCCCGTAAGGAGTCTCGCTGCGGCATTCTGCACCCGCTGGAGTTTCTGGGTCAGTCTCAAGGGCAGCCCCACGTAAAGCGAGTTACAATAATCCAGTCTGGAGGTGACCGTCGCATGGATCACAGTGGCTAGGTCAGGGCGAGAGAGATAAGGGGCCAACTGCTTAGCTTGGCGGAGATGGAAAAATGCCGCCTTTGTTATAGCTGTAATCTGCGCCTCCATAGAAAGGGAGGTATCGAAGATTACACCCAAACTCTTAACGGACGGTGCTGGCACTAATTGCACGCCCGCAAGAGATGGGAGTTGCCCCCTCGATCCCATATCGTCCCGCCCCAGCCAGAGGACCTCTGTCTTCGAAGGATTTAACTTCAACCGGCTCCCACGTAACCATCCAGCCACAGCTTCCAGACATCTGGTCAGTGTGTCTGGGGCCGAGTTAGGATGGCCATCCATCAACAGATAGAGTTGGGTGTCATCAGCATACTGGTGGCAACCCAGCCCAAAACTCCGGACAAGCTGGGCGAGGGGGCGCATAAAGATGTTAAAAAGCATCGGGGAGAGAATCGCACCCTGAGGCACTCCACACACCAAGGAGTGACGCGATGACAATTCCCCCCCAAGCGCCACCCTCTGTCCCCGATCAGAGAGAAACGAGCGCAGCCATTGAAGGACTGTGCCCTGGATCCCCACGTCGGCAAGGCGGTGGTCCAGGAGTTCGTGATCCACCATGTCAAAGGCTGCTGACAGATCTAGGAGAATCAGCAGCCCCGACCCGCCTCGATCCAGCTGCCTGCGGAGATCATCTGTTAGGGCGACCAGAGCCGTCTCGGTCCCATGACCAGCACGGAAGCCGGACTGGAATGGATCCAAAGCAGATGTTTCATCCAGAAACCTACCAAGCTGTTCAGCAACCGCTCTCTCAATCACCTTACCCAGGAATGGAAGATTCGAGACCGGGCGGTAATTGGATAGATCTAAGGGATCTAACGATGTTTTCTTTAAGAGCGGACGCACCACCGCCTCCTTCAATTCCCCTGGGAATATCCCGGTGCCAAGGGACAAATTGATGATATCCCCCAGGGGGGCCCGCACCTCGTCTGGACACGCTCTAATCAGCCATGACGGGCACGGGTCAAGAGGACAGGTGGTGGGCTTTCCAGCTTGGAGGAATCTGTCCACATCGGCTGGACATTCTATTTGCAGACATTCTAGCAAAAAGACTGAAGAAAGTATTGATAGGTGAGATTCATAAGGATCAAGCTGGCTTTCTCCCGGGAAGACATATGTCTGATAATGTGAGGAATATAATAGACATTGTGGAACTGCTGGAAATGAACATTAATAGAAAAGCGGTTTTGATTTTTGTGGACGCGGAGAAAGCCTTTGACAATATTTGTTGGAGCTTTATGAAAAAGAATCTCCAAGGGATGGGGGTAGGCCAAGGTTTTGAAAATGGTATAGGTGCTATATACTCTGAGCAGAAGGCAAAGCTGATTGTGAACAGTGTGGTAACGGAAGAGATAGCTATAGAGAAAGGAAAGGAACACGACAGGGATGCCCTATCTCCCCTCTACTTTTTATACTGGTCCTGGAAGTTCTGTTAAATATGATTAGAAAGGATCAGCTGGTTAAAGGAATTCAGGTCGGAACGAAAGAGTACAAACTGAGGGCATTTGCAGATGACCTAGTTCTGACTTTACAGCAGCCAAACACCAGTACAAAGAGAGTTTTAGAATTGATTGAGACATTTGGTCAAGTTGCAGGATTTAAATTGAATAAACAAAAAACTAAAGTGCTGGAGAAAAACTTAACAAATGAGGAGAAAGAGACATTTCAGAATGAAACAGGTTTGGAGATAGCAAAAAAGGTGAAGTACTTGGGGGTGAACTTGACAGCGAAAAATGTGAACTTATTTAAGGACAATTATGATAAATGTTGGACAGAAGTTAAGAAAGATTTAGACATATGGTCAAGGCTGAAACTTTCCTTGTTAGGCAGAATTGCTGTTATTAAAATGAATGTATTGCCTAGAATGTTATTCCTGTTTCAGACATTACAAATAATAGATAAGATGGACTGTTTCAAGAGGTGGCAGAAAGACATATCGAAATTTGTTTGGCAGGGCAAAAAGCCAAGAATAAAATTTAAGACATTAACAGATGCAAAAGATAGAGGAGGTTTTGCCCTGCCGGACTTAAGACTTTACTATGAATCAGCAGCGTTTTGCTGGCTGAAAGACTGGCTGCTCCTCGAGAATACAGACATTCTGGATTTGGAAGGGTTTGATAACAGATTTGGTTGGCATGCATATATATGGTATGACAAGGTAAAAGTACACAAAGGCTTTAAGAACCATATGGTGAGAAAAGCTCTGTATAATGTCTGGATAAGGTATAAAGATTTGTTTGAAAGTAAAACCCCTAGGTGGCTGTCACCAATGGAGGCAAATGAGGTGAAAAAACTGAATATGGGTTCTAATTGGCCTAAATATTTTGAAATGATAGAACAAGATGGTGAAAAAGTAAAATTGCAGAGTTTCGAGAATCTGAAGTTTAAGGTGAGAGATTGGTTACATTATCGACAGATAAATGAAGTATTTAAACAGGACAGAAAGAAAGGCTTCCAAGTGGAGAAGTCAAAACTAGAAATAGAACTGTTAGAACCCAATACTAAAATCTTGTCAAGAATGTATAACTTGCTGTTGAAATGGAATACTCAAGATGAAATGGTGAAATCTAGTATGATCAAATGGGCACAGGATATAGGGCATGATATTGAGTTTGCTGACTGGGAGCAGTTATGGACCACTGGCGTTAAATTTACGGCATGTAATGCATTAAGAGAAAACATTATGAAAATGATCTACAGGTGGTACATGACTCCGGCTAAGTTAGCAAAGATTTATCATTTGCCCAATAACAAGTGTTGGAAGTGTAACGAAACGGAGGGAACCTTTTATCACCTTTGGTGGACCTGCCCGAAGATTAAGGCTTTCTGGGAAATGATCTATAATGAAATTAAAAAAGTTCTGAAGAGAACCTTTAATAAAAAGCCAGAAGCCTTTCTCCTGGGTATGGTAGGCCAAATGGTGCCAAAGAAGGATAGGACATTTTTTATGTATGCTACAACAGCAGCAAGAATTCTTCTAGCAAAGTATTGGAAGACACAAGATCTACCCACGTTGGAAGAATGGCAGACGAAGGTGATCGATTATATGGGACTGGCAGAGATGACTGGCAGAATCCGAGACCGGGGGAAAGAGGCGGTGGATGAAGACTGGAACAAATTTAAAACTTATCTTAAAAACTGTTGTAATTTGGAAAATTAGAAGACCAGGGTAATAAGAGATAAAGAACTACAGTTGTTTTATTATTTTATGGAAGATAAATTTATGAAATAGAAATAAGTTTAATACGAAAGGGTTGCTGGAGAATCTTGAAACAAGAATGCAGAAAAGGGGTGGTATGGGGAAGTCGTTTTTGGTGTTTGCCTATGTTTTCTATTATGTTTTCTCTTTTATTTATGGAAAATTAATAAAAATTTATTTAAAAAAAAAAAAAAAGAATAGACAATGCCGAGCTAATTGAGACCGTGGTCTGTCTTGGGATAAAGGTGGCTTCCTATTAATTGGTACAAGTGAATTATATGCAGGTCTGCATATTTTTTGATAAGCATTTTAATCTCTCCCCTCTCCCCTGTCTCTTTCTGTCTTTCTCTGTACAGAGAAAGAGAGAGATGGACGGATGGCTTTTAATCATGAAGGATATATGTTACTGCCAGGATCAGGCAGATTGCATCTGAGTTCTTAAGCATGTCAGACTAGTACCTGGGAGACCAGGGTTCCTCCCGCCCACACTCATCCATTCAGTCACTTCCTCTCAGCCTAACCTACCTCACAGGGGGGAGGTGAGGATTAAATGGGGAAAGGAAGAACCACACACGCCACCTTGAGTTCCCTGGAGGAAAATGTGGGATATAAATGCAATAAATAAATTAATACATATATATAAAAGGTAAAGGGACCCCTGACCATTAGGTCCAGTCGTGGCCGACTCTGGGGTTGCGGCGCTCATCTCGCTTTATTGGCCGAGGGAGCCGGCGTACAGCTTCCGGGTCATGTGGCCAGCATAGAATCATAGCATGACTAAGCCGCTTCTGGCGAATCAGAGCAGCGCACGGAAACGCTGTTTACCTTCCTGCCGGAGCAGTACCTATTTATCTACTTGCACTTTGACATGCTTTCGAACTGCTAGGTTGTCAGGACGGGGATTCGAACCACCGACCTTCTGATCGGCAAGCCCTAGGCTCTGTGGTTTAACCCACGGTGCCACCCGCGTCCCATATATAGATATACAGTCATTTAGTCGTGTCCGACTCTTCGTGACCCCATGGACCAGAGCATGCAAGGCACTCCTGTCTTCATTCTCTCATACATATATATATGGCATCTGACTGACCAATGTGAGAACAGGCCATTGGACTAGATGGGCCTTTGTTCCTATCAGGCAAGGCGCTTATGTTCAAAAAATGAGAGTTGGACAAATGGCATTGGTATAATTCATTCCAATCAAATGTTAGGCCCTATGTGATGCTATTTCTGCACCCAGTTGTCTTGAAGGATAGTGGATCTGTCACTTGGCCCCAAACTCCCACTCTGAAGTAGAATACTAATTATTATTATTATTATTATTATTATTATTATTATTATTATTATTTATACCCCGCCCATCTGACTGAGTTTCCCGGCAACTCTGGGCGCCTCCCAATTGAGTGTTAAAAACAATACACCATTAAATATTAAAAACTTCCCTAAACAGGGCTGCCTTCAGATGTCTTTTGAAGATAGGATAGCTGCTTATTTCCTTCACATCTGAAGGGAGGGCATTCCACAGGGCGGGCGCCACTACCGAGAAGGCCCTCTGTCTGGTTCCCTGTAACCTCACTTCTCGCAATGAGGGAACCGCCAGAAGGCCCTCGGCGCTGGACCTCAGTGTCCGGGCTGGATGATGGGGTGGAGACGCTCCTTCAGGTATACAGGACCAAGGCCGTTTAGGGCTTTATAGTATAGTTCCAAGCCTTAGTTTGGTAGTTAACCTGTAGGAAAGAGAGAATGGGCATGCCATATGGTAGAATGTGATAGTATACTATTTCTGTAATAAAGGCCAACGAGCTGATTTGCATGTGGGTGGAGCTGCAGTATGTGTTTATACCCATCTTACGCCAGGCTGGAATCATCAGACGAAAGACACTTTGTAGACATAAATAAATGTGCAAACTCAGGCCACAAGAACTGTTTTCTTGGAAAACTGCATCTTTTCCCCCACAAGAAGAAAAACAAAAAGTTGGCGTGTGTTGCGATTTTGGGCAGGCAGGTGACAGGAAGGGGAAGGAGGATGCAACCTTTCTCCTGCCTCTGAAACTGTCAGCCTGTCAGTTGTGGTTTTCAACTTAAAAATAACTAAACAAAATGACGGAGAAAAGATTCATATGGATGTGTGATTCGGTCAGTGGGAAGTAGATGCAAAAGGAAAAGGTTCTTCCCAAATATTCTGCCGTGGTATTAAAATATAAACAAAAACCAAAACCACTCAATTCCGTCCCACGCAGGGACCTAAGTAAATGTGACAGTCATAGAATTACTTCCAAACCACATCCTCTTCACAAGTCCCACAGTTGCAATCATACACCCTATAATTGCTCTTGAGTGAAAGCGTTCTAAGTGAACAGAGGCAGAAGCTGAAAAGTTTCTTTTCAAATTGCGTGGGAGTTATCCTCATCTAGTCAAGACTCCAGGAAGCTATCCGCAAGCCTGCAGCGCGGAGCATGGGGCGCCCTTCAGAGGATGCCCCGTGCTTCGTGTAGGTGTCCGCAAGCCTTGCGCGCCCCAGGGAACTCCCCCCGGGCGCACAAGGCTTGCGGGTGGCAGCCTGCAGCGCGGAGCACGGGGCGCCCTTCGGAGGACACCCTGTGCTTCGTTCAGGTGTCCGCAAGCCTTGTGCGCCCGGGGGAACTCCTCCCGGGCGCGCACGGCTTGCAGGCGGCAGCCTGCAGTGCGGAGCACGGGGCGCCCTCCGGAGGACATCCCGTGCTTCGCGTAGGTGTCCACAAGCCTTGCGCGCCCCGGGGAACTCCCCCCGGGTGTGCACGGCTTGCGGGCGCAGCCTGCAGCACGGAGCACGGAGCGCCCTTTGGAGGACGCCCCGTGCTTCGCGTAGGTGTCCGCAAGCCTTGCGCGCCCCAGGGAACTCCCCCCGGGCGTGCACGGCTTGCGGGCTTGCAGCCTGCAGTGCGGAGCACGGGGCGCCCTTTGGAGGACGCCCCGTGCTTCGCGTAGGTGTCCACAAGCCTTGCGCGCCCCGGGGAACTCCCCCCGGGTGCGCACGGCTTGCGGGCGCAGCCTGCAGCACGGAGCGCCCTTCGGAGGGCGCCCCGTGCTTCGTGTAGGTGTCCGCAAGCCTTGCGCGCCCCGGGGAACTCCCCCCGGGCGCGCAAGGCTTGCAGGCGGCAGCCGGCAGCACGGGGCGCCCTTCGGAGGACGCCCTGTGCTTCACGCAGGTGTCCGCAGCCTGCCGTCGGGCGCGTGGGACGCCCTGAAGCAGAGCGCCCCTCGCGCCGAGCAGACATTGGCCAGCCCCACAAGCTCGGGGGACAGCGGGGAGGCGCAGCGCCGCCATCCCACTGTTCCCCGACCTGGTTTTTGGGGGGGAATAAAGGGGAAATTTTTTTCCTTTCCCCACCCCCAAAAAGTAGGTGCGTCCTATGGGACGAAAAATACGGTACATACACACTATTTGCAGGTCTGTTTCAGTACCAACTTACTTTGTTGCTCAATTTTTAGATTATTTTTAAGCTAGTTGGGCCTTTAGTTGTAGTGATAATTATGGAAGAAAGCGGGATAGCTACCATTTCACTTGTCGCATCAAACCAAGTGGGAAGACTCCTGAATCCTTCGCACACTTTTAACAGACAAAAAGCTAGATTTCAAGCTAGCTTTAAATAAAGAGCTTTAATTGCTGAAAAGAAACGCCTGAGCAGGGGGTGAATGTCATGTGCTGCTGGTAGATTTATTATTTGTTTCCAAATCATTTCCCATTCAGCGAAGAAAAGACTCCAAAAAAGGTGTCACAAGGAGGCAACATTTATTCATACACAAATTTTTTATAAATGGCTTTTGGTTCAGCCACTAACAAATGCGACAAATCTTACTGTTGTCACACTGCAGTTAGACGTTTTCTTCAGACATAATTGCAGTAGTCCTTGAAATGTTTCAAGCTGTCAACGTCTTATGCAAATCCCCCCCAAGTCTACTCTGTTATGTAGTGTAGTTTCACCCTGGGCCAACAGGGGGATACTGTATATAGTTTTCACTCAGGTCTGTAGATAGTTTTCACTCAGGTCCGCGGCAGTTATTTTAGGCGGGAACTCTGGGCTGTTGTGGTTACAATGTTGACAGCCGGCTGCCTATAAATACAGGCCGGCTGAGCTGTCGCAGTCAGTTGTATTCCAGCTTACCATAATAAAGAGCTACTTGAAGAAATCGCTGTGCCGGCTGCTATGTCAACCCACGACTTAACACTGGCGACGAAGGTGGGATTGATGGACATCAGAGCACAGCCAGATGCGGCCAGCCTCTGAACTGAGCTGAATCACTGAGCTGAATCACAGAGCGAAATCACTGAGCGAAATCACTGGGCAGAACCAATTCAGAGCTGACTGTTCTGGCTAGAGCACTGTGTTCCATCCATCGCCCTTCACGCCGGCATCGGAATCATGGCTTCACTTGTGCCTCTACCGCCGTTTGCGCCAGCCTCTGAATCGTGGGACTCCTACCTCGCTCGGTTCGACTGCTACCTCCAAGCCAACGAGCTGACAGCAGTATCAAAGGATCGGAAGCGGGGCCTATTCCTCAGCCTCTGTGGGCCTGAGGTGTTTGAGACGGCCCGAGCGTTGGTTGCGCCTGAAGCAGTCCAGGCAACACCATGGGACACGATCCAAGAGAAGCTCCGCAACCACTACGCACCAAAGCCGTCCAAGATTGCTGCCCGCCATGCGTTCTACCACCGGAACCAGGCAGAGGGGGAGTCAATCAACAACTACACCACCGCCCTGCGACAGGCTGCAATGCACTGTGAGTTCCGAGACTTAGACGATGCCCTGATGGATCGAATCGTCTGCGGGGTCCGGGACATCCATCTGCAACGGCGCCTCCTAGCCGAGCCAGACCTCACGCTACAGAAAGCCATTGAGGAGGCTGTGGCCTCAGAAGCTGCTGAACGCTCCGCCCAGGAGATCCGCAAGTCCAGCAGCCCGCGTCTTGCTAGGGAGCCAGTTCCAGTGCATCATGAAGAGGCCAGCAGTGATGAGGCATCCTCCAGTGAAGACGATGACGTGCACCAGACAAAGCGGGAGCGCAGGAAGTTCCAACAGAAGTCCAAGGGCCAACCGGAATGTGCTGGCTGCGGAGGCAACCATTCCCGTGCCAAGTGTCGATTCAGAGACGCCATCTGTAGGAAGTGTTCCAGAAGGGGCCACATCGCTAAGGTCTGCCGATCGGCTCCGTCTGACACCCCCCCTTCATCGACTCGCAAGTCCAAGTCTTCACTCCAGTCTGCCAAGGAAAGTTGTTTCGCTCTCACCAACTGCCGCTGCCCGTCTGGAACCACGATTGGCCAAACCGACTCGCCTACGCGACGCAAGCTGAACGTCACGGTGCTCATTGAAGGAGCTCCATGTGACATGGAGATCGACACCGGGTCTGCCCTGTCCATCGTGTCATGGAGCACCATCAAAAGACTGGTACCCAGAGTGTCCAAAAGGCAACTCGACTCTCACCGCGTACACCTGAGAGACTACCAGGGAAACGACATTCCCGTGGTAGGCGTTGGCCGGTTCCGGATCGCTTTCAAGGATTTTTCGGGCCTGCTCCGGTTGGTGGTGGTCGAAGGTCAGCGGCCAAGCCTCCTAGGGCTAGACTGGTTTGATGCCCTCGGCCTGGAAGTCACCGGCATCAACTGCATCTCTAACGCAGAGACTGAGGGTCTGGTCAAAGACTTTGCCGAGGTTTTTGACGGCACCTTGGGCCAATATACAGGTACGCCCATCTCCTTTAGCCTTGATCCACAAGTCGCCCCCATCAAGCTAAAGCCACGCCGGGTTCCCTTTGCTCTCAAGGCTAAGGTGGACGAACAACTGGACAAACTGATCGCCCAAGGAGTTTTGGAGCCGGTTGACCACGCAAAGTGGGAAACCCCCATCGTCACGCCTGTCAAGCCAGATGGGTCGGTGAGAATCTGCGCTGACTACAAGTGCACGATCAACAAGGCACTTCAGCAGCACGCTTATCCGGTTCCTGTTGTCCAACACCTGCTGCATTCCCTGGGTGAGGGTAAGGTCTTCGCTAAGCTGGACCTTGCCCAAGCCTATCAACAACTGCCAGTCGATGATGCCACTGCTGAAGCCCAGACGATCGTCACCCACCGGGGGGCTTTCCGTTGCCGCCGGTTGCAGTTCGGGGTGAGTGTGGCTCCTGGCATCTTCCAAAGCCTTATGGAGCGTCTCCTGCAAGGGCTTCCGGGCGTGGTACCATATTTTGATGACGTCTTGGTGTCTGCAGACTCACACCAGCAGCTGTTCGAGCGCCTCCGTGCCGTGCTGACCAGGTTCCAGGAGGCCGGGCTCAAGGTAAAGAGGGAGAAGTGCCAGATCGCCGTTCCACAGGTAGAGTTCCTGGGCTATCTTATCGATGCCTCTGGTCTTCATCCAACCACATCCAAGATCCGCGCTATCCAGCAGGCCCCCACCCCAAAGAACAAAACGGAGTTGCAGGCATTCCTGGGGCTGCTGAACTTTTATAACATGTTCCTGCCCCACAAAGCCACAGTGGCTGAGCCTCTTCACCGACTCCTTAGCACTAAGACGCCTTGGGCCTGGGGTCATCGGGAGACGGCGGCCTTCAACGCGGTCAAGGCTCTCCTTTCTTCAGACAGTGTGCTGGTACAGTACAGTGAATCCAGGCCGCTGGTCCTTGCCTGCGACGCCTCACCTTTTGGCATCGGTGCTGTCCTTAGTCACCGTTTTCCAGATGGAAGAGAAGCACCGCTCGCCTACTTTTCCAGGACACTATCTCCGACGGAACGGAATTACAGCCAGCTCGACAAGGAGGCATTGGCACTTGTGGCTGGAGTGAAGAGGTTCCATGAATACCTCTATGGCAGGACTTTTGACCTCATCACTGACCACAAGCCACTCCTGGGCCTCCTCGCCGGTGATCGTCCAACTCCACCGGTCCTCTCACCACGCATGCTGCGATGGACTGTTTTCCTGGCTGCCTACCACTACCGGCTCATCCATCGCCCGGGGAAATCGATGGGCCATGCCGACGCCCTCAGCCGTTGCCCTCTTCCAGCATTTGTGGAAGACCCGGCTCCAGCTTCATCGCTCCTTCTGATTGAGGATCTTCCGGCAGCGCCTGTATCGGCTGCCACTGTGGCCTCCGCATCTGCCCAGGATCGCACCATCAGCCGGGTGCTCAACTGGGTGTGGAGGGGGTGGCCACAAGGGCCTTTTGCATCGGAGTTCCAGCCCTTCGCAACCAGACAACATGAACTCTCAGCTCATCGTGGCTGCCTGCTGTGGGGAGACCGCGTCGTGATTCCCCAGGGACTCCGTCAGCGCGTCCTGGAGGCTCTGCACGTTGGCCACCCGGGAATTGTCAAAATGAAGGCGTTGGCTCGGTGTTACGTCTGGTGGCCTAATATGGACGATGCCATCACTGCCTGGGTGTCCGCCTGTCAAGCGTGCCAGGAGTCGAGGCCTGCACCACCGGCAGCTAAGGGACACACCTGGGAGACGCCAAAGACACCCTGGTCGAGGGTGCACATCGATCTGGCTGGCCCCTTTCATGGCCGGACCTTTATGGTAGTGGTGGACGCCTATTCCAAATGGCTGGAGGTCGCACTGATGCCCTCCACCACTACCGAAGCTGTCATCCGGGTGCTGCGAGGCCTGTTTGCAACGCATGGGTGTCCTGATGTCCTTGTCTCTGACAACGGACCGCAGTTCACGTCAGGCACGTTTGAGCGGTATCTTTTGGGACTGGGCATCCGCCATGCCCTAACGGCACCCTTTCATCCATCCAGCAACGGGCAAGCGGAAAGAATGGTGCGCTCGACAAAAGAGGCACTGGCGCGCCTGGACCGGGGAGACTGGCATGAGCGGGTCGCCGAATACTTGTTCGTGCAACACATCACCCCTCATGCGGCCACAGGGAGGAGTCCTGCTGAACTGCTTATGGGCCGCCGCCTCAGGTCACCGCTCGACCGGCTACACCCAGACTTTGCCGTGGCTGAACCCCCAGGCTGTGCCAACGCACCACGGTCATTTGTCCCAGGAAACCAGGTCTTTGCCCGGAACTATGTGGGGGACATCCCTTGGGTGCCAGCCACAGTAGTGGGAGTCACTGGACCTCGCTCGTACCAGGTGGCACTCGAAGACGGACGCTTGTGGCGACGGCACATAGACCAGCTTAGGCGCAGGGTTGGGGACTTGGACACTACCGAGGTGCCCCCAACTGCGCTTGCGGCTCCAGAAGAGACACGTACAGATGGCGAGGCCCCACCTACACCTCCCTCGCAAACTGCCAGCGTGGAGCCGAACCAAGCCGTTTCAGAACAGACTCAGACCACTCCACTTGCGGAGGCTCCACCCACAGCAGCGGATCCAGGGGAGTTGGTTCCAACGCCACCTAGGGTCGCACCACAGCCTCAGCGAGAACTGTGTGGCCCTCCGGACTTGGCTACCAGTTCCCGGCGGTCTGGCAGAGTTTCCAAGCGCCCAACTTATTTAAAGGACTATGTTGTTGGACAGGTATCACTGTTGGTCTAAGTATGGGAAATGTAACCGATATGCTTTTGTGCTTAATGGAACCATTACGCGTAGTGCTGTATATAAGGAAACCATTACGATTGTAACTAACGCCTTATCTCGGTGGGGAGGGGTGTTATGTAGTGTAGTTTCACCCTGGGCCAACAGGGGGATACTGTATATAGTTTTCACTCAGGTCTGTAGATAGTTTTCACTCAGGTCCGCGGCAGTTATTTTAGGCGGGAACTCTGGGCTGTTGTGGTTACAATGTTGACAGCCGGCTGCCTATAAATACAGGCCGGCTGAGCTGTCGCAGTCAGTTGTATTCCAGCTTACCATAATAAAGAGCTACTTGAAGAAATCGCTGTGCCGGCTGCTATGTCAACCCACGACTTAACATACTCCATGCAATACTCCTATACAAAGTGAACATGATCACACACACACATATATACATATACATGTAAAAGTGGCAGCAGCTTTCAAAGTCTCAAAGGCTATACTGCAATTGGCAGATGTGGCGTTTGCCCGTTCGTTTGAAAATGTCTGTACAGGGGGAGAGAAAGGGTTAGTATGTGGACCAATAGGAAAGCTGGAGGCGGAGCCTACCTGTTTATAAAAGGGCTTAGCCCGAGGTTTAGGTTGTGGATAGTTGGTTGGTTTTAGTCAGTTGGTTGGTTGGGAAAGGCAGTTGGCAAAGCAGTTGGCAGGCAGTTGGAAACAGAGAGACAGTGCAATTGGTTCTTGTGTGAGAGGAGGTAGAAGAGATAGAGACATGATAAAATAAGACTAAGAAGGTAAAGAGAAACATTTGGAATGCAGTTAAAGTTTGTTTGTGTCTGCAATAAACTACACTCTTCTTTGTTAACTTAAGAACCTGACGGAGACTAAGTGATTTACCGGGGAGGACCTGGTTGGTGGCAGTGGATTAATGGTGTACGGGTTAATAGTCTGTGAGACGACCAGGGGCTCCGTACGAACGCCACAGCTGTCCTTTATCCTGGGGGTTGGACAGGGATTACAGATCTACAATCTTCCCCTACATCATACCACGAGTAAATAATAATAACAATAACTTTATTATTTATACCCTGCCCATCTGGCTGGGTTTCCCCAGCCACTCTAGGCAGCTTACAGCACATAAAAAAATGGTAAAACATTAGACATTTTAAAAAATATTCCCGATACAGGGTTGCCTTCAGATGTCTTCTAAAAGTCAGATCGATAGTTGTTCATTTCCTTTACATCTGATGGGAGGTCGTTCCACAGGGCGGGCGCCACTACCGAGAAGGCCCTCTGCCTGGTTCCCTGTAACCTCACTTCCTGCCAGAAGGCCCTCAGAGCTGGACCTCAGTGTCCGGGCTGCACATGACAAAACCTCCCTTTAAGCCGTGAATAATCAATCACACAGTTAGCTGCGTTTTGTCACTATTAAAAAGACCATTGACACTGAATGCTGAAGGCAACGGTTGGTAAGGTTAAGGCTGGTTTTAGCCCTATCGTAGATCTTTGTCAAATCTCCCTTAATACAGGTACCTCTGGCCCTTTGTTAAACTACAACTCCCATCTGCCCCAGCAGCATGGCCCATGAAGAGGGGACTTGTAGCTCAGGGACATCCGGGGGCACAAAGGTTCTCCACAGATGCCGGCGTAACACAAGTAGCAATAGAAGAAAACACTGCATCAATGTGGACAGCGCTGAAATGGTGTTTTTCAAAACAAGCACCCTTGTTCTTAAAAGAGGTTTTTCTGCTTGCAGTTTGAAGAGCACCTGAGAGGACTGCGGTCCCTAAAAGCCACCCACTGCTGTTGCTTCTGCCATGCCACGACTGCACCCTGGCTGCTGCCGCCTGCTACATCCACGCCTTTGGATATAATGGGAAAGAGATCTACACTTGTGCGCATAAGGAGTTCCTCTGTGCAAGGAGGAACCCCGGCTGCAAAGAAAGCCCAGTTTCGCAGTCAGTCAGCTTCCAAAAGCAACAGGCCTAATTCAGTTTTTAGGGCTGTCCTCACCGTTTTTTCTAAGGGGGAGGGGTGACCGTAGGACACCTTCCCCGGAAGCACAGTAGCAGCTGACCACGGAAAGTCCTAAGCATTTTCCACACAGAAGATTGCAGGAAAATCCTAAGGGGCACAAGGATCTCTTGCATGTGCATCACGACTGAAATAACAAGAACACAAGGAGCACCGTTTATCCACGTTACCTGAATTATTATGTATATTCTCATTGCATCCCTCTGTGCAATCACAGTGGCTGTTCTGACACCACAGCAGATTAATATGTATATATTTAGCAGGTGCATATTTGTTTCGACAAACAACTGAAAGAGGACATGATTTCTCCATGTTTGGAAAGATCATGAAAAAAAACAGCGTTTCCCCCTCTGTAGTCTTATCCCTACAGTTCAGTCCACCTCTTCGTGCCGTGTGCGTTGATCCAAGTCCATGAAATATTCCTAATTTCAGAGCTCAAGTTGTTGGTTACCTTGGTTTTAAGTGCATGGTCATTAATCGAACGGGAAACAAGTGCGTACATGCACACATGCGAACCAGGCTCAAGTGTAGAGTGATTAAGGCTGCAATCCTTACCTAGGAGTAAGTTGCAATAAATTCAATAGGATTTACTTCAGAGTAGACATAGTTAGGCTTATGCTGTGATATCCACACCTGTGTACAACTAGGCCCCAAGTGTTCCATTGGTGAGAAAAGCTAACTCCTTTTTCCTTCAGGTCATCCAGGATATTTCTCTCTGTGTCCTACTTACAATGTGGACTTTCTTCCATCGTTTCTATCCCACAGAATTGGCATAACAGTAGGCCATAAGACATAGGGGCTGGGCAGGCATGTAAACATAGGCATATAAAAAGCTTGTAAACTATGGTTTGCCCTTAGGCCCAGCCCCCTTACACACTCAACAATGAGGCGAGCACCCAGTGTTCCATATGGCTTACGCTGGAGTAACTGGAAAGAACAGTCCCAATCCACAAATTGCTACATGGGCCCATCAGCACGAAGAATCAAGAAGCCTCTGGCGAAGTTTGGCGTCTTCTTTACCTGCTTCTGCTCCGTTGCCAGGTGACGTCTGTTCTGTTGCATCTGAAAGACAACAAGTTGCGGCAAATGGAAGCTCAGTTATCCTTTTCCATAGAAATCACAAACAAGTAGTCTTGTTGCCCTCAAACACAATGTCCGTGTGTGTGTGTGTGTGTGTGTGTGTGTGTGTGTGTGAGAGAGAGAGAGAGAGAGAGAGAGAGAGAAGAGGAGCTTCCAGTCCTTCACATAGTTTAAGACTGTAGCTATGTGTCTATCTGGGATGCGGGTGGCGCTGTGGGTTAAACCACAGAGCCTAGGACTTGCCCATCAGAAGGTTGGCGGTTCGAATCCCCGCGACGGGGTGAGCTCCCGTTGCTCGGTCCCTGCTCCTGCCAACCTAGCAGTTCGAAAGCACATCAAAGTGCAAGTAGATAAATAGATAGCGCTCTGGCGGGAAGGTAAACGCCGTTTCCGTGCGCCGCTCTGGTTCGCCAGAAGCGGCTTAGTCATGCTGGCCACATGACCCGGAAGCTGTACGCCTGTCTGCAGGTTTGTAGCCCGATCCTTACATTAGGGGGGTTATTGAATTGTTGTTTTTATTTTGAATATACATTTTTTGGTTTTATATTTTGATTTTTTTCTGTGAGCCACCCTGAAACCTCTGGGTATAGGGTGGTATAGATTCTAGGATATCTGGAGTATAACTCCAGGAATGGAGCAAGTGTGAAATAAGGCTTGTAGGGTAGTAGTCCACAGCATTTCTTTCCTAACTGGTATTTAAAATTTAAAGACATTGGGGTGACCATCTTGTACACATTTGAGGGGTGGGGAATAAATCCCTTTGAATTCAGCAGGCTTACTTCAAGATGAAAACACATTGGATGTGTGATCCATGACTTCACATCCCAAACGCTACTTTAAGTCTACATGTAGAAAGGTTTGACAGAATGGCATTGTTTTACGGTGTTTTAAGCTGCTGCATTTCATAACTTTACACTTATGATATGCTTTTGTAAATTATCTGGAGGCATTAGCATGAGGCAATTAATACACCTCCTCCTCAAAATGCACAGGTCTGTTTGCTTGTTTTAGCTGTGGCATTTTTTAATCCTTAACAAAATGAAGTGTTTTATAGCTTTTCGTGTAGTACCGTATTTTTCGCTCTATAAGACGCTCCAGACCATAAGACCATAGTTTTTGGAGGAGGAAAACAAGAAAAAAAATATTCTGAATCTCAGAAGCCAGAACAACAAGAGGGATTGCTGCGCAGCGATCCCTCTTGCTGTTCTGGCTTCTGGGATAGCTGCGCAGCCTGCATTCGCTCCATAAGATGCACACACATTTCCCCTTACTTTTTAGGAGGGAAAAAGTGAGTCTTACAGAGCAAAAAATACGGTATTTAAAAACTTGCAAACCACTTTGATCAATATATTAGGAGCAGTGATATATGCATAACATAAAAGGAAGCAAACCGAAGCGAAACGACTTTACCCTTCAGTTCTAGCGCACTGTTTGCCTTTTCCGGCTCTGCTTTCTTTCCAGAGTCCTCTTTGATGGTGGCTGACCTGCCGTCTGCAACGTCCGTTTTAATCGAGCCGAGATTCATCAGGAGTTGCATAGGGTCGAACTTCTCGCCGCTGCCTTTCAGGTTCTCCAGAACTTTGAGGCACTTGTAAGATTTAAGCTCGCTGACGTTCTCCTCGAGGAAGAGGAGGTAGAGGCTCAAGTCGTTGTAGTGTTTGGTTTTGACTTTGAGGACGTCAAACGTCGGCAGGAGCTCGTACACTTGCAGAATGTCTGAGCGCTGCCTGAAAGGGACCAGCAGCGCATAGACCACAATGGGCATGAGCAAGAGGTACACTATGATGTTGATATAGCTGAGGAGCTGGAAGACACCGACGGCAATCAGTTTGCACTGGAAGCGTTCGGGAACAGTGGTGTCGTTCTTCAATATCCCGGTTTTGATGTTGCAGATAAACTCATCGGTCATTGAGGAGAGGCTGATGTAATATCCCAAGTAGAGGCAGGAGAGCAGAATGATCATCAGGGTCAGCAAACGGCAAATAATGTACTTGATTATTAAGCTCTTGGAGCCCTTCTTCGTCTTCAGGTACTGTTCCACAATGGGGTATTTGAAGTGGCTTTCGGATATTTCCCAGAAACTGGGGGGGGGGGGGGACACACACCAAAGAGACAATATTCAGAGCCATTACACCATGATTTCATTTGCTCAGATGCTGCACAACACACACACACACACAAAACTGGAGGGCTCAGATTCCAAAGCACCAGTGTCATATGTCATATTTTTTTCATATGCGTCCTGGAGCAACTGCAAAAACAACAGAGTGCATCATGGCACCCCAAAGACTACTGTGTTCAGCGCATGCTTTTGCAGGACAGAGTCTACTTCCTCCAACATGAAGAAGAAGAAGAGGAGTTTGGATTGATACCTTGCTTTATCACTACCCGAAGGAGTCTCAAAGCGGCTAACAATCTCCTTTTCCCTTCCTCCCCCACAACAAACACTCTGTGAGGTGAGTGGGGCTGAGAGACTTCAGAGAAGTGTGACTAGCCCAAGGTCACCCAGCAGCTGCATGTGGAGGAGCGGGGAAGCGAACCCGGTTCACCAGATTACGAGTCCACTGCTCTTAACCACCATACCACACTGGCTCTCATGAGGTTGATGATGGTGTGTGGGGGGGAGGGGTTTGCAATGGGATGGCAGAATGGAGAACTGCTTGAAATTCAATTAAAATGGTGGGCCAGGTGAGCAGCTCTGAGGGCAGTGTTTCAACACTGAGGGGCCACCACAGAGAAGGCTCTTTTCTGATTGCCACCTGCCTAACTTCTGATGGCAGGTGCAGCTGAAGAAAAGCCTCATATTACCTAAGTCAAGAATGGGGGCCCTGTGGCCCTCCAAAAGTTGTCAGACTCTGGATGTGAGTAGCTTACCTATTATTCCAACTCAAGTTCATTTTAATTTTAGAAAATGGAAAGGAGTGGGATGTTACCTCTGAGCCATATTCTCATTAATGGCCGGAGATGAGCCCCTCACATCCCCATTGCGGCAGCTGTTTGCGGCTTTGATTGCCCTGTTATAGGATTTGTCGAGTTCTTCCATAATAAATTTCAGGTCTGAGCAAAGGTGGGGGGCTGAGGTGAAGCGCCAGAAGAGACATGGCAGGTACAGTAGGATTGCAACCAGCAGGAGGATGTATGGGAAAAACTGCGGAAGAAAATAACCGGGATAAGGAATTAGCTCAGATCCATCCGCAATCTGTTAAATAGTAAGACGCAAGCAGGACTGCTGAGACGCTTTGCAAACTGAATTTGTGGCTCCGTGATAGAGCATTTGCTTTGTAGGCAGAAGGTCGAATATTAAAGATTAGTAGTTACTTGAAGGTACTAAATAGGCCTAGCATTAAATTAGGACTCAATAAATAAATGAAACATAGAGATTAAGAAAAGTTAAGAAGTTTGATTATAATTGGAATATTGTATTTTTGAATAACGATATTGGAAAACTGCTACATCCAGGTACAAGGAAATTCAGATGGAAGAGATTAGAGGAAGCCAAGTAATACGTTTAAGAAGTTGGAAGTTTAATTAATTAATTATTTTTTTATTGTTTATGTGTTTGTGGTTGTATTTTTGGTTATCATTTGCTATATTTGTTTTATTTTTATTTTTTATTTTATTTTTGTTTCATTGATTTTATAGTATGTGTTGTATTTGTATAAAACTTAATAAATATTATTGGAAAAAAACAAAAACAAAACTTGCCAGCATTTCCAGGTCGGGCTGGGAATATCTGAAATCCTGGAGAGCTCCTGCCAACCAGTGTAGACAGAACCAAGCTAGATAGATCAATGGTGTGATTCAGTACAGGGCAGTTTCCTTTATTCCTAATATTGGGATTATTTTGCGATACAGGTCTGGAAAGCGTACTAATAATAACATTCACTGCTATCCTGTACAGTGGTGCCTCGCAAGACGAAATTAATCCGTTCCGCGAGTCTCTTCGTCTTGCGGTTTTTTCGTCTTGCGAAGCACGGCTATTAGTGGCTTAGCGGCTATTAATGGCTTAGCGGCTTTAAGAAAAAGGAAACAAACTCGCAAGAACTCGCAAGATGTTTCGTCTTGCGAAGCAAGCCCATAGGGAAATTCGTCTTGCGGAACGACTCAAAAAACGGAAAACCCTTTCGTCTAGCGAGTTTTTTGTCTTGCGAGGCATTCGTCTTGCGGGGCACCACTGTACACACTTATCTGGGAATAGGTCCCACTAACTTAAAGGGACATACTTCTCAGTAGACTTGCCTAGGATTGTGCAAGAGACTGAGGCTGATTGCCTTGGAAGCACCACCAAAGAGCAGAATATAGCGTCTTTAAAATAAATGAATAAATAAGAGTAAGCGTGCCAACATTTTAGCTGACACTGCTGCTGTGATTTTAACAGCAGACTGAAAAACCAGATGCAGAGCATCTTATCGCGCTAACATGACTGCCGAAGTGTCCTCTTTTTTGGGGGATGCCAGAGGCTGTAAAAGGGATAGGAGCAGGACCAATGGAAAAAAGTTGGCCACCCAAAGCCAGAGAGGGTGTAAGAACAGTGGCAGACTGAGGCACTTAAGTACAGCTCACTACTGATGTTGTCGCATCACACGCGGCTGTGAATGGCCTTGGGACAAAGGACAACTAAAAGCAACAGGTTGATAGGAAGAACACGAACGTGGGCTGTAAGAGCAAATTGGAATCTTAAGCTGTGCCTTGAGAATTCAGACTCCATTGTGATGTAGTGGGGGGAAATTAGACGAGAGGAGCTGCGGGAGTATGGGAACACATGGAAGCGGAGCTGAGGTCAGGCTGAAACCGTGTCGGCTGCCTGGCTCACACATTCTTCATTCCTCTACAGATTGAGTCTGTATCTGGGAAATGGTCCAATCTTTGGAACCATCGGGGAATCAAATCAGTCTTGAAGAGCTCTTACTCCAACCAAGAGGACCTTTTGTTTTTTTTGGGTAACAGCTAGAGAATTAAGACTAGATGAGAAGCCTATTTGCATTCAACTGCTTTCTGGCTCTCAAACTTTCCCCTTGACCTTGTTTTCTTCCCCTGCAAGCTCATCTGCCCATTCCTCGCTTCCTTTAGGTAAGAAGCAGCTGCTTCTCTCTCGCTTTAGCATTCTGAATTAGCACTGCTGTAAACTTGCAAGAACGACAGCAAAGTGAATGCGCTTCAAAAAGACTGCCTGCAAAACCAAGCGAAGAGCCCTATGACCCCAATCACGAATGCGTGGCGACCTAAGTTTCCATGGCCCGCAGCAGCTTTTGTTAAGTATAAACAACAGTCCCAACTCATTTATTTCCTCTAGGGACTGCGTCCTTGCTTGCTTTGTTAACCTACACACAATCCCCTGTTTTCTAATTGACCTCCTGCTCATACTGCTTTCCTCGCACTGTCAATGCAGGTGAGGGATAAGGTACAGTTCCCAGAATTCTTTGGGGGAGGCTATTCATCTTAAATGCGGTTCAAATCTACAGTATGGATGTGATTGCTAGCTCTTCTTCCTGGCATTTCTCTCCCCCCCCCCCCGCCCCCGTTTCAAGGAAGGCTGCTTTCAATATGTGTTGTGTGAGAGAAGGAGAGAGAATATTGAATTATGAAATGATTCCACTTGAAACGGCACAGATTAGGAAAGCTTTTACCCTATAATTTGCTGCTTTCAAATGGAAACAGACATAATTGGGTCAAGGGGATTATGATTGATATTTTTTTTCAAAAAAATAAACTACTACTTCTAACAACGACACGTTTAAAAGCTCTGGGGCATTAGGGCAAAAGGCAACTAATGAACAATAACAATCAAACCACAAAGAAAATATAGCTCGTACATTAACATGAGAAAAACCATGAATGCCAGTGGGAATGGAATGCTACAGCTTCAAGTGTCTGAGCTGGGTTTTTATTACCCAGAATAAAGAAGGTGACGAAGGCCAATTATACAAACTTTATGAAGCCAGAGTGGAAGGTGCCCCGAGTCGCTCTGTGAAAGCTGTTTTTGCTGCACAGCCGCCCAGCAGTAGGAGTCCACGTAAGCAGCCTGGCGCCAGGAAAATGTACTTGGAGAAAAGCAGCTCATCTGGGTACCTAGCAAGTAAAGAAGGATGCACTGTAAAAGGGGGAACAGCATGAAACATACAGGGGGTACAATACAAAAACGGAGGGTTTGGAACCCATTTGGATAGGCAGCTGGGTCAAGTAAAGGAAGTTTTGCCCAGGTTGCACCATTTCACGCTGCAGGCATGGCATGTGAGCAGACATGCACTGAGCAAACACGGGCTCCTGTCTGAATGCTTAAGTGGGTGGGGAGGACACAGAAAACCAGGAAGCCTAGCCTTCTTCCTGACATGCGATTTTTCTACATGCAAGGTGGAGTTTGAAACAGTGAACCCAGGGGAAAGGTTCACCATTGAAACCCATTACAAAACACAGCTTGGTTCACATGAGTGTCATTTCTTCATTTTGTTAGCTTGGGCCCAGTTCTCCAATCCGTTAAGGTCATTTTGAATCCTGATTCTGTCTTTTGCAGCATTAGCTACCCTTCTCAGTTTGGTGTTGTGGCGTTTGCCCTCCTAGGTGTGTGACATCATACTGGGTTCATAGGGAAAGGGTTAACTAATTGTAATATGACTAACCAATGTGAACCCAAGGGGTGGAGTTAATTGTGTATACGGTTTAAGCACAGAGAGAATTTGTTAAGAGGAGTTCGAGTTAGGGTGGTTGAGAAGACAGTCTGGAGTTAGCAGAGACAGAGAAGAGAAGTCTGTGGGTTGGGCTAGTCTGGTGTGAGAGAGTGAGAGAATTTGTAGAGGAGTCAGACAGTTGAGATAATCAGTCAGAAGGTATTAGGAAGTTATAGGCCGGTAAAGAAACTGAAGTTAAGATACTGACAGGAATATTATCTGAGAAACCATAACCTTGTTAATGTTGTAAAATAAACTTGTTTTTTTGGTTCACTTTTAACAACTGACTAGACTCAGTGTTTTACCAGAGAGTAACTGGTTGGTGGCAGCGGGGAAGCGAGCACAGTGGTGGCACAGGGATCAATAGACCATTTAACGTCCGGGGACCCTGTGTGATCGCTACAGGTGTCATCTGCAGATTTGATGAGCACCCCCTCAATTCCTTCTTCCAAGTCATTTATAAAGGTGCTGAACAACAATGGGCCCAGGGCAGAACCCTGAAACACCCCACTTGTCGCTTTCCCCCCCAGGATGACGAGGAACCATTAATGAGTACAGTGGTACCTCAGGTTAAGTATTTAATTTGTTCCGGAGGTCTGTTCTTAACCTGAAACTGTTCTTAACCTGAAGCACCACTTTAGCTAATGGGGCCTCCTGCTGCTGCCACGCCGCCGCCATGCGATTTCTGTTCTCATCCTGAAGCAAAGTTCTTAACCCGAGGTACTATTTCTGGGTTAGCGGAGTCTGTAACCTGAAGCATCTGTAACCTGAGGTACCACTGTACTCTTTGGGTTCGGCTGCTAAATGGCAACTCCCATCATGCCTGACAATTGGCCCTGCTGGCTGGGGCTGATAGGAACTGTATTCCAACAATATCAGGAGGGTCACAGGTTTCCTACCTGAGAAGTAGTCTATAAAACAGACATGCAAAGAGCTCTGTGCAGAGAGAGAGTGGCTGCAGCAGAGAAGCTGTCTTTCTGTGCTGTCAATCTGCCCAGGAAAGGGAAGGGCACAGCTAGGAAGCTGGGCACCAAGGGGAGCACTTTGGGAACACTGCCATGCCCCACCCATGCAAGGATAAAAGACCCATGGGTGGGGCAGCGTAGGTGGGTGTACAGGCTAAGCAACAGAGAAAGGAGATGGAGGGAAGCAGAGGGAAGAGAGGGGAAAGCAGCGGAGATGGTAGAGGCGTGTGCTTCAGGGAGCAGAGAGAAATGAAGAGAGGTAGAGGTAGAGGACCCCTGGATGGTTAAGTCCAGTCAAAGGCGACTATGGGGTTGCAGAGCTCATCTTGCTTCAGGCCGAGGGAGCCAGCGTTTGTCCACAGACAGCTTTCCGGGTCATGTGGGCAGCATGACTAAAGTTTATCTTCCCGCCACAGTGGTACCTACTTATCTACTTGCACTGGCGTGCTTTCGAACTGCTAGGTTGGCAGGAGCTGGGACAGAGCAGCGGGAGCTCACCCCGTCACAGGGATTCGAACCGCCAACCTTCTGATTGGCAAGCCCAAAAGGCTCAGTGGTTTAGACCACAGTGCCATCAGCGTCCCAAAAGAAGCATGTCAAAAGAAGAAGCATGTGAACAGGGTGAGGTTGCTGGAAGTAGCAGCAGTGAGACAGCTTCTAAGTGTGGGGTGTAGAGAAAAAGCTAGAGGCAGAGCAAGATAAGGAGTAGGGGTGTGAAATTGAAAGGTTAAGAGCAGGCACCCCAAACTCGGCCCTCCAGATGTTTTGGGACTACAACTCCCATTATCCCTAGCTAACAGGACCAGTGGTCAGGGATGATGGGAACTGTAGTCCCAAAACATCTGGAGGGCCGAGTTTGGGGGTGCCTGGTGTTAACGGAGGAATCCGAGGGCTCCCTTGGACAAAAAACAAAGACACCAACCAGGACAATTTGGAGCAAAACAGCAGCTTGTAGGCTTGGCCTTTAATGGAAACTGTCACGACAGGACTCCCACCCACAACAAGATGAAGCAAAATGGAAGTCCAGAACAAAAGAAGACCCCAACTTTTATTAGTTTTATTATTAGTTACTAATCCCCCAAAATATACCCCTAAAACTACATCACAACTACATCATTGATACATCACAAAAAGGAGGGGTTGAGGGAGGAGTTGTGGTGGTAACCTGAGTGTCCTGTCACCTGGCTGGTTCCCCCTTTCCCCCTCCCCATGAGTACTTTCCAGGTGACAAAGGGGAGACAGAGGGAAGAGCTGATCATTGTCCTTTGTTCCAGTCTGTGCTGAATCCACTCCCATATGCAAGTTCTTTGTGATCTTGATGGTCTTCAGTCTAGGACCATCAGGGTTGGCATAGCAACTGGGCAGGGCTCCTGTGTATGCGCTGGTATGCTCAAGGGATTATGGCTGCCCTGTATCAAACCTTCCCCATTTTGTAGTCCTTCCTTCATGGAGTAAAATAAAAGTGGAACGGTGCAGATCCAATGTATGGTTGATTTTCTATGAATTTATAACAGAAGCGTAGCGTATGTCGTGTGTGTGTGTGTGTGTGTGTGTGTGTGTGTGTGGAGTTTGTATAAACTGAATGATTGGGGGGTCCCCCCCCCGCGACACTGGTTAAGAGCAGTGGAGCAGGGAGGGAGAGAGATAAACCAAATGTGTTCTTGAGTGCGTGAAGATATGCAAGGAAGGGAGACAGTTTTCTACAGCGCAGGTTGAATTGGCCTGTGCTTCCTCAGTGACAGGGAATAAACAAAGGACAAGGAGGATCCCTAGTGCGAATTACACCTGCAGTGGGCCATAAACCAAGTAAACAGAGACGCATGATAGCCAATGTGTCCAATGAAAAGGCATGAGATTCTGAAGGCTTCGTCTGGAACCTCCAATATCAAGTGGAACACAAGGTGAAGGAAGCTCCCTCTGCACATGGTATGGCCAGCAGGGCTTCCTAATGTCTTATGTGCAAACCTCTCATATCTGCAGTTCCCAGCAGCCCTGAAAATAATTATTGCTGTTTGCGCCAGCATAGATCAGATTCACTTATGCAAAAGACGATCCCCTTTTACAACAAAGGCTGAAGTCACAAATGCTTGTAACGTACGCTGCAGTCAGTAAGCATCCAGCATCTGATAAATCTCCACATTCACATCGACAATGTGCAGCAATGAAAGTTTAGGGGTCCTGTTTACAGTGCGGATGAAAAGATTTAGTGTGAGTCACAGCTGACATTAATTTCAAAGGCTGTTGTCCTATCAATGCCATAGTAGTCACAGGGCTCCCTTATGAGTACAGCAGTGTGTTTATGTGAGCTAGCCGGGTCTATTTTAAACCTCAGCCAACTTGGCATGGGTCCCAATGGTCCTTTTCTTCCAAAATGCCAGGCAGCAGGGAGCTGGGAGCTCTATGGCTACAAAAGCTGTTGTCATTCTAGGCACTGCCATGAAAAGCTGGATGATCAGGGCTGCCAAATAACATTAAATACTCTTGCACTAGCAGCCGGGTAAACACGTAAGCATGATGGCTCGACAGTTGAACCCTGGGTTTCTCTTAACACCAGAGGTTCCTGGTGAACCCTTCAGACACCCATCATTAGCTGTTAAATAGGAATCTCCAAAAACAACAACACCCAAACCCCAGATGCTGTGAAAAGGAGGATGAGAAAAATCAGGACAAGCATGGGGTGGGGTGGTAGGGAAAAGCAGCTTTTCTGAGCTGGGGTGCTCATAGGGTCATAGATTTGGAAGGGACCCCGAGGGTCATCTAGTCCAACCCCCTGCAATGCAGGAATCTTTTGCCCAATGTGCGACTTGAACCCACAACCCTGAAATTAAGAGTCTCATGCTCCACTGACTGAGCTGTCTTCCAAAGAAATGGCTGTATCCAACGTTACAACGGGTGTGGGCTGGGGAACGTGCAGAGCAGCTGTAGTTCTTGAGCCAAATGAAAATTCACCCCCCCCCCATGAAACATGACCTCTGGCAGCTGTGAGGCTTTGTCATTCCTAAATCATGGAAAGTCCCGCTGCTTATTCTTAGCACTGTATAAAGTAGTTCGGAATGCCCGTTTTGCTCGTTTATATGCTCCTCAACTGACAAGTCAGCTTTGGGAAGAGGCAAAAATGCAATAGCTATTTTCCAGATTTATATCGTTTCCATTACTGCTTCAAATTAGAAATTGATTTGCGAGCTGATCAGCAAACTTAATCTTGGCGTCTCTGCTGTGGAGACCCGGAGACCCAGTTTGCATGTAACACTAAGCTAATACTGCTAAAGCACACCGTGGTTTGCTGCGAATGGGCAGGTGTGTTGCCACCATGTGACCCAGGGCTAAGCCATGGTTTGGTTTCCCGTTTGAACCTGGGCTCATGGGTTTTTCTTGCTGCAGTCAAAGCAACAGCTATAGCTGAAGTTTGTTCCTGGCTTACTGCTCAGAGATTGCCTAGAGGAGACAACCTATGAACTGAGGTTCTAACCATCGTTTAGCTACAGCAGGAACAATAGTGTTTACTATTGTTGGCTTATTATGTAGAACAGGCGTAGCTAGCAAGCCGCCTTTCACATGTTGTTGAATGGCAACTCCCATCTGCCCCGGGCAGCGTGGCCCAACGGTCAAGGATGATGGGAGTTGCAGTGCAGCACTATTGAGAGGGGACCACAATGTCCTCTCCTGGTTTAGTATCCAACAACGAAGGAATACTGAGAATTGAATTGAATCAAAATAAACACAACTTTGTATACAACAAAATTATAATATGTACTGAATGTTCCAATGCAGTTGGGAGTGGACCACATTGTCCTCTCCTGGTTTAGAGCACTGAGAAAATAACAATCCTTCTGGGTCAGACTATTTAGTTCAGCATCCTGTTTTCCACAGTGGCCAATTAGATGCCCCTGGGAAGCCCAAAAGCAGGACGTGACTGCGATTGCCCTCTGCCGCTGTTGTTCCCCAGCAATCAAGGTACAGTGGTACCTCGGGTTACAGACGCTTCAGGTTACAGACTCCGCTAACCCAGGAATAGTACCTCAGGTTAAGAACTTTGCTTCAGGATGAGAGCAGAAATCATGCAGCAGTGGCGCAGCGGGAGCCCCCATTAGCTAAAGTGGTGCTTCAGGTTAAGAACAGTTTCAGGTTAAGAATGGACCTCCAGAACGAATTAAGTTCTTAACCCGAGGTACCACTGTGTTATTATCATCAGTTTGATATGTATACTGCCCTTCATCCGTAGATCTCAGTCAATTCACAACATAAAAATACAATGTAAACAAAACCGAAAACACAATTAAAACAAAAACAGGAACAACCCTTAACTCCCTCCACTTCCATAACACATTTAAAAGGGCATCGGATGTCAATCAGCCCAAGGTTTGGTTAAGAGTCAAAGAGTCATACTTGAAAGGGACCCTGAGGGTCTTCTAGTTCAATTCCTTGCAATGCAGGAATACACAGCTGTCCCTTACAGGGATCAGACCTGCAACCCTGGTGTTACCAGGACCATGCTCTGAGCTAGTGGTTGAAGAGGAACATTTTTCGCCTGGTGCCTAAAGGTGCATAATGAAGGTGCCAGCCGAACCTCCCCAGAGAGAGCATCCCACAAACAGGGGGCCACTGCAGAAAAGGCCTGTTCTCGTGTTGTCATCCTCCAGAGCTCACACGGAGGAGGAACAGGAATAAGGGCCTTAGGTGAGTATTGCAGGGTCTGGGTTGGTTCATATGGAGAGACACGGTCCTTGAAGTATTGCAGCCCTGAACCGTTTAAGGCTTTATAGGTCAAAACCAGCACTTTGAATAGGTAAAGGTAAAGGACCCCTGACAGTTAAGTCCAGCCGCAGACAACTCTGGGGTTGTGGCACTCATCTTGCTTTACAGGCCGAGAGAGCCGGCGTTTGCCCGCAGAGTTTTTCCAAGTCATTTGGCCAGCATGACTAAGCCGCTTCTGGCACAGCGGGACACTGTGATGGAAACCAGAGTGCATGGAAATGCCGTTTACCTTCCAGCCATAGTGGTACCTATTTATCTACTTGCACGTTGATGTGTTTTCGAACGGCTAGTGGGCAGGAGCTGGGACCGAGCAACGGGAACTCACCCCGCTGCGGGGATTCGAACCACCAACCTTCTGATCAGCAAGTCCTAGGCTCTGTGGTTTAACCCACAGCACCACCCACGTCCCATATTCTACATACAGAGCTCTTAAAAAGACAGAAGCACTAAAACTGATCTCTTCTCCATATGCGCTAAAAAATACGAGGGCCAAGATTGTTATGTTGTCTGGATTGGATTTGTGATTCGCGAGTGATTGGTTGGGAATAAATAGGTCACGGGAGTCTTTGGGGGTGGGTGGGTTACTGGCGGGATCTGCAGACAATGGGAATAACATGTTCAATAGATTCTAGGTCACAGGGAGGGACTTGGCAGCTGGGTTCCAAACAAGGAATCCTTTTGTTGGCAAGTGAGTTTGGATAACACTGGACTAGACAACCACCAGAAATCTTGAAGCCCTGCAATTTTTCTCCCTGTTTTTGTTCCAGGAGATGATGCAAGTTTTGTCTTCTGTCTCAAAAATCCAACGGTTCCAGTACTTAAAACATTGGCATCTGTTTCTCCTTTCCTCAAAGCAGCTTTACAATAAAGGAAAACAGCCATAGCTACCAACAAATAACAATCCATGTAGAAGCCCTAGAGGATGAAGCGTGGCTTATAAAGAAATCATGTGACGATATCAGCATTGAGACAAGGAGGAGCAACAGCTGAAAGTAAGAGGCACGCAACAAAGGATATTGGTACAGGCATGCCCTGGAATTTGAGAAGTGCTCAAGCAATGAAGCTGATTTGGGCTTCGTCAAAATGTTGGCCTGCATAAAAGAAAAATCCCCTTTTCAAAATGAAAATGTTGTGATTATTATTTGTGTATTTATTCCGTCTAAACCACAGAGCCTAGGGCTTGCTGTTCAGAAGGTCGGCAGTTCAAATCCCTGAAACGGGGTGAGCTCCCGTTGCTCAGTCCCTGCTCCTGCCAACCTAGCAGTTTGAAAGCACATCAAAATGCAAATAGATAAATAGGTACCACTCCAGAGGGAAGGTAAACGGTGTTTCCGTACACTGCTCTGGTTCGCCAGAAGCGGCTTAGTCATGCTGGCCAAATGACCCGGAAGCTGTACGCCGGCTCCCTCGGCCTATAGAACGAGATGAACGCCACAGCCCCAGAGTCATCAGCGACTGGACCTAATGGTCAGGGGTCCCTTTACCTTTACCCTTCATCCCATCTTTTCTCAAAGTGGCATACAGTGGTGTTCTTCCCATCTCCCTGCAATGTAGGTCAGGCTGAGGGACTGTGACTCACCTGCCCAAGTCATCTTCATGACGGCGTGAGGATTTGAACCCTGGCCTCTGTGGTATTAGGCCAACACTGTAACTACTACACCTTCTCTGTAGCATAATTCTCTGATTAAAAAAACCTGCAAAGCAATGCTCCAGGGCTATTAAAATGCAGCGTAAGTGGCTTTTTGTTGAGTCATGCATCAAAGGGCATCACAGCCCGTATCCACACCCAGATATATATAAAGCAGGACTTTGAACTGTCAGTGGAAGTGTAAAGATGAGAGAGACAGACAGACAAAGAATTAAAACAAAAACTGATTTAAGAGCTTTTCACAAAACCCTGGTCATTTTTAGGGAGGTTGCAGAAGCTTTAACTTGCTGCTTTTAAATAATGTGCCTTAGAATGCTCCGAACACAACTTTGGGAGGACAAAAGGCTGAAAACTTTAAATAAATGTGATAAAATAAAATGCCTTGTCTGTCTGTCCATTTACTTCTTCTCAAAGCACTTTGGGACTTAAGATTTATTTAGCAGTTTTTATATACCGCTGAAAAGTCAAAACCTCTAAGTGGTTGATGTAATGCAATGCATTCATTCATTCATTCTAATAAACGTATTTCCTGACCTGTTCTAATACCTTTTCCTTATGGTATTAGATGAGGCAGTGTGGTGTAGTGGTTAAAGTGCTGGACTAGGATCTGGGCAACCAGGGTTCAAATCCTCCCTCGGCCAGAAACTCACTGGGAAATGCTGGGCAGTCACTATCTCTCAGCCTGACCCACCTCACAGGGTTGTTGCGGGAATAAAATGGGTAGGAGGAATACCAATAGTTTAAAGTTGTGATATACAGTGGTACCTCGGTTAATTTGTTCCAGAGGTCCGTTCTTAACCTGAAACTGTTCTTAACCTGAGGTACCACTTTAGCTAATGGGGCCTCCTGCTGCTGCCGCACCGCTGGAGCACAATTTCTGTTCTCATCCTGAAGCAAAGTTCTTAACCTGAAGCACTATTTCTGGGTTAGCGGAGTCTGTAACCTGAAGCGTCTGTAACCTGAAGCGTCTGTAACCCGAGGTACCACTGTAAAAGTATTAATAATGATTTCCTCAGTCTACACAGGAGAATGTCTCTGCTTCCCCACTCCAATAAAACTTGTTTCCGTTCTATACACCTTTGCGCAGATTTAATCCATTAAAACCCCATTGGATTAACTGACTAGGGTCATGGAGCTATGATTAGGATTGCAACTGCAAGCGTCCTTACATTGAGAACAGCTCTGATTATTTGCTTTTGCAACCTTCAGAATCCATAGTAATTTTAAAAGCCATAACCTGAAGTGGAGTGGTACAGTCCAGGGGTGCTAACTTGAATAAAATAGTGAGGCAGGTGGTGGTCAGGTAAGCCCCGCCCCAAATAATCGATCATGTGACACGCACATCCCTTGAATAGCAATGCCCTTCAACTATGCGGCTGTGCTTGTGCGTCAAATATTTTATTGGGGGGGGGGGAGAGGAAAGATGCTCGGAATTGGCTGCTGCGGTACAGTCACATCCCTACCGCCCCTGCAGCCCGGAGTGGTACAGCCGTCGTCGCCCCCCCCCCCCGTCGCAAGGTGCGTGCCTAAGCATGCGTGCCTATCTCTCCCCAGGCCCGGCTCCTCCATCGCCTGCGGGCGGTGCCAGCCCCGAGGTGGGGCATCAGCAGCCCCCTTACCTATGGAGATCTCCTGCGCGAAGGCCAGCGAGATGAGCAGCAGGGGCAGCCCGACGGCGATGCAGGTGACCAGCTTGTCGACGGCCAGCTCCAGCCGCAGCCCCTTGTACTTGCTCTCCGACGGCTCCTTCAGCAAGAAGTCCGAGAAGACGTACTCGGTGGCGATGTGGGCGATGGCCATGGTGGCGCGCCGAGGGCCAGGCGGCTGCCGGCTCACCACCCAGAGCGCCGCTCGCCCACCCGCCGGACCCGCCGCGCTCTCCTCCGGGCTGGCTTCGTCCGCGGGCTCCCTGGTGGGGGTCTCCGCCGGGTCCCCACCCCCCCGGTGCCCGCGCGCCCTGCCTGCCTTTGTTTGGCGAGCGCGCCCCCCTCGCAAGGCGGCGAGGCGAAGGAGCGAGAGAGAGAAGAAGGGAGGGCGCAGCTCAGGCCTCCGCCCGGCCCCCTCCACGCCCCCGTCGCCAGGCGGGAACGGGCTGCTGCTGCTGCCGCCGCCCCCCCCCCCGCCGGCTTTCCCAGAAGACGAGGCGGAGGAGGCTCTTTCAAAAGCGGGCTCTTTGTGCGCTTATTAACGCCATCTCCAGCTCCTCGAAAGATTCCAACAAAGGTGTCTCCGAAAATTTTTACGCATCACTTGGGAAGACAGGCGAACTAATACCAACCAAAGATCAGCAGTGTCGAAGCAATGATTCTTCAACATCAACTTGGTTGGACTGGTCATGTTGTGCGGATGACTGATGATCGTCTTCCTTTTTTTTTTTTTAAAAGATATTTATTGAAATTTTCCACTTTAATACATTAAAAAGTCAAAAAAGAAAACAAAAAAGAAAAAATTAAAAACACATACAGTTTACAATCCTTATTTTTCTATAACATATTTCCCTGACTTCCCCACACCTCCCCTTCTTATATTCCAATTCAAATTGTTAGTTCAACAAGTTCTTATCCCCAATTTAATTTTTAACCTTTTTATATTTAGTTCATTTTAAAAAACCAATTTTGCCTTATAAACATCAATATTTGTACATCAGTGCTCATTCTTAAAACTTTTTTCTAAAGTCGACCCAAATTCCCTTCCACGAATTCCCCAATTTTCATACTAATAACAAAACAAAATAAGAAAAGAAAGACAGATTATAATTATGCACCCTTTGGATTCCCAAACCCCACCCCTTCCCCTTTCCCGGTTTCAATCCCCAACAAATGTCCATCAGTCTTAGTCTACTATCAGCCTGGAGATCTCACGTCCGAGGCTCTTAATTCTCTCTCAATTCCTCTCTGCCGGTTTTTTTTGATAGTCCTTAGTACTAAGCACCGGATCTCAGAGAAGCTCTAGCCCGATGGGGTCCATGTTTCTTCCAGCCAGACCTCCATACTTAAAAGTGGAGCCCAAATCTTGTTTCGACTGATGATCGTCTTCCAAAGCAACTGCAGTGGTACCTCAGGTTACAGACGCTTCAGGTTACAGACTCCGCTAACCCAGAAATAGTGCTTCAGGTTAAGAACTTTGCTTCAGGATGTGAACAGAGATCGTGCAGCAGCGGTGCTGCGGCGGCAACGGGAGGCCCCATTAGCTAAAGTGGTGCTTCAGGTTAAGAACAGTTTCAGTTTAAGAACGGACCTCCGGAACAAATTAAGTTCTTAACCCGAGGTACCACTGTAACCGGGATAAGGAATTAGCTCAGATCCATCCGCAATCTGTTAAAGATCGCAAAATCAAAATAATAACCTTAACCCAATAACAGCCCCCCCCAAAAGAGCCACATTTTAAAAGAGTTTAGGATGTCAATCAGGTCAACCAAGGCCTGGTTAAAAAGGAACATTTTTGTCTGGCGCCCAAAGGTGTATAATGAAATGTGGTGTTAGCCGCAACCCACAGGTATTCTGCAGCTGTTTGAGAGATGTTTTGATGAGCTTTCCCTCAAACCAGCTTCCGCCACATCTGAAAACAGAAGCCATGGTCAAGCTGAGGTGTGTACAATTCTGATAATCACTGTGCCACATGCAGAGGATGGGCCGAAGTGATTTGGAATTTGGCCTGGGAAACAAATCAGGTAAAGGGCACCAGGTGAAGACAATGTAACATATGCAATTTTCTATGTGGAAAAAAGAATAAAATATTACAGTGGTACCTCGGGTTAAGAACTTAATTCGTTCTGGAGGTCTGTTCTTAACCTGAAACTGTTCTTAACCTGAGGTACCACTTTAGCTAATGGGGCTCCCCACTGCCGCCATGCAATTTCTGTTCTCATCCTGAAGCAAAGTTCTTAACCCGAGGTACTATTTCTGGGTTAGTGGAGTCTGTAACCTGAAGCGTATGTAACCTAAGGTACCACTGTATTATAAAAAAGGACATCCCTGCCCCTTCTTTGGTCTGCATGGCAATGCGATGGCGAGGGGTTCCGCTTGCTGTGTTTTGAATGTGAACATGGCATCTAAAAACTTCTGAAGTCGGTTGCAGGCGTGCCTCTTTAGGGCACTGTGAAACTGGGTGCCAGCACTGAACATAGCCCTCCTTTGTAGTTGCAGATCACCCCCTGTTGTTTTGCATATTCCCCAGGAACCTTTGGGCTGAAGGATGGAATATATATTTAGTAAACAACAACACACTTTCATGATCACTGCAGATGGTGACAGCAGCCGCGAAATTAAAAGACGCCTGCTTCTTGGGAGAAAAGCAATGACAAACCTAGACAGCATCTTAAAAAGCAGAGACATCACCTTGCCGACAAAGGTCCGTATAGTTAAAGCTATGGTTTTCCCAGTAGTGATGTATGGAAGTGAGAGCTGGACCATAAAGAAGGCTGATCGCCGAAGAATTGATGCTTTTGAATTATGGTGCTGGAGGAGACTCTTGAGAGTCCCATGGACTGAAAGAAGATCAAACCTATCCATTCTGAAGGAAATCAGCCCTGAGTGCTCACTGGAAGGACAGATCCTGAAGCTGAGGCTCCAATACTTTGGCCACCTCATGAGAAGAGAAGACTCCCTGGAAAAGACCCTGGTGTTGGGAAAGATGGAGGGCACAAGGAGAAGGGGATGACAGAGGATGAGATGGTTGGACAGTGTTCTCGAAGCTACCAGCATGAGTTTGACTAAACTGCGGGAGGCAGTGGAAGATAGGAGTGCCTGGCGTGCTCTGGTCCATGGGGTCATGAAGAGTCGGACACGACTAAACAACTAAACAACAACAACAACACACTTTCAGTAAGGAAGGGCGCTTGGAACAGTTGGGCGCCATTGTCATTATAAGAGAACCAGGGAGGCTTTCATGGTGAGTTCTGGCACCTCTTTTCCTATAAAATAGCAATAATAATAATAATAGGAGGAAAACTCATTTATTTGGTGGAAGAAAACCGTTGACTCTGACCTACTGCTTTTTTACCCCTTTTTAATGATTGCAAGAATAATTTTTTGAAAAACATGGGAGAATTCATAAAATTTAAATCCACCGACCAATACCACGGATTGTTGTTAGAACTACTGCTACGTTTACAGTTCCATTCTGACATAAATTACACAACCCCACCCCCCAAAGTGCTTAACATATTCAGCTTTATTTATGCTGTTTAGTGCTTTAAAATCTGTAGAAGCACTTAACCATTCTGTAAAAGCACACACACCATCTGATGCAGTCCTAGCAGTAATGGAACAAAACATTGCTTTGAATTTTACCCATCTCAAAACTACTTACTAGTGATTTGTGATTTAAATGAGCTCCGTCTTTATTTATTGTTTACTTTCATTTCAGTGCTGAAGCCATACCAGATGCAAACTGGCAACCTGAAACTCTGTACTGAATTGCCCTCATTAGAGAAAAACGAAAAACGGAAGCTTGAACTAAATTTTTCAGTTGCACTGCTGTCTTCAATTGGATGGAATGGAACAGCAAACTAATCTTCAGCTTTTTGCAGAGCACTCTATACAAGGAAATGATTGGTTAAAAAAAATAATAATATCTAAATAGGACAACCATATGCCAGTGGAAAGTCTGGTACTTAACTGTGGCTAGAGTGTATCTGTGAAAATGTGTTTGAAGTAGCCAAAGCAATCCATATCTCTCCAGAGTTTTGAGTGGCCTGCTGATTAATTCAGTGACTTGTGGTAAAAAAGCTAGCACAAATGTTAGCACAAAAACTAGCACAAATAAAGTGAACTAACTTTATTGATTTACAACAAACGGGGGTAAATGGGGAAAGGTACACACTCCGATAAAATGCTTCACAGAATAGAAAAATAGAAGGGCCATTTAGGTCTAAGACTGACCCCCTTGAAAAAGGCTTTTGCAACAGGTTCTCATGAGGAATGAGACAGAACTGAATGATTCTACTTGTCATGATAAGTATGGCAAATCCATACCATGATCAGCTCCCTCCCGGAAACCTATGCCCCTACTGTGGAAGGAAGTGTGGATCCAGAATTGGTCTCCACAGTCACTTATGGACTCACTGTTAAAACTGTGTTAATGAAAGACAATCTTACTTGGCTATGAGTGATCGCCAAAGAAGCAGCAGCAAAACCAGCAATTAAAGCCACTTCCTGATACTTTGAACAAACTGGCAACAGACAACAGCTTTCAAGAGAGATGAAAAGTATTATTGCCCTAGGTGTACACACTAATTTTGTTTGCCCAGCTGCCATTTCTGGTGAAACAGGATTTTGGAATTTGTTTACTAATATTAGGATGTGTGTTCACATCAAAGATCATGATGCTGCTCTTATACGGCCTTCAGCAGCATGAAAATACTATTGTTAGTTGCCCGTCACAATGTCTCTATATGGAACCATTTCACTACTATTAGGAAGCCAAAAAGACATTATTGGGTCAGTTCAGTGTTGCAGCGACAGACCTTGGTTTGCCATTTCAAGGATCAGTCTGTGTGAGCCTCCTTCACACCTGTGCGTCTATATTCTGCTTTTGAACAAAGCACAGTTCTTTGTTACACCCAAATACAGGGAACTGTGGTTTGCGCTAACTGCAGTTCAGATCAATCTGTGGTTTCAGAACTAAACACAGTTCTCTTCCCATCATCCCTGAGCTCTAGCTAGGGATGATGGGAATTGTAGTCCAACAACATATGGGGACCCACAGGTTGAGAACCGCTGCCCTAAAGGATTGTGTCTGGGTCTGCCTCTTGATCCAGCACCATCATTAGTGATTCAGGTGCCCTCTGTGGCTCAAAGCACATTTCATCATCATCTGCTGATGAACCAGCTGAGACTATACTTGGATGGAGGTAAGCTTGGCCACAGTTATTCTATGCATCTTTGCTAGCTTCCTGCTTAGACCACTGCAATGCACTGTACATGGAATTCCCTTTAAAAATGGTCTGGAAACTGTACCTGGTCCAGAACAGGGTGGCAAGACTATTAACTAGAACTGGGCATTTTGATCATATT